CTGGAAGGGCAACAGTAACATGCAGGGGGAAACGGAAGTGTCTTGCATCAGAGCGAGTGCCTCCTGGACAAAACTCCAGAGGCCAGGCAGTGGCCACTGTCCCTTTCCTGAGCCCTTCCCCACAGAGAGCCACAGAACAGCGACACCATATCTGAGACTCTATCCACCTGGTCCACACAAGTAGCCACCACTGTTGCCCACCCCACCCCCACCCCAGCAATTATCTAACCATCCAACTTACTGGTTCACTTTTCTACAATAGGCCACACTACTAAGACAGGGAAACAAAGCAGCTCTACCTAATACAGGGAAACAGACACAGGAAGACGGCCAAAATGAGGAGACAAAAAAATATGGCCCAAATGAAAGAACAGAACAAAACCCCAGATAAAGAACTAAAAAAAATGAAGATAAGCAATCTATCAGATGTAGAGTTCAAAATACTGGTTACCAGGATGCTCAAAGAACTCACTGGGTACTTCAACAGCATAAAAAAGACCCAGGCAGAAATAAAGGTTACACTAAGTGAAATAAAGAAAAATGTACAGGGAATCAATAGTGGAGTAGATGAAGCCAGAAATCAAATCAATGATTTGGAGCATAAGGAAGAAAAAAACAGCCATGGCTGGTATGGCTCAGTGGATTGAGTGCCAGCCTGTGAACCAAAGGGTCACTGGTTCAATTCCCAGTCAGAGCACATGCCTGGGTTGCAGGCCAGGTCCCCAGAAGGGGGTGCATAAGAGGCAACCATGAATTGATGTTTCCTTCTCTTTCTCCCTCCCTTCAAAAATGAATAAATTCCATCTTTAGAAAAAGAAAAGAATGAGAAAAAAAAGAAAAAACATTCAATCAGAACAGCAAAAAGGAAGAAGAATCCAAAAAAATGAGGATAGGGTAAGGATCCTCTGGGACAACTGCAAACGTACCAATGTTTGAATCATTGGGATGCTAGAAGGACAAGGGAAAGGGCAAGAAATTGAAAACTTATTTGAAAAAAGAATGAAAAGAAAACTTCCCTGACTTGGTGAAGGAAATAGACATACAAGTCCAGGAAGCATAGAGAGTACCAGACAAGATGGTAATTAAATGCCAAAGGCTAAAGATAAAGAGAGAATCTTAAAAGCAGAAAGAGAAAAGCAGATAGTTACCTACAAGGGGGTTCCCATAAGACTGTCAGCTGATTTCTCAAAAGAAACTTTGCAGGCTAGAAAGGACGGGCAAGAAATATTCAAAGTGAAGAAAAGCAAGGATCTGCAACCTAGGTTACTCTATCCAGCAAAGCCATCATTTAGAATCAAAGGGCAGAGAAAGTGCTTCCCAGACAAGGTAAAGCTAAAGGAGTTCATCATCACCAAGTCATTATTATGTGAAATGTTAAAGGGACTTATTTAAAAAGAAGATCAAAATGATGGACATTAAAATCACAATAAATACACAACTATCAACAATTGAACCTGAAAAACAAACTAAGCAGAACAGAAACAGAATCATAGATACAGAGATCATTTGGAGGGTTATCAGTTGGGAGGGAGAAGGAGGAGAATGGGGGAAAAGGTGCAGGGATTAAGAAGTACAAATTGGTTGGTACAGAATAGACAGGGGGACATTAAGAACAGTATAGGAAACATGCATGACGCATGTACATGAACTAAGGGGAGGTGCTGGAGGGAATGGGGGTACCGAGTGGAGCGGGGCAAAGGAGGAAACTGGGATGACTGTAACAGCATAATCAATAAGATATATTTTAAAAAAATAAAGAGTGATCATAAATAGTAGAATGAAAGGGGATTTCACTAAGTGCCACCACTGGGCAGGAGACAGGGGAGTGAACTGTTTTCAGAATAGGGGACTGCTGAAATGATTTTGTATGACTGAGCCCCACTCTCCCCTGGCTGAGGCCAGCCCCACATTTTAAATAATAGCCACAGCCAACATTTCTTGAACACATAACATGCACTTTATATGTATTGACTCATGCATTCCTTACAACAACCCCTGAAGTAGGTTTTATTTTATCCTCACTTTAAGAGGAGGAAACACAGGCCCAGAGAGGTTAAGAAACCTGCTCGAGACTCCACAGCTAATGAATCTGGGCTGGGGTCTGAACCAGGCAGTCTGCCTGCAAAGCCTGTGATCTCGTTACCTCTCTGAACTCACCACTCTGGATATGCCTCTGATGGGTGCATCTCATGTCTATGCAGCCCACCCTGGGCAGCTCCAGCAAGAGGCTCCTGCAGGCAGGGGCTGGCCAGAAAGGCCGGGGTGTTCTGGAGATCTGTATGTGGAGACACTGTGTTCCCTGGTTCTTCTCAGGGATGTTTCACTGATCCCCACCCACTTTCCACCTCTACCTGCTGCGTCTCTCTGACATCACTGAAGATGAAACCAGCCCATCCTGAAAAGCAGTGCTTGCTTACAAAGCCCAGGGGTGGAGACACCGGCTGGGGTGGCCTGTGTGGGTGGCGGGGCTACTGTTCTTGCTGCCAAAGGCTCAGGCCGCTCTTTCAGCACTGTCTCCTCTCCTTCGCAAAGTCTTGCCTCTCACTTTGCTTGAAGCTTGAGTGAGGCCTGACTCACTCACCTTGGCCTCAGTCCGCTCACTGCCTGAGGTCTGCTGCAGCACCCTTGCAGGACCCACCCTCAGACTCAATGCAGGCAACCTGTGCAGCTGGGACAGGGCCTCGGCTCAGAAGGGCTCCTGCTTGGTTGAATGCCCTGCTGTCTCCATCTTGAAATTCTATGTAGTTTTTGAACAAGAGGCCTGCACTTTCATTTTGCACTGGGTCTTGCAAATTATGTAGCTGGTCCTGCTCAGATCCCGCTAAGACCTCAGGATGCAGGATGACTCCCCAGCCAAGAATCTAAAGGAGAATCTAAATCCTGACAGTAAACCAGATTGCTGCTCAAGTGCAAATGTCATTTCTACCTGCTTAGGAGCTTGCTGCCCCAATTAGCAGCCCTGCCCCATTCTCCCCATCACTCCAAATGTCCTGCCTGCCTATCAGCCCTTTCCTCTCAGCCTTCAAACAGACGGAGGTCTCACCTGTACTACAGTCCTGCTTGCTGCTCAGGCAAACCGTGTTCCAAGTTCTCTCCTTTCTCTTGCGGCCTAGCTGAGCTGCTGCCAGCCACCTCCTCACCTTCTGTCCTTTCCTCACCTCCTGCTCTCGGGCTCAACCATTCAAACTGCCATCCCAAAGATCAGCCGTCAAGGTTCAGAGTTTCATGAGCTTTGATCTTGCAGCAAAAGGGGCCACATTATGACTTCTGGGGGCCTGAGGCACTTTGGCCTTTGGGAGTCTTTCCTCCATTAAAAAAAGTTACAAATATAAAGATAAGCATAATCCTTGCTGGATTGTATTCATTTTTTAAAATTCTTATTTTAAAATATATTAAAAAACATTTTCATGGATCCCTAAAGTCTTGTGGGCTCTAGGCACTGTGCCTACTGAGCCTAATGGAGAAATAAGTCCTGTTTTACAGGGCTGGGAAAAGTTGAGTAACCCTTCTTGAAATCTTGTGTCTTTGGGAAACCACACTATTTCTTTTTCCTTTTATTGGGTAAACATGGTACAGTTGACTCTTGAACAACACAGTTTTGAACCGTGTGAATCCACTTATATGCAGATTTTGTTAAAAACTACTGCTGGCCCTCTGCATCCATGAATTTCACATCTGTAGATTCGACCAACCAGTGTCCGAACAGTGTTTCTGACCTGTGGTTGAGAATCCGCAGATGCGGCGGGCTGACCACATGTATCGTCCTACATCACTTCATAGAAGGGACTGGAGCATCCTTGGAGTTTGGTATCTGTGGGGTATTCTGGGACCAATCCCCATCAGATACCAAGAGCCAACTGTATCTTGGTATCCCCAAGATACCAAGTTAAGTTTTTGGGTAGTCAAAATTGTAGCAAATTTTTGACTGTGCGGCGTGGGGGAGGGGTGCCAGCACTCCTAACCCCTGTGTTGTTCCAGGCTCAGCTGTAGTTATAAAGACAATGTTAAGGAAAGATGCAACTTGTATAATCTATCTTAACACAACTCTTCATTTGCTACTCACTTCCTTGTCCAGATGGAAGGCTATCTTACAAGGCTGCCTGATGTGTTTATGCTGTTCCACATTTTGCTTGTTCCATGTAATATTACTTTATTGAAACATCTTACATGTTTCTGCCACAGTCCTGATAACCTTCTAGTCGACTGATGGTGGCGGACTTGTTTTCCCCCTCTGCTGGTTTCTTGTTCTCTCTGGACTCTGCCTTCTCTGTCTGTTTCTTCCTATCACAGATTTAATCTGGGCCGTGTCGGACTCACAGCTTCAGCTGTGGGCTCCATAGGGCTGAGGAAAGTGGGCCATGCTTCCAAATGGCCATTCGTGTTCAGTGATCTGTGCACATAACCTGTCAGGCCCTTTCACACTGCGTGACTTGCACTGGCGAGCCCGCCAGGCCATGTGGCATGGGCTTGTGATACTCTCCCTCACAGTAATGGCATCCAAGTGTCAGAGCCTGAAGGTATCTCAGGAGTAATTCAGTCCAACTTCATTATTTTACAGACAAGGAAACTGACACGCAGAGGCTAATAGACTGGGTCATGGTTAAAAAACCAGTGAGCAAGGATTTGAAACTTCATTCCTTGACCTCCAAGTTTCATGCTCTTTCCTCAAGGGCACACTCCCTGAATTTGTTAAGGAGGAATTTTACTTTTAAATTGCTGTACCATTGGAGGTGCATTTATATTACAGAATTATATCTATAATTACTGTGTTGCCCATTTTGGCTTAGTATTGTTGAATGGGAAGAGAAAAGAACAACTTGGCAACACGTTTTCAAGTCCCTACTGTGAAGTTATCTGGACTATGGGCAGGAGAAGTGCTTAAGTGATTTGAGTTCTATCCAATAGCAGCTCTGCTTGGTCTGTTGATGTCCCCTTTGTCTCTCTGGTCTGTTGATTCACTTATGGTGAAATTTCCCAACAGTTAAATCAATTGATCTTACCTGTTCAGAGACAAGGAGCAGACCAGTCTTTGTCCCAAAATAACCAGGCCAACACTGGTGCTAGCAACCTGCAGACCACAAAAGCATTGATTACTAAGAGGAACGAATCTCTCTGGCCAGATGGGCCATAAATATTATTCGCTATAGTGGAAACACAATAAACTTCGCTTTCCCTCTCATTCCAAGAGGTGTTAGAAAGAAATAGCTCTAAAAATACTCTTTTAGGTAAGAAAGCTAACTATAAAGAATTTCTGTTTGAGGATCTTCTTTGAATTATTTTTCTATTTTCTCCTAATCTCTATGTACCACATAGAGATTATATATATACATGTACTATGTACACGTACTGTGTACATGTATATACATGTACTATATATAGACATACACATGTATACATTACATGTACACATACACGTGTGGGGGGTATTTTGCTTAGGTTCATTGTATTAGTCCCCTTTTATCAAATTGCATGTGGCCTTCATCTCTTCAAATAAACTTGAATTCCACCTCAACTTATTTCAAGGAAAAAGAAATCTGGCTATCAACGTAACCGAAGCAGAGGGAAGGGAACACAGGAAGTGGAGAAGGGTACGGATCTGTTTTACGATGTATGGGGGTTGAGCACTGGCCTTCCATGTCTCCCCCCAACCCCCTTCTCAACTCTGTCCTCAGTCCTAACTGACGAATCACTCCCCACCCTTCCGAGCGTTTAGCAGACCGCTGCTGGCCAGTGGTCTGCTACAGGAACAGGAGTGGTACCCCCAGGCCCGTCTGTCCCCCAGACTTACAAAGTCCATGGACACGATGGTTTCAGCAGTTGAGTTCTCAGACTCGGTGAGTATCACAATGGAGGCAGGGATGTCCAGGGTGAAGTTACCTGGCAGTAAACTGACCACAGGAGGCTCCGTGGCCATGATCCGAAACGTGAAGGGCTGGGACAGGATGTAGATGTCTGCGATCTGCCCGTGTTCAGGGGGGAGAAAAAGATCACCGAGATTGGGAGTTGGGAGTTGATGAGGGAGAATCACAAACTTGCGGTGGCTTGTGGTGGTTAAACCTTACATCATGCAGTCAGAATAGAAAAAAGATCTCTAATGAAAACAACAATAACATGCAAAAAACCCATATAACCACAGTGGAGGTTTATGGAAGACACAGTGTGCCAGGCACCAAGTCAGGGCTATCTGTACTGTCTCATTTAATCTTCACAAAATCCCTGCGAGGCAGGTTCTCCCCATTTCACAAAAGGAGAAAGCCAGTCTTAGAGAGGTTAAGTCACCTTTCCATGGTCCCAGGTGAGTAAGTTGCGGAAGTGGGATTCAAATCCAGGTCTGTGTGATACAAGATCCTTGCTCTAAAACCAGGATGCTGTATAAAAACAGCATCTCTCCCTCTCTGTTCTCAGGGGCACACGGGGGCCTTTCAGTACACCGTGTCTGACACTCAGGTGCTCTGGAGGCATTAAGAGTTGCTTTGCTAAAGCCACAACCATAGGCATTATTCCTTCATTCCCATTACAGCTGATTATTTCAAGTGTGGTGGAACTTTGTGGATGGAACAGATGGATGATTTATTTTGTGAACTTAAAATGCCTTTAATAGTAACTTGTTCAGTAAACATTTGTGGATATTCGATTAAAAGAAAGAAGTTCCTTAAGAACGAAAAGATGGACTCAGGCTTGCACTGGAAAGGAATATAAAGAACACACAAGTCTTCCAGAAGTTAATTCCCATGAAACCAAATACACCGCCAAGGAGTCAAATCCTGAGCACTCACCCGGGACAGCATGTTGCCAATGCCTTGAGAGTTTCGAAACAAATGGCTGGAAATCTGGAAAATGAAGAGCATCGTGTCACTGTAAGGTTTTTACTGTGGGTTATTTCTTCAGGGAAAATGTAGTATTCCCTACAATTTTTATGAATTATGATGATGTTGCCCCCACAAAAAAAGGTGTTTGAAGGTGACTTATCATTTTTTAGACCAACCACAGGAAATCTGAGGCCCAGGGAGGGGAAGTGACTTGCACGTGGGCAGTCACACAGGAGTTACCTTCCCTTTTAGTGAGTGACTTCAGTAACTGTATATTCTATATGGATGATCCATGTGTAAATATCTGTGGTGGTTAACAGTATGTTTTCTGTTACTGCCCTCATTTTCCGAGATCACTGAGACACAGGACGCTCAAGGAATTTATTTTCGCAGATGGCTGGTTTTCAAGTTGTGAAGCTAAAAGTGTCTAATTTCAAGCACCGTATGACAGCTGGTGCTGCCAACTTAGCATTTTGAACGCTTGTATAATTAAGCCCTACGGAATGCAAAGATTCGTGAGGGATGCTCGGTAAAAGTTGTTGGTGGACAGGCTGGAAGGACTGTTCTCATCATATGTAAAAGAGAAGGGTGCAGTGGCAACAAGAATCAGTGAGTATCTGTCCTATTACTGGTCATGGCGGATAAATCAGTTGCAGTTGCTGATAGGAGAAATCTTTCTGTTGGCCTAATGTAAGGAATGATAATGGTGGTGATAACCAGCAGCGCCTGTAGGACACTTACTCTGTGCTGGGCATTGGTCTGAGTGCTTTACACATACTCAAACCTCTTTAATGTCCATACCAGCCCTGTGGGTAGAGATTTATTTTTATTCCCATCTTCCAAATGAGGAAATTGGCACAGAAAAGTTAAATAAGTTGAAAGTGCCCAAGGTCATGGGTAATAAGTGATGAAGGGGGCCCTGTTGTTATTTAAGAGGAATCTGCGACAGCCACTTGTAACAAAAAAATGACGTGAGAAAAACTGGAATCCCAATGACTCTCCAACAACTAATAATGTGCATTCCACAACCCTTCATTTGCCGTCCTGATAGGAGTGGCAGTCTGCAAAGCCCAGGAAGAGAAATTATGACATAAAGCCCCCATAATGGGGCACTTGTACTAAGAGTACATGTGGGGGCCGACTGTCATCACCCGTTAACCCTTCTCACCTCTTTTGTGGAGAGAGAGACATTGAAAGCTCCCGCTGTGAAATGGGCAAAGGACGCAGAGTTAAAGAAATACTCGGAGATCCCAATGTAGAGCATGGAGTCGCTGCCTGCTGGGAGCTCAAAAGGCACTGGAGGGAAGGGGGGGTCGGTGAGGTTGTTCAATGGGTAGAACACGCCCTGTGGGGAAAGAGGGAGAGCGGTGTGTCAGGTGAAGGCTCCAAGGTGCCGGACTAAAGAATGTGGACCCTCTCAGGTGAGAATGAGAAAAATTTCAGAAACTCATTCTGGGAAGAAAAAATGATAAGGCCTTCTGGCTTTTTGACCAGTGACTGTGTTTCAGAGCTCTGATGACTTGTTGAGCATACACCTGGGCACGTGGGTGCACTCTGGGTCTAGCCCAGTGAGAAGCTCCTTGCCAGTCCTTTTCTCTGAGAAAGAGAGGCAGATGCGTTTAGTTGGAGGGGACAGCTCTGAATAGTTCCTGAGGTACCAGGTAGAGACTTCAAGCTCTTGGCTTTCAAAATCTGTGATTGCTGAGCAGCTGGGGTATCACAGAAAGACTCAGGAAACCCCCAAATTTGAAATGGTTTAAAGCATTTTTTAAAGCACTCAACAAACAGCTATTGAGTTGAACTGAGTCGAACACAGCACCTTGAACTGCACCTGCACCACTTGCTCCTGAGTGCGTCGTGGGTTTTGGACAGGCAGGGGAAAGCCCGTGGCATTGCTGATGCTGCCCTCGTTTGTTGGTAGTTAGTAAGAAATGGTGGCTGTGCGATATTCAGCTAACCCGAATGACTCTGAGTGACTGAAATATAAGCCAATATGCATTTTTGAAAACAATGATATTAACTTTGGGGCAAAGCTAAACATAAGGGCCATTGACTACTTTTCCAGGATCGGCAAACACCATTTTCGTGTGCTCGTGGCCCCCACAGAGGTCAGTGGCCCTCAGTTAAACTGACTAGTCTGAGAATGACAGAAGCACCAACGTGTACTGTTACTGACATGGTGAGTTCTCATAAGCACAGACCACTCTCCTCGCTGCCTCCTAGCCTCAAACCTACTCCCAGAGGCAAAGACATGGTGTTCCTTTCCTTGGAGCAGACAGACATATCCTGTGTAATCTGAACAATCGTTCAGCAATCGAGAAAATGTTCGAGTCTTTTGAAGGAGCACACCCGTCACGGAATTGCTTGGAGATGGAGACAATTCGAAGAGCATGTAGGTGTATTTCCTCTGCACATAGTATTTGCTCCCCAAATACAGTCTGCCCTCTGTGTCCCGAGGTTCTGCTTCAACAAACCGCAGATGAAAAATATTTTTTTAAAGGAGCTACGTTGTTGCTGATGTGCATTACGCAGTTAGGCCTGTGATGGTTGTGTCTGCACAGAGCATGTACAGTTTTTGAAACAACTATCCACATACTATTTATATTGTGTTAGGTTTTATAAGGAATGTAGGGATGATTTAAAGTACACAGGAGGATGTGCACAGGTTAACGGCAAACGCCATGCCATTTTATATGAGGGACTTGAGCATCCCAGATTTCGGTACTGGGGGGTGTCCTGTAACCAAGCCCTGGAGGATACTGAGGGATAACTGTACTGGCTGTTCATAGCCAGGACGAGGACTCTGGTAACGAGAAGGTTACCTTCAAATTCAGGTCAATGTAGTTCTCAGTAATTTCTGGAGAACTCATCAGGGAATAATCCAGCAAGGTATAGTTGTCGATCTTCATTAAAACTAAATAATAAATAAAGCAAAAAAAATTTACATTCATTAAAAGCATAACATATGATTAATGCATACTTACAACAAATTCTTACATAATTTGATAATTTTTAATTCTCTGTTGTTTTAAATAATAATTACTCTATTCTGTAAGTAACACATGTTCACTATTTATTTATTTACTCATTTAAAGTACAGTTGACATTCGATATCATATTAGTTTCAGGTCCTTCTCACTTTTTAAAACCCGGGAAAAGTAGATAAGTCAAAAGAAGAAAGTAAACACCTTTTTAGATCACATAATCCTGAGAGAAACTTGAGTAAAATTTTGGTGTATACACTTTTAATCTCTCTCTCTCTCTCTCTCACACACACACACACACACACACTTATTTTTTATAAAGGAAATTAGACAAACAAAAGGTATTTGTCAATATTAAGCCATACATATTAGTTTGGTATAATGAGAGACTTTCAAGTTCTATGTTAAAGCCTCTTATGTAGTTAGAACTTATTTACTTTGCCCTGGCTGGCATAGCTCAGTGGATTGAGCGCAGGCTGCGAACCAAAGTGTCGCAGGTTCGATTCCCAGTCAGGGTACATGCCTGGGTTGCAGGCCATGACCCCCAGCAACTGCACATTGATGTTTCTCTCTCTCTTTCTCCCTCCCTTCCCTCTCTGAAAATAAATAAAATCTATAAAAAAAAAAGAACTTATTTACTTTTTACAATGAGCATATATTACTGTTATAATTAGAAATAATTTTTAAAAAGAAATATTGAGAGAGACAGACAGGCAGGAGTAAAATTCACTAAGTTGGAGAGGCCGATGTAATTCTCACGCACAGTGCTACTGATTCGTGTCATTTTCTGTACTATCCTTTTCAGAGCAAAGCAGGAGGCCAGGCAGGGGCCGGGAAACAGTGGGTGTGGCTTGCAGGAAGCATGAACCTCAGCGCCCGACACAGCCTGTCTGTGCACACAGCCTGCCTGTGCTGTGGTGCAGTGCCCGGTGTCCAACCTGGCCTGAGGCGTTGCTTTCCCGACCACCGTGTGCTCTGGTGGGAAGACTTCCTCCCCGGTCTAGAGGAAGGTACCTGAGCACCACAGCTTCCCACCTTGCATGTCATGTTTGGTTTATTCCACAGATGGAGATGAGAAGGAAGAAGAGATGAAGTGATTTGCCAAAATGAGGGAACAATACTACCCTATGCCACCGTGGTTTTAAAAACTGCTTTCGAATTCCCAGTCTCAAGGGATCCATCACCATGCTGGGAGGGAAGTAGGACCCGGCCACATTAAAGGGGAGGGGAGGGAGGCTCCCAGAGGTGGCGAAAGTTGCCAAAGCAAGCTAGGACAGGAGGATGCTCGGCCAGTTCTTTCTTCTCTCCATCTTCTTTCTCTTTCCCTACCTCCCCAATTTATTAATTTTCCTTCCTCCACCTATACCCATTTATCAGTCCGTTTGTCCATCTCTTGTCACCCCTTCATCAATCTAGCATTTATGAACTTCGTGTGGGCTGGTGCTGGGCCTGGTGCTGGAGATACAGAGCTGCGTCAGAGCCTCTGCCCTCATGGAACTCACAGTCTGGTGGGGAGACGGGCATGTAACTGGGAAATGAAGATCCAGTGTAGGAGGGCAGATCTAAACCTGAGCTCTAGATGGTCTGATCACCAACCTGTTCTGACAGAGTCTGCCCCACGTGGGGAAATGGTAACTCCATTCTCCCAACGTTCTAGCTGCTCAGGGTCAAACCTGGGGTTATCCTCAACTCCCCTCACGACCCTCCTTCAGTGTGTCAGCAAACACCACTGTCTCGACTTGCAAGGTATGTTCAGGACCTGAATGTGTCTCCCCATCTTCGTCCCGGCCAGCTGCCATCTTTGCTCATGTGGGTCACTGCGGTAGCCTCTTAAGTGGTCTCCCTGCTTCCACCTTTGGCCCCCAATCCTGTCTATTATCAATAGACAGAAATCAGAGTGATATTGTGAAAATATACGTGACATCATGTGACACTAGCTCAGAACTCTCCAAAGGCTTCTTACAAGAGTGTGACTAAGAGCCGGCCTTTGCAATGACCGACAGAGCCCCGGACATCTGACCATCTGCTTTCTTCCCCCTGACCTCATCTCCTGCTACTACTTCCCCCCGCGCCCCCTCTGCTCTCAGCATGGCCTCCTCACCGCTCCTCCAGCACACCTGGCACGTTCCTGCTTCAGGGCCTGTGAGCGTGCGGTTTCACCTGCCTGGAATGTTCTGTGCCCAGATCAAGGAGTAGCTCACTCCCTACTTCATTCAGGTTGGTACTTTGTGTTACCTGCTCAGTAATCTAAAATGGAAAACTATCTAATATGGACATCCTTGACTATACTCTTTAAAATCAAAACCACTCCCCAGCTCCTTCCTTGCTTTATTTTGCTTATCACTTATCACTAGGATGCCATAGATCTTACTTATCATCTCGCTTGCTGTCTGTCCCCTCCCAATAGTCCCATGAGGTAGGGATTTCAGTTTCCGAGGCTTACTGTTGCATTCCAGCACCAGGAGCAGCACCTGGCCTGGGCCATTGGTGAATGAATGGGTGGAGTGGAAAGAGAGAGATACTTTCAAAGTATCGTGTGAGCATAGAGGAGGCAGAACTTTGGGGTGTGGGCATCAGGTAAGACTTCTTGGAAGAGACTATGCCTGAGCTGAGCCTTAAAAGATAAAGAAGAGTGAACAAGACAAGGAATGGCTGAGGGGTAGGGAGTGGAAGGGACTGTATCCCTCACGGCTTAGCACAGTGTTGGCAGACGGCACCTAATAAATATCTATTAAATGACTAACTGGATGAAGGGGGACAAAGCTCTTCTAGGCAGAGGACAACAGGGGCAAAGGTGAGGGGCGTGAGGGCAGGAGAAGCAGTCTGACTGCTGGAGCAGGAAAGGTGCAAGATGAAGCGGAGAGAGGGAAGTAGGAGCCAGAGCACGTCAGGTGGGGCTGGTAGTCCACATTAAAGCACTTGGACTTGGTCCTGAAGGCAGAGAGGTGCCAGTGGCTGGGTTAGGACCAGGGGATAACCTGGCCCAGATCAGCATTAGTCATCCTGAAGAAGGTGGATTTTGTGCCAGACCTGGGATTAAAGCTTATGAGCGTTTTATTCTCAGACTGCATCTAGTCTCCTGCAGAGAAGCTGGTGGTAGCAGCAGAGACCAGGCCCCACACACAGGCCATGGGTCCCCACCCCTTCCCACGGCTCTGGCTGGCAGGGCGGAAAGCAGACGGAAGAGCCGGAGCTACAGGGTGTGGAAAAGCAAACCTGGAGAACACCAGAGTGGGAAGGTGGGGAGAAAAGCATCAGAAGAGACAGCTCAGGGACTCACCCTCCAGCATGCTGAGATTGGCATTCAGTGCTTCCACCTCACCTATGAGGATGGGACAGAGCTGGCCGTAAAAGGAATTAAAAAAAAATGCAGGTTATTGTATTATACTGGAAACCTCTACTTATGGGCCTAGACCCTGCAAATGAAGGCTAGCAGACACTCTCCCTTTAGTCATAAAGACTTTCCCTTAAATTAGTTGATGCCTATGGGCCTCAAGTTAGTATGCATGGGTGGCAGGTCATTTAATGCTGACTGAACTTCATGGCAGATGGGGCCACACCCAGTGAAAAATGTGACCTTGCCTTTTCCTCCTGTGGCATGACAGGACATGTGTCCCAGTCCATGATGGTGCTGTCACACCCGGGGAACCTGCTGTGCCTTTTCCCTTCTGTCATCAGAACTGTGCTACCAGGAGTGGTTACAGCTGGGGCCTTTACTTCCCTGTTGGGCAGGTTCAACAGCCCATGAGATCAGGCATCTGTTTCGACCAGAACGCCATTTGGAATCAGCAAATTAATATTGAGTCAGGCTCAAGCTCATTTGGAGGAAAAAGGACGAGCACCAACGTCGATGGACCTGCTGTGTGCCAGGCGTGTGCTAAGCACTCAGTGTGGTGATTACTAGCGGAGGCTTGGGAGCTGGGCTGCCGGGCTGAATCCGTTGGGAAGTTACCTGTACTCTCGGTCCTCAGTTCCCTCACCTGCAAAGTGGGGATGCTAACTGCATCTACCTCATCAGGTTATCGTGCGCAGAGGTTGAGGTACTTCGTGTAAAATTTCCCAGCTCATAGTGAGCATTCAGTGTGTGTTAGCTGTTGTTTGAACCCCATTCCACCCTCACCTCGGTGCTGGGAGGTAAGCACTATTGTCACCTATTTACAAATGGGAAAGCTGGAGAAGTTAGGTGAGTGAGTCTCCAGGGGTCACATCACTAGCGTTTGAAACCTGCTCTGGCCCAGCTGGACAGCTGTGTTCTGAGCACTCTTTTCATCCCCAGCGGCTCAGAGGGAATCCCAGAGGCAAAGCCTCTGTGATTTCTAAGTCATATATAAACTCCAGGCAAACTTAACTATTGGCTTCCTCTCAGAGGCCAAGAGCCATGCCTCACTTCTGAACAGAGGAATGATCAAGTGTGAGGGCCTTGAAGGTGGACTCAAAGTCCCTTGGCTAGGGGGCAACCTCATTACACAGGCTGCTCAGTGTTTCTGCATGTTGATTCCCTCACTGATGTTCAGTAAGCACCTACTACTTCCTGCCAAGCACGGAGCTGAGCATGAGGGAGAAGGAGATAGCCAGACACCAGCTGTACCCCTCTTTTCCAGACAGGAGTGTCCCTTCTTCAGCAGTCCTCCTCATCCCTCTCCTCGTCTCCCACAAATTGTGGGTAAAGTGTTCAGGAAGGCTATGGTGAGGACTGTAAGGTGGGCGCACAGACAATCCTGTTTTCCTGTCCTCACACCCCGACTTCCGTTGTAGATCTGGACAGTTGTAGTTTTGGAAGCCATCTTAACTTACACTGTTTCTGTTGGCTGGAAATATCCTTTCTTCCTTCCCAGACCTTACCCATCCAAATCCTACCTACACTTCAAGGCCCAGTCCAAGTCCTGCATCCTCTAAAACTGGCTCCCAGGATGCTTCAGCCTCTGCTTATTTAATTTTCCCATTTCTCTGAACCCCTTCAGTTCGATCTAATTACCATATAAGTATGCACTAAACTCAAGTCCTCACTCAGTCATTATTTCACAAGATTGAGTTTGGTTTTCCTAAAAGGATAATAAGTTTATTACTTTTTTCATACCCCCAACAGACCCTAGCCTAGTGCTGGGCACTCAGTAGGTACAAGATAAATAAATTCTTGTTGATTGCTTGCCCACCCTGTGGCAAGAACTTGAGGAAGGAATGCTGTAGGATGATGTGTGTAAAAAAAAGTGCCTTGGAAGGTGCCTAGCACACAGTAGGTGCTCAGTAAAGGTTTACTAAGAATTAATAAAAGCATGGCAGAACTGCTGCTGATAGCATGTTACTGTGGTGGTGTAACCTCTAAAGACTTACCATTTCATTTAGGTTCTTTAAAATGGGTTTCTCAATGGGCTCGATGAAGGAGTTATACAGGACACTAGGAAAAAAAGGGGGGAAAAGGGCCTTGCTCAGGGACCATACTTACGGTTATAAACCTCCCCTAGGTGCTGCCTGAGAATCCAGCCCCTGACTGCCCACTGCCCACAGGGCACCCTCCCTCACCTGAGCTCTCCAGAAAAGGAGACCCGGGCGTGGCTCACTTGGGCGTGGCACTCTTGGAGCTTCAGGGTTGGGTGACCAACTTCATTTTGGGCCAGGACAAGGATACCGGTGAAGTAGACCCCAGAGAGAAACAGATCAGCTCCTCCTGTGTCTTGGCTGTTGAGAGAAAAAGTGCAAGGTTACCTAGGCCTCAGTAGGGGAGGAGATGTTTCAGTTCTCCAATTACCCACAGACTCTGAGATCGTGGAAGGCAGGACCTTTGTCACCTCTGGATTCCTGGCACCTACTACAGGTAGGAGCAGTAGGTGCTGAGAGAACATTTGCTGAACAAATGAAGTAATGAGTTTGGTGAACGGTGATAGCTTTAGGGACTTTGCAGGTATTTTATCCTGAGCACTCTGCCCAACCCTGCATGTGGTTACACACATATGGAGCACCATTCATATACAATGCTTGTTTAGAGTGAGAACATAGGGGGTAGAGTCGGCCATACCTTATGTAGGAGGGGCGTGGGTGGGGAGGTGACACTTAGATGTAGTCTGTGAACCCCCTGAAGGAGTGGAGTGTGTATTACTCATGTCCATGTCCCCAGGACTTAGCTCAAGGCCTGATGCAAAACGAGCATGCAATGTAAGGCTGATGAGTTCGTGAAGACAAGAATGGATACCTGAACCCATGTTACTTATAGGAGAATACATCACTTCTCTCCAGTCTGTAAGAGTTCTTGGAGTTCTTGAGATGGGAATAAATGGTAAACAGGTTAACAACTCAATAAATGGTTGTTAAATGACCAAGTGGGGGAATGAATGTGTCGTTCTGAGGCACAAACCAAGGCAGACCTAAACATTACACCCAGGATAGCAACTTGCACATAGCGGGTGGTCTGTAAGCATACCCTGAATTTGATCCCTTCTTTCTAAGGAGGGTGCAAACGCCTTTTGCGAAGGAAGAATTTGGCTGAAGGTGACTATCATCCTCCACCCTCCTTGTGAGGTAGGAAGGCTCCCTTTCCCATCAGACGCCCCCACAGACGGCAAAGGGTGTGGAAGGGCCAACTAAGATCACACAGTGACTCACTGGGGGGTCTCAAATGTTGAGCACATGTGCAGTTCTCCAACAGTCTGGGACTTCTAGCCCTTAGGAAACTGTAAAGGACATTTTGATCAGTAGCTGCCTTTAAGGTAAAGATGATTTTCAGCCCCTGCCCCTCTGTCTCCTACAGGAGAGAGATTCTGGTTTAAATCTCTCCTGGAAAAATGTTCTTGGGAAAGGGTGTTAATGGTTGAGGAAAGAAGACTAACAATAAAAATGTCAGTAAATTTATACACTTTGGGTTTTTGCTCCGTTTCCCCCCAGAACAGCAGCCGACTTTTCAGGGAATACTCACAAAAGTGGAGACTTGACTTCCCAGTTTGTGCTGATGTTGGCAGTGCCGTGGTTGGTCAGGGCCTTGATTCCTACCCCCGGCACAAAGGCTAGTGAAGTATTTGGAAATGAAAGGGCATTGATTTTTATGCTGTAAAACAAGAAACAGAGGAGTTAGTGCGACTCCTCTAGCACATCTCTAAGTAAGACAAAATCGGAAATGCAGTTGTAGAAATCCCGCCGGTGACGGTGAATGCCCACAGAGCAAGGAACCTCTGGTCTGCATGGCTGTCCCCGGGCACGGCCTTCTAATTCCCCTCGAACTCTGGGCAGGAAGCCCCCTGTGTCTCACTGACTGGGGAAAAGAACGAGTTTAGAAACAGATTTGTAAAGAATAAAATTTTTTAGTTTCTTTAAGGACAAAAAGCAGTACACTGGCTATCATTATTTTTTCCTCCTGCTTTCCAGTGTTTTTCAATGGAGGGGGACACCAGTGTTTTGGGTGGGACAACTATTTTTTGTAGAGAACTGTTATAAACATTGCAGGATATTAGGCATTTGTGCCAATAAATGTCATTAGTGCCTCTGCCCCCAAATCATTGGGACAGTCAAAAGGGTGTCTTCCTCCTCTTCCCAAACCCCCTCTATGTGGACAGTATCTTCCCTAGTTGAGGGTGTGGACTTGCCCTAGGATTGTCTGAGCTGTCAAACAGGTAACTGGGATGCAGTGGGTCGCATGTCACCCACTTGGGCTGCAGATGGCCACACGCATTATGATAAAGCATTGTTATGAACACTGACTGAGCGATGTACCCCGTGCCGGGCACTGTGGTAAGCAATTCATGAGTCTTAGCTCGTTTGAACCCTCACAATAATCCTATGAGGCTGCTGCTGTTTTTGCAAACCACCATTCAAAGATGAGAAGATAAAAAAACTTGTCACATAGGTAGTAGGCCCAGGTCTGGAACCCTCCTCAATCTGTCCTCAGACTGTGTTCCCATCCACTAAGCTTTGCCACTTTGTGACTGAGCAAAGGGCACCCGACTTGGAGACCAGTTTCGTGCTGGCTGTGCAGCCTTGGGTGAGACACCTAACCTTTTCCAGTGAGTCACTCAGAGGAAGTGTTATAGGTAGGTTACGAAGACAAAATGAGGCCGCCTGTGCGTGATGGTTGCACAGTAGAAAGGCATGGTTATGAGCTAAGATTAGGAAAAAATTAAGACATAAATGTGATGGCTAATAAGAAATGATTACTTGTTATCTCCTCTATTTTGCACCCTTTCCCACTTGCTCTCTGTCACGCATCCTGAGACTCCCCATGGGAAGAGGTATCTTGGATATATTTTCATTTTTATACATATGGGCCTTACCCATTCTTCCTAACTAATGTTACAAAGGGAAGTGAAATTACTACTCCAAAGGGTTAGAGTAGCAGGGAATTATCACTGGTTGATAAAGCATTGTGGTAAATGGTAAAGTACAGAGAACTCCTTATAGAAGCATGATTCTTTGTTATCCTTTAAGACTGAACTCAAGACGCACACAGACATCCTTTCCCTGCGCTTCCTCTGGGGCTTTTGTGGGCAGCTACGGGCAGAGGTTGCCAGTTGCTGCCTGAACATCCGTTTCCCTTTCTTCTTTCCAAACCATTTCTGAATTTGGTCAGGATGACAAGGCGGTCTGATTGGGAAACTAATTTTCCAATCTCCCTTGCTAATAAATGTGGCCATATGCCTAAGGTCTGTCCATTATTGTATAGGTGGAAAATGATTCGAGTGGAACTTCAGGGGGAAAACATCATTGAAGAAGAGACTAACTCAGCTTATAAGAGTCCTTTCATCCTTGCTTTTTCCTCCTTCCAGGGGCCTGAAACATGAATTTGGTGGCTGAGCTGCCATTTGGGATCTTGAGACAACCTCAAGACTAGAATTTCGAGCTGAGGGTGGTGGAGCAGAAAACTATAGGAAGGTGGGATACTGATGAAATTGTGGGGCTTCCATAGGGATCCTCCGCTGTCCCCTTTGAGCCTCTTGTTGGTGAGACAAAAACAAACCTCTGTTACATCTAAGCCATTGTAGTTTGCTGTTATAGTCAACTGAACTTTATTCCTAATTAATACAATATCAAAACTCTGGGCTGGGTGTAATAAGGATCTTAATGAATGTGGTAATTCTATTGTTCTGCCAATGATGTCCTCATGCCGTCTTTATGGATATCAGCTCACACTTGTACAGCAAGCAGTTTCAGTTTCATCAAGTGTCTTTGCATTTGTGACATCACCTGACTTCTACTGTTTCCTGATTTTGACATTTGATTTTGTTGCTATAACATGGCAGAAAAGATGACAGCTGCCACCAGAATTCTTCTTAGGAAGAGAGACTTGTTGGTTGTAAAATTATTTTGAAAAGCATTTAGAGTGTGAAGGAAAGGTCTTTGGTGCCCTGGAGTGGGTGGGACTGCTCTGCCTGAGGCCAATGGGAGACACTTGTGCTGCTCCAGAGGAGGCAAGGTCTGGAGCACAGGAGGGCAGAAGACCGTGTGCCCAGTGACCTCTGAGCCCTTAGCTGACCTTTACTAAGATATGAAGATATTTTTTAATTTTAAAAAATATTTTATTTATTTATTTTTAGAGAGGGAAGGGAGGGAGAAGGAGAGAGAGAGAGAGAAACATCAATGTGCAGTTGCTGGGGGTCATGGCCTGCAAACCCAGGCATGTACCCTGACTGGGAATCGAACCTGCTACACTTTGGTTCACAGCCCGTGCTCAATCCACTGAGCTATGCCAGCCAGGGCAGATATGAAGATATTTGATGAGGGTAGATGTATTTTTGAGACTTTATTTTGAGGTTGAATTCAACTTCTAGGTTTATGGGGATTAGGGTAGCAATGGAATGAATAAGAATTTCCTTTAGAAGCTGAGGGACCAGGTGGCTGCAGTGGACTGCTGTGTTGGATTGGAATTCCCAGTTTAGGAAAGGGTCAAGGGCACAAGGACATGGACTCTGAGAAGATTTGCCAGGTGCCCACAACTAGTGTGCGGCAGAGATACGACCCGAACCCAGGTGTTCAGACCCAAATGCCACACTGTTTGTCGACTTCACGCCCTCTTTTTCCCTTCGGCCATTTATCTGATAAGCCTCTCACCAACGGCTGCTTAACCTCTGCTCTGCAGGCCCTGATGCTACACCAGAACAGGTGGTGGCACATCCACAGCCCTGCGAGCTTAAAGATGAACTTTACTGCTAACAATGATCCGCTCTTTCACTTACTTTGAAAAATTGTAGTTCACATAATCAATCTTCAGAAATTCGAGAGACTCAGACCCTTTTAAATCTGGAATGTTTCTTTCTTTGGCTATTTGCTCAATCATCTCCATCCCGGCTTGAACGCCTGAGGAAGAACCAAAGAAAATGTTTATTGAAAATGCGCAAAGGTGGCAACGGTGTCATATCATGAAACACACAAGTGAAATTTACGGAGTGCGGCGTGCTCTCAGACACTCAGGAAGCAGCAGTCACACCTGGTGGGTATGACTATCATCCCTGCTGCACCCATGGACGCACTGGTTCTCAGAGGGGCTGGTAACATTGCTCGAGACCCCAGGGCTAAGCGCATGAGAGACTTTCATTATTTGGCCTGGGCCAAAGAATACTATCACAGGGCAGCATGATAGAAAAAGAGTGCAGTATTTTATCATTGCCCACATTTTATGGATGAACAAACCGAACCTCAAAGAGGTTAATGCTCACCTAAGTTACCCAGCAAAGAACTGGGGGACCCGATAGTCAAATATGGGCAGTTTGGCTCCAGAATCTATGTCTCCTTGTAGCCAATCTCAGAAAGTAGTCCCCCCCACCCCCGGCCCTAGATTCTTTAAGCTCAGGAATTTCTGGCCCGACATCCATAGACCTCTTTGGGAACTTTTGAACCCCCTGAAATTCTAGTAAAGACTGTGAATGGCTGTACATGTGCACATAGGGGTGGGCAAAAGTAGGTTTACAGTTGTTCGTATGGAAAATAATATAATAATTAATAAATAATAATGCAAACATAAACTCCATGTTTTGTGTACTCAGAACTGTAAACCTACTTTCCAGGGAGAGGATCCACATTTTCATCACATTCTCAAAGGCTCCCAGGACTCCAGAAAGGATAGGAACCACTGCTATTTATTTGGGATACACCTGTCTTGCTGTGGCAGCACCACAGAACATAAAAGAGGAGAAAAAGAGGCCTATTCCATGTTAAAGAGCTTCAGAAAAGTAACTTACAAAGTAATGAAGAGTGATCTTTTCCTTTTAACCTTCTCAAGGAGGAAGCTTGACCTTTACCCCTTACCTTGCAGCCTAAGCTCATTCCCACGCATTCTACCCTGGCTGGAGGTGAAGGAGAGAACATTTTATCCTCTATGACACCATGAATAATGTTACGATGCAGAGATGTAACAGCAGAATGTAAAGATGGAGCGAACCGAAGGCACTATCGGAGAGCTTTGGCTGGAATCCCAACCTTGTCCCTTACTAGCTCGTGTGATCCTGCAAGTCACAAAACCTCTTGATCCCTTTCTTCATCTACACTGGTGTAACATGGGACCTTGGTGAATGTCAACGGATAATGTAGCTCCTCTTAGGCAAAAGTTTACAGGCGAGAAACTGGCCCATATACATTGACTTTGCCATTCCTTTCTTCTATATCATCTGTCTTTGCCCCAATTAAGCCCAAAGAAAACATCAGCCCAACTTTTTTCTCTGCCTGTGCTTCTAATGGGGTGGCTCTCAATCTTTCAGTGTTTCAGACTCCTTTGCACATCAAGTAAATGTACAGAGCCTCCCTCAAGAAAAATGTACAATCATCATCCTCATTAAATTTTGCACACAATTTCAGGGAACTCGAAGCTCCTTTTACAATCAAACCCTTTTTTGAACTCTTAAGTTATGACTTTAATTCCAAATCTCCTTTCCTCTCTACTATAGTGCATTCTCCTTTAGAGCTCTGAGATGTTCACTGTGTGTGTCTGTGTGTGTGAGAGAGAGACAGAGAAAGAGAGAGGGAGGAAGGAGAGGGAGAATGAGAACACATAAATCTGTATCTGTGTTTGGACATGCCTGCTGTTATGGTGGTTATTTTCTAAGCAACATTTTCTTCCCAGCCATCTTAGTAGCTTCCGCATAAGGGACTGGACCACCCAACCGCAGAGTTGTCTCAGTCATGACACAGCTCGGTATGAGGTTCTGGGTTTGGGTTACAGACTGCACCTGGGGGGCTGCAGCCTGGCTTCTGAAAGCATCCAACTTACCATAGTCCAGAGCCCGCTGAGTAGCTCTCGCCTTGATTCCAGGGTATACGGTCTGAGCAGATGAGATGTAGACATTCCAAAGGAGAACACATCCCCAAAGGACTTGGACCATTTTTATACGCATCTGCAATTAACAGACATTTAAGGCTTCTCAATTATTCTTGACTTTCTTATTGGTCAATCCCCCCCAGCATTTCTAGGCTTTCTCATTTTCATTGCTCATTTATGGAACTCACCCCATCTGTCTGTCTGTCCGTCCATCCATCCATCCATCCCTCCCTCCCTCCATCCGGTAATCATTTATTGAACACACCAGAACATGTTCTAGGTGCTGAGGAAGTAAAGATGACCTCTGTGTAGCCTCTGACCTCTGCTTCCCACAGACTAGTGGGCGAACCACATGCACAGACAGATGATTATAACACAACAGCATGATGCAATGCAATACAAACAAGAGTCTTACAATAAATACACTGATTTAGATACGCCTTGAGAAGGATACTAGGGTGGGGGTGAGGAATTCTTGAGTTTTAGAACAAATGAGTCAGTGGTTTAGAAAGGTGGTCTCAGTGAGTCTGCTCAAAGACCCTGGATGACTCTCTTTTGCCTGCCATGGTAGGGTTTAAGCTCTTAGCATGGCGATCAAGGTCTTTCACAATTGGGTCCCAAAATTATTCCAAGCTCCTGTCCTTCCTCTTCTGTTTAAGTGGCACTGTTCTGAGCCGGGCACACTGAACTATGTGCTGTTCCTCAATTTGCCAGTTCCCTTGTGACTGAGGGCTTTTTGTTTAACTCTCCCAATGTAAACACACATTTCTGTCTGCCTGCCTGTCTGTCTCTCTCCTTTCCCCACGCTGCCCCTCTGCCTCTGGACCACAATCCACATTCTGTCTGGTGAACACATCCTCCAGGGCCAGCTTCCATGTCCACTCTGTGAAATCTCCCCTCACCGGGTCATTTTGCCCTGGGCTCATCATTGCACTGTCTCCTCTGTGCTTCCACAGCACTTTGTGCAATACCCATGCTTCCGTTTGAGCGTCTGAAACATCATGAGCTTGTAGGCAGGCTCACCACTTCCACCACTATAGCTCCGATCATCGCACTAACTCAGTATCATTTCATGTGGGTATGCGCAGTCACGTCCTTACTGGTCTCTCAGCTTCCCTTGCCCTCTCCTGGCTGTCCTCTACAACCAGAACAGGCCTTTTAGAATGAAAGTCAGATCTTGTCATCCCCACCCCATAAAAGCCCTTGAGTGGCTCCCTGTCTCACTCAGCACAAAATCCAGAGCCCTTCCACCAACTGCAAGGCCATGCCCCTCTCCGCACCTCTGCCTTCTCATTGACCTCCTTCCTTAACACGTCAGTCTGGCTCACCGGCCCCCAGCCTCACTAGCTGACCTGACCTTTCTTGAACACTCTGAGCAGCTTGTACCCGAGGTCTTTGCGCTGTTGTTCCCTTTGCCTGACACAGTCATCCTCTGTAAAAAATCACATGGCTAGGTTCTCAAATGTTCCCTCAGTGAAGCCTTTCCTACCCACTCTATACAAAGCAAGCACCCCCTCGTCCCTGTGACCCTGACATTCCCTGTGCCCCTCCTCACTTCATTTTTCTTCAGGCACTTAGGATCATCTAGCACAGTTTACAGTTACTTATTTGATTAGTGCCTGTCTCTCCTACTGGGATTTTTAGGCTCCATGGGGAAGAATTTCATCACTTCAGCACCTTGAACAGCGACTGGCACACAGTAGGGAATGGGTAAATGCTGAATGGTTGATTGAATGAATGTCCCTTCCTGGGGACTGTGAAGTGAGCCAGGTTGGCCTTCTGAGTTGCCACAGCACTTGGAGCAGTTCTTGGTCTTAGTAGGCACCACACTGTGTTGTGACTGTCTTTACGTGTCTGTCCCTTCATCACAGGCATTGTCTTACTTTTGTATCTCTAAAGTCTGGTGCAATATCAGTGCATAGTAGGTGCACAAGATAAATCTTAATAAACATCTTGTCTAAGGAGAGGGGCCACATCTTCTTCACTGTTATATTGCTAGTGCTTGGCATACATTAACTGTTTAATGCATATTTGTTGAATTAACGAACTCAGTGAATTAATGTCCATTTTCTTGATGCATGAAGCACGGGTACTATCAACAACAGTGACATGGGTTTCTTTTAATGACAACCATTCACAGGCCTTGTTTATAGTTCTGGGAGTTTATAATCTCTGTAAGATAACCTTGCTACATTTACACATGCCAAAGACCTACGTGAAACAGGTACCCATTGAGTTAACACCCAAACATGAAACAAATCAGAGAAGCATTTCTGGAGGTGGTCAAAAAAGAGAACAGTGTGGGAGCCATGCATTTGGACAGATGGAGGGGTTGGGCAAGGAAGGATTGGAAAGGGGCTGGGACTCAGGAGCAATCTCGATGAAGGAAAGGAGTCATGGTGAGAGGGGTGTGTGTGGGTGGTTGGCCAAGATAAGTTTGATAAAGGGGTTTGTGTGGACTTATGGGTAAGGCCATAGAGCTGGAAATGGGGTGACGTAGACAAAGGGGTGTCCCGGAGGATTAACTTGAAAGGGATAGAGCAGTCTGACCAGAGAAGGGAGTGTCTGAGCAGGGCTGTTGCTAGCCTATCTTGGGCTTTTGTGTGAAATGGAAAAAGGTGCCTTCTGGCTCAGAGCGGGGCCAGCGAAAAGTGTTTCAGGAAAACCGCACACCAGTGTATCCGGTTTGGTGGGGAGAGGAAGGGCTGCCCTCTTCAGCCCTTGGACTGGCATTTTGTCTAGTGCACAAGCTGCCCCATGCATTCAGAGGACCCAAGCTCAGATTAGTGAATGCTGATCTGAGCATTTTGCTGGAGGGCCATGAGGTTGAGAATTAGGGTCTTGACCTGCTTGTTCTGTATGGTGTAAGTCTACCTTCAGAGGTAGACTACCTTCAGGTGTGAGAGGAGGCTGGCTCGGTCAGCCGGCTTATGTTTCCCACCAGATATCCCCGCAGCCCTCTCTGTGCATCCCACTGTCCAGGCGCACTGAGCCCCCAGTTCCTGAACACACGCCGCGTCTCCTGCCTAGTGCCTGTGTTTATGTTGCTCCCCTTCACCTAGGCCTGCGGAAACCCTACACACCCAAGGGTCCATTTCAAACACAGCCTTCTTTCTGAAGCCATTTCTGGCTTCCAAAAACTAATCTCACTTCCTTTCCTCAAGCAAATGATGTATTTACTCATGTGTGTATTTTTGTTTTCTTGATTATTGTCCATCTCTCCTACCAGAATGTAAGCACCACGAGGGCACAGATCTCATCTCATTTGGAGGTCCTAGAGCTCAGCTCAGTGTCTTGGACACAGTGAGTGACTGAAAAGTATTGGTAGAATGAATCAGTGAGTTATTAAATGAAGGAACAGCCCTTACCTCACTCTACATTATCCTTCTTTGCAGAGGTTATTGGAAAGGCATCTATTCACTAGCAGAGCACATGCACCCATGAGGGCAGATGTTGGCCACAGTCCTGGGGCACAGTCCGGAAGGTTAGGTAGTGGATCGTGGGGAGGGCGGAAGTCTTGGAGGAGTGATCAGTGTAGGGTACTGGGGGTGAGTTCAGGACTCAGAGTAGTGACTACTTACTGTTAATACTTAGTTATTTCAATATTTTAACACTGCTATGGCCATATGCATTCAGTGCGATGTTTCAGCCCTGTGGAGTTGGGTTGGGTTATACAGGACAATTCACAGAAAGAAGCTGGGCAGCAAGGCCAAGGGCAGGGCTAAGGAGGGGTGGCTGGAGGATGATCAGGGTAGAGGCAACACAAGGGAAGCACAGAGGAATGACGGTGAGCGCTAAGGGGAAGGAAGGGGCTCAGGTAGGAGGGGAGGTCTCTGGTCAAGCAATGAACGATCTGAGGGCGGGTGGAAATTTGAGGAGTGGGTAAGCAAGTGTGAGCTCTTCCACATTCTGGGAGGTGGGATGGTATTAACTAAGAGCCTATACTCAGAATGGATCCAGGAGCTGGGTCCACCTGGCATCTGAGCTAGGTCTTCCTCGAACTGCTAGTTGAGCTGGGGGTGGTCCAGGGGTCCTGGACAGAGGAATAGTAGAGATGAAGGGGACTATGGGAATAAGGGGAACGCCCCTGAGGCTCTGATTGTAGCTATGCACCAATGGGTATGGAAATATTTCCACATTTTAACAAATGATGAAGTCATCCTAACGTGCAGTCATGCTAACATCTGCAGACAAAGAACTGTAAATGGGCGTGTCGTGCCAAGGCAGGCATATAACAAACTCTCAAAAAAGGAAACCATTTTTCATAGCAGTGGATAGCAATGGGAAAGAACGTTAGGCCAATAAATTTGTACCCACAAGACTACATGCAAAGTAAGGTAGAAATTATATCTCTGCCTCGCACATAGTAGGATCTCAATAAATACGACTAACTGACCAACGGACTGACTTACAGGATCCTGGTTAACGAAGAAAGGTTCTAGAGCACGGTGAAAAAAAGGAGAAAACCAAACCATCATATAAATAGCTCTCCATTTCTACAACAAAAAAGCATGATAAACCAAAGCAGATATATCACTTGCCAGTGGTCTCACAACTGAAATAATACATTTGTATTTCTTTACCATTTACAAAGCTCACACCAATTCTTTCAGGTGGATGTTATCCTACCTCCGTCTTGGACATGTGGACACAGAAGCTTAGAGAATCTGAATGACCTCTCCAAGATTATACACTAAGTCAGGCACCTGGGATTCAAATCTTGCTCTTCTGGCTCCTGCTTTTCATGTTTATAGTTTTTTTTCATTTAATGACTTGATACATGCTAGAATTTTTCATTTTAATTTGGGAATTTTAAATAGGAATTACCTGATGCTCTCTTCTATGTGGAAAAAATCATTAAGCATCTGGAAATTTTCAAGCATCAAGTGCAAATCGCTTTGTATTTTCTTGGGCACAAGTGAGGTTTTAAATTCCCTTCCAGCAGCAAAAAACCTATTTTCCCTTCTTGGTTAAAGAAAATTTCCAAAGTGGTCTACTTTGATGGAGATCCAGGAACTCAAAATTGCATATAGAAATATATATATTTCCTCTAAAAATGTTATGAGTGAATGAAATTCCTGGGCTATAAAGGGATGGCTTGTATATAACTTTCAGTTGAATTGTTTGGTTAGGATGATAATTTATGGGCAGGGGAGGAAAGGAACCTTGTCAGGCAAGGTGATGACTCTTAAAAGGTTAAGTAATTTGGCTGACAAGTAAGGGCATGGTGAGTTGCCTGTTAAAAAGGATCCAAGATGATTTTAAAACCCTGCTGGCCAAGTTACGTATTTTGTTGCTTCTGAGGAATTGCTTCTTTCCAAGATTCAAAGCCTCAGAACTCATTACATTTCCATCTGACGTATGGACAGAATAACACTTCTAAATCAGATGGCCCATGCCTGACCATTCCCGTGACTAGAGATAAGAAAACTCTGGTACAATTGAGAAAACTCCCGAGACGGATCAATTTGCCACTATCGCTCAGAGGGGAGAGCTCTGACAGACCCTGGAAAAATTGATTAAAGAAGTGATGAGTGAATGAAATGTAGCCTTTAAGACAGAGGCAAAAGTTGAAAAATTAAGTTCAATTGGTTTAAAGCCTAGACTTTAAGAATATTCTAACGTAAGAGTGAAGATAAAATGTTTGTAAGAAGTCTAAAGCAACAGGTATGGGACATGGGAAGAAGTGGAGAATATTTCAAGGGATTCAGCCCACACATCTGATTTCATACGAAGATCTGTAATGACAAGCACCTTGAAAATTCACACCAAATCTTCCTTCCCCAAACTGCATACACAACATGGACAAGTTAAAAATTTCTTAAGTGGGAGGGCTGTTTGCTCTGGCAGGATCTTGGTCACTGATGTGATTCAAGACCTGGCTCCAAAGCAGCGAGATCACAGCAGCTCCTTAATCCTCACCACGCCGGCCGAGACACACGTCAGTATTTTCTGCCACTGTGCTGGGTTCCCCATGGAAATGGAAGGGAAAATAAGCCCAGACTCTTGAGCAACCCTCTCAACACAGCTATGATGGTGAAACTGAGAGTATAGTTCCAACCAATTCTCTATTCTTTCTTAGAGCTGTTCACAGTCTTCTCGGTGAGCAAGAGGGACATGAAAAACAAACAAAACAGAGAAACCGAAGCAGACCATGATAACTCAGAATACGTGACAGCTGCCCGCTCAGGGTGTCCTACCAGATCTGGGACGTCTCCGGCAAGAGCGTAATCCCCGTGGGGAGACGGTCTGCTGGCAGAGACCCGCAGCTTGTTCGTGATTCTTACCTCGAGCAGAGGAAGCGTCCAGAGCCAGGGAGCACCTTCGATTCCCTCTGCCTTTGAAGTTGGTGTGTTCTCTACTTGAGCTTTGAACTCAGCTGCGGCAAAGACAGGATAATTAAGTCTGAATCATCTAGTGGTGGATTCCTTTAATGCCTCTGTCAAAATATGATGCATAATTGCTTCACTTCAATTACCCAATGGCATGAATGAACACTACAGGTCTTACCTAGATGAGCAAACAATGCCGCTTAGGCAATAATTACCTCCCTGACACACACACACACACACACACACACACACACACACACACACAGCTCAGGTGAAATTGTTATGGCTACTTTACCAGAAATGATTAAGACTTCCAATGTATTGAAAAAGGTGTTAAATTGTATTGAATTGGAAGAGGAAGAATTTTTCTTTCTGGAATTATAAGCTGGTTCCCCCTGGTCAGGGTGCCTGCGGGGGTTGGCTCCACTACTGCAAAGAATACGCTTTGGACTTTTAGTGAATCAGATTCAGTCTGAGAGTATGAAGCTGGATAACCAGGCTGACCTACTTACCATCCTCGTCTTCCAGGGCGAGACCACAGAAGGCATTTCTAAGTGTCCGCTTCTTGTCTGAAGGTTACTAATGGCTTCCTGTCTCAGCATTTCTTTGAAGCTGGGTGGGTTCATCAACGAGGTATCATGTAACTTGATATCTTTAGATTCTAAACTCCATCCCCCGCTCCCATCCCCCATGTTTTAATCATTGCATTTTCAATGGCCAGGGATCGGATTGCATGAAGTGTCTAATGACTCATGTACAATTTTCTGGGTAAGACAGGGTGACCGGTGGTCCTGGTTTTCCTAGGATGCAGGATCTTCGGCACCAAAACCAGGACAGTCTTAGGAAACCTGAGAGGGTTGGTCACCCCAGTAAGAAAACCAGGCATGTTCATTTGGCATTGTCTGCACTTCTGACAGCCCTATCAGTTTTCTCATCTAGTGCACCTCCAGTTATTTTTACCGACTTAGCCTGAGTTTCCTTAGGGGTAAAATGAAGATAAAAATAGTATCTACCTTAATAAGTTCTGATGGGAAAAAAAAGGTTGGTAACTGTTTTAGTGTGTTTGTTTAGTTAGTCTGTTATAACAAAATACCATAGAATCGTCTAAGCTTAAATTAAGCTAAGCTTATATGCTAAGATCTCATAGCTTAAAAACAACAGAAATTTGTTGCTCGCAGTTCTGGAGACTGGGAAGTGCAAGACCAAGGTGCCAGCATGGTCATGTTTGGATGAGGACCCTCTCCCATGTTCATAGCTGGTGTCTTCTGGCTGTGTCCTCACCTGGTGGACGGACGGAGCTGGGAGTTCTGGGGAACCTCTTTTATAAGGCACTAATCCCATTACGACACAAGGGCCCACCTACTGATATCATCACCTTTGGGGGGTAGGATTTCAGAATATAAATTTGGGGGGGACACAAACAGAGAGTGATAACCTATGAGAACGTGCTCCTAAAATTGTAAAGTGCTGTACAATCTTATTCATTAGTATGTGGCCATTACCAACGGTGGCAGGAGACACTGTAGCCTCTCTCCTCATAGAATCACTTATTGTCAGCCTTCAGAGATTAATCTAGTTATTAAATCAAATATTTATTGAGTGCCTACCAAGGGCAAGCTCCTCTTCAACAAAAAGGACAGAATCCCTGTCCACATGGAGTTTCTGTTCTAACAGATGGAAATATAAAATAAACAACCAACCAAACAAAAGGCGCAGATGTGGCATGTGCTATGAGGGAAACAAGGGGATGCAGTTTGTAGGGTGGCCTTATAATTGGTAGTGCAGTGTAACTGGGGGAGGTGTGCTTATTTTGTTAGGGTGATCTGGGAAGACTGCTCTGAGCGGGGATAATATTTGAGCATTAGAAACCAGGCAGGCAAATCCCTGAAGGGGAAGGTGGAGGGAACAGCAAAACTGGGCCAGTGTGTCTGGAAACAATGGTATTGAACATTTAAATGGTGATACCAGTTGTTCTGGGAAGAGGGTGGCAGGAAATATGAATTTCCAGGTTATCATCCTACAGGTGGAATTATAGCCACAGAAGTGGAGGACACCTGGGGCGGTTTCCCATGGTGCACGTGCGACCCTGGAGGAATGCAGAGTACTTTCAAGTGCTCCACAGGTAACACCTGAAATTGCATCGTGATTATCTTTAGTGCATTAGAAAAAATACAACCAGACATGGAAGAGGATGAATGACATCACACATCATGTGGAAATAAAAATTTCTGTCCTTTCCTCAGATTCTTCCCTGGGTGGCACCTGTTTCCCTTCTCCCTCTATGGTCCTAGGTTTCCTCTTCTTCCACCTCCCCAGAGCAGCTCCTTGGCTCTCCCTTCCCTCCTCCCCCAATTCACCCCCATTCCTTTCCTGTGTCAGAAAGATGTAGATCATGTTCAGCCTCCTATCTGCATTGCATATTCATTAACCAGCTGCACAGGATCTGCTAGACTTAGAAGGAAGTTGAGAACTGTAAAATAATGATTGTAAATATTTCCTGATTAATTTTTCTTTTTTCCACAAAGGACCTGAAAGTCTAACCATATCTTGGTGAAAACCTGAGTCACTGTTGTGTAGGCTGGGACTTTCAGCACAGGATTTGGGGGGAATTCTTGGGGAGCGTGCCCTGCACGAATGAGGGGAGGGAATGTGGAATGTGGGGGTTCTGTCCTGCAGTCTTGGAAGGCTCTTGCTTCACATGGACATGCTCTGCCCGCCTCAAGCCCTTCCTCTGGGGCTCAGAGCCATCATCATCTGCAACGGTGGAGATCACATTTACCGGGAAGCGTGTCTATGAGAATTAAACTAAGTGAGCTAGCACATATTAAGTTTTTCATACAGTGTCAACAAATTACATACATTACTACTTGCATTTCCTCTATTGCAAGCAAATATGAGTTTAATTTTAAACTCATATTTTAAGATATTCTAAACAACTTTTTATTTTTAATAAATGTATGTTTAGTTTTCATATTTTAATTTTTTTATATTTACCTTCTATTTGGAAATTAATAGAAGTTTTCCCTTTATATAGCTTCCCCTTTTCAAACAAATTTATATACAGTTTAAGAAGTGGGCTGATTTATAGGGGAAAAATGAACCCAGCAGTACAGCTCATGAGGGACATACAATAATTTTGGAAAAACGTCTGAAATAAATGGAGTTTAGGAAACTAATATTGAAGAAGAGAGTGCAGCTAGTCTGTTTTATTTCATTTGAAAGGGGCTATAGATTATCAACTAATGTCACCCCAATAAGTTTAATAGAAAAATAAAATAAAATGAAAGGAAGGGGCTATAGAAATCAGCCCATTAGCTTTCCTTTCTGTGCAAGGACTCATTTGGGGGCAAATTTGCCAAATGCATCCCTAAAAACAACAATGGTGAAAGCCAGCAGCGCTGTCTCCAGTTCATTACTTATTTTAGGTGTTCAGATGTAACTGAAAACTTGCTGGGAACTCCTGCTTACCCAGTGTACTCACGATGGTGATCTAGAATCTGAGATTCGTTATTTCACTTGCTAGTCGCTAGCAGCATATCGGCCTCTGCAGGCCAAGGGGCACCTTTAATTACAACTCCAAAAGACAAATCATAATTAACTAGGTAGAATCATTGTTCATTAAAAGAAGATGCCAAGATTCAGTGTTAAGGAACTGAGCATCCCAGCTCTTGGTTTCTAGAACGTCTGGGCCATTCCTGTATAGAAAGAACCTACCTGAACACCAGACTTGCTTTGAACTTTGCAGTCAACTTGCGTTACTCTTTATGGCAGACAGAAGTGGGAGGGGACAAGGATTAGGCATATAGGGACGATGAACCAAATAGGGCAGTCTTAGGAAACGACACTTTGAGCTCTGATCCCTTAATGCCCACCTACCCCAACATTTTGTGTTGACAAATCTGGTTAAAAGGAGCACCTGAAGAGGGACATAAAAGGAAGAGAAAAATAAGAGGTCACATTTATGATTTGTGATGCTCTGGGCACCAGTTATATATGAACTCATGAAATCCCCGCCAAGACTGTATAAGGTGCTAATACCATCTCCATTTTATAGATAGGGAAACTAAGAGGTTAAGTAGTTTGCCGAAGCTTAGGCATCACAGACAGTAAGTTATAGAGGCAGGATTCAGGACCCAGGTAGGTGGGTGTTCTGCTTCTGGAAGTCCAGGCTCTGAACCACTATGCTAAGCTGCCTTTTTAGAAAGGTCACTAAAGGGCAACCCATAGTCCAGGGGATGTGGAAGGTGAGGAGAGAGAGAAGGATGCTGTTGCCAGGCAACACATCCGGTTTTTCAAGCTGCTAATTGAATCTGTGTAATTGCTAGTTTGAAATTGCTAGTTTATTACTGACTAGAGGAAGCTGCCTGGAGTTTATGTGGCTCTTGAAGGAGATAAGTGACCCTACAGTTCACTGCAGAGGGCTGCGGAGGCATCTGGCACAATCGTCCCATCAAGTGGCAGCATCTCCCCCTCTCTTCCAGTTCTGTCCCAGGCCGCACTCTCCTGAGGTCTGTGTGTTGATGTTTCTGGGTGGACACCAGGGACTGACTCAGACCACGGCTCCTGCCACCCACCAGCCACACTCTGGAATGACTTGCGGCAGTGACTCCCTCCTGGTTTTGAAAAATAAGCACACCCACTTAGCTACTCACCTCCACCCTTTATCAGTTATCTACAAGGGAGTCACATTTTATCACCTGCAGTTCAGAGTGAACGCAAATTCATGCTAAATTTTACGTGCATACACATATGAATTTTATGAGAAATGAAGGGTCCATTGCGGAGCTAAGCCAACAAGATAGTGCGACACAACTCTGAAACGTCTGGGACCACCGATGTGAGCCCAGTTCAACACATACGAATTTCTCTGTCGAGAAATTGTTAAAGACATTTTGGGCCAGGTATTCTTTTCATTTTTAACAATAATTTCTTTTTTATTAAACTTTTTCTTTCAGCTACAGTTGACATTCAGTATTGGGCCACATAGTTCTTCGACGCAGGGGGCTAACCTGTGCTTTGTAGGCACAGGTTTGTAGCATCCCTGGCCTCTGCCCCGATGTTAGTAGCACCTCTCTCTCCCACCTGAGTTGTGACAAAAATGTCTCTGGACTGGGGCAAATGTCCCTTGACAGGCCTCAGGTGGGGACCAAGGAGACAACAATGTCTACTAAAGTGTTCTGTCCGGCCTTTGCAGTAGAAAATGGCATTCTTCTTGAGGATCAGACGCTAATATTCTTTATAATATTTTTCCTAATTACTCAGTAAATTTGTGAATACACCCTCTTGGTAAAAAAGTCAAGCAACGCTGGTTTAAAGGTCCCGCTGTGACAACCCCATGCTCCCCCGATGTCATCCTGTCTTCTGTCTGCCTCCTTCTTGTTTGCTTTCAGTGCACAGACTTTAACCATTTCAACGGCTTCTGGAGATTTTTTTTCTCACTCTCATGGTTCTTTCAAATGACATTTACTAAGGCCCATTTAAATTTCTCATCAAGAACAACATCTACATAAGTTATTTGAATTTCTTCTGCACAGGAGATTTGCCTGTTCTCTATGTGTTCAATCATCTGTTTGTATCAGTTTGGACTTATAGATATTTATTTTATACTTTGGCTTATAATCAAAGCCTTCATAATAATTCTATAAATCTAAAACCTCAAAGTCTCTTTATAAGTGTTTAAAAAAGTCCCAAACAACCACAGTTAAGACCACATGGTATAGACCAAAGTGTGGTTTCATGGTAGCATTGCCTGGAAATCTTTAGAAATGCAAATTCGCAAGCCCCTCTCCAGACCTGATAAATGAGAAAGTTTGGAGACGGGACTCAGCAATCCGTGTTTCAAAAAGCTCTCTAGGTAATTCTGACACTAACGTATGAGAAGTTGATAAATAGATAAAAACTCAAATTCAGGAGAATAAATTGGATCTGTATGAAAACACCCAAAGTAAGGCCAACCCAACTTTCTCTGGTAGAGACAGAATGAGGATCTTACTTTTCCAAACAGATATATTAAGAACTCAGAGACAATCACGAATGTATAATTTTAAAGCTTGCTCAACCAGTCCTCACAAAGGACATGGGGGCTGAGGGTTACGGAAGATAGATAAGACCTGCCCTTTCCCATTGAGAAACTCATAATCTAGGGCTGGAGAAAGCCTGGTGTAGAAATCGTTGCACTGTAGTGATGGATAACACTGAGAAGTATGTTCCCAGTGCTCTTGGAACACAAAGGAGACACACATTCTGCTAGGAAGGAGGGAAGGAAAGGTCTTCCAGGTAGAAGGATCGACGTGTACAAAAGCCCAGAGGCATGCAAAGGGATGCCTATCTCCTTGCTCTGTCAGCTGAGAAGTCCGGGAAGCAACAACACTCTGAAAGCAATGAGCACATCTAACACCCAGATCCTGGCTTCTGGTACCATTCTCCAATGGAGGGAACTGGGACTCCTTGGAAAAATGGCTGGTTCCAGGGGTGGGGCAAGGTATATACAAAATGATCCTGCAGCATCTTATAGTGCCAGAAAGTAAGAAAGTACTCACAAAACAGAACAGAACAAATGAATGAAAATCTACAATGTCAAATGGATACAGTAGCCAACTGAGAGATCTCCCAATGGCCAAAGCTGGAACAATTTGAGCAACAAAATAAAGTAGTATTGAGTTATAAGAAAAAGTAAATAAATTCAAAGTGATATAAACAAATGGTTGGGTAAATAGAAAATAGGCAAACATCTTGTGCAGAAGAAATTCTAATAACTTATGTAGATGCTTCACCCCTGAGGAGGTGGAGCATAACCCCCACTCTTTAAGTGGGGGCTGCACATGGTGACTGTTTTCCAATGACTGCAATATAAAAAAAAGAGGAAAAAAGGAGCAAGTTGACAGTGGAGAAGCCAAGTGATCAGGGTTAGCGCCAATGGAGAAGACAGGCTGATAGTATGTAGTGTGGATATGATGTGATGAGAATGGCACTCTACCATAAGGGGTTGTCCTCCCAAAATATCTGACCAGGGATCCTCAAAACTGTCAGGGTCAGAAAATACAAGGAACGTCTGAGAAGCTGTCACAACCAAGAGGAGCCCAAGGAGCCACGACAACTAAATGTAATGTGGTGTCCTAACAAGGACATTAGGTAAAAACTAAGAAAATCTGAATGAAGTATAAACTTTAGTTAGTAAAAATGTATCAATATTTGTTCATTACTGGCAACAAATGTACCATACTAATATAAGATGTTAATAGGAAAAATTGGGTATGTGGTATATAAGCCTTTATAATAATTCTCTAAATCTAGAAACTGTCCTAAAATAAAATACTTACTTTAAAAAAGCCTACAGGGAGCCAATGAATGGGGAGTCCCACAGAAGAGTGACATCATCCCTTTGTAGTATTCTATAAAATGCTACAAAAGAGAAATGTAAATTTTTAAACTCTTTGAAGGCTGCAGTGCCTGTTGCTTGCAGACATTAAGGTGACATCCTGCAAAAGAAAAAAAAAGTTCAAGGAGAGAGATGGCTGAGAGGAGGGGCTTTAACATGCTTATGGACCCCTAAGGTGTTGGAGGAGAGCCCTCCAGATACCTTAAATCCTGGCAGTGCCTTGGGAACAGTTTGGTTCTTTTCTAGACCCTCGTGCACTCCTCTGGTTGGATTCCTTCTGCCATCCTGGGGGGTTACACCCTACTGGGCAAAAGATTGAGATAAAGATACCAGGTGCATTAATTTTCTGTTATTGTTGTAACAAATTCAGCGGCTTAAAACAAAAGGTGTTTGATATTTCACTGGACCTTTATAACACACCAGTCTGATATATTTTTGTTACTTTTTTTCATTTTTACAGATAGGAACTTATCCAGGTTTACATAGTATTTAAGAGGTGGTTGTGGTAGATGGTCTCCAGGGCGACCACATTAGCCTTGCACTGCTTTCTCCAAGAATGTTATTTCAGAAAAAAATAAACAGACATTTGTCCAGGCCACTGTTATTTCAGATCTCTGTTAGAGCAGTTGAAGCTATATCCTAACTAATCTCAGCCTCCAAATACAGTCATTTTCCAAGTTCTATTATTTCTAACTCTGCCCATCCCATTGTCTCCATTCCCACTGCCATTCCACTTATTCCTTTTTTTCTGTTACCAAAAGAACCTCCTAACTGAGCTGGCCTCCAATCCAGTGGTTCTCACGGCAACTTTGCTTCCTAGGGGATATTTGGCAAAGTTCGGAGACACCTTTGTTTCTCACAACGGGGGGAGGCGGGGTTCTACAGGCATTTTATGAATAGAGACCAGGGATGCTGCTAAACATCCAAGTGCAGGGTAGTCCTCCACAAGAAAGACTTAGAGGTCTCAAATGCCAGTAGTGCTGAGGTTGAGGAACCTTGACCTACTATACTCTCCCCCCGCCAATATATCTACCGTAGGATGGTATTTCACATCTGACCCATGCTCCTTCTAGTGTGTCCATCTGCCAGACTCATGGCTTCCTATCATCTTTTAAACAGTCTTCCTGTATTTGGGGAAATTCCAACCAGGTTCTGCCTCCCTGAAAGCAGTCTGGATCCCTAATTCCAATCTCCTTCGCAGCCAGGACTGAGGCATGGGACTTGGACTTCCTCAGTCAGATATGCCCCTGTGAACCTTGGAGGTAGACGTGAGCCAGGTGAGGAAACAGGGTCTCTTGGAAGCTTGGCATTTTGTTGGTGCAGGAGGCTGCACGAGCGTGTGGCTTCTGAAGGAGGCAGCCATTCCCCAGGGGTGACAGCAGTTTCCTCCAGTGCGGTGCGGGGTGGGGTGGCAGCAGCGATCCCAGCCATGGACATTTCCTTGTTGGGCCAGTTCTTCAGCATCGTTCTGAGTGTCATTCCTGGAAGCTTAGCCAGGAGCCGCTTCTCCAGGCCTCCCCCAATTCCCTGAGCTCCCTAGTATCATTTTTTTCAATATTTTAGTGTTGTATATTATTATTATTTTTTTAAAGATTTTATTTATTTTTAGAGAGGGAAGGGAGGGAGAAAGAGAGACAGAGAAACATCAATGTGCGGTTGCTGGGGTCATGGCCTGCAACCCAGGCATGTGCCCTGACTGGGAATCGAACCTGTGACACTTTGGTTCACAGCCCGCGTTCAATCCACTGAGCTACGCCAGCCAGGGCCCTAGTATCATTTTAATATGCTCTTTTTTCCCCCACTTACTCATCCAGAGTCAGCTTCTACTGCTCAGAACAAGGAACCCTGGTAGATAAGGGTGCACCAGACATTCTAGAATGTGTCCCAAATCCTTTGCTTAGCTCAAGGCTATTTTTGATATGGGGATGTACCCACTGTCCCTTACCCTGGCCTGTCCTTTACCCGGGCCCCCTGCCTCAATCCCATCTTGCTTGCTACTAGAGAGCCCTACTGTCACAACAACCCTCCTCTTTGCTCCCTAATCCCCAGGACTTCATCTCCTTCATGGACAAGGTACTTTTTACATTTTACACTAACAGTTGATTCACTCAGCTGTAACCAATGCACCGGAATACGTCTTTTCAATCTGTGGGAGTCCTCAGCACCTAGGTCAGTATCTGACGCAAAGGAGGCGATCGAGGCTGGCTTCCTTCCTGAAGGTCAGGATGTGGACAAACACTGCCACCTAGGGGGAGAAACGTCAATCAACCCTTTCGGTTCCGACAATGCCTATCTATACAAGGATGCGACTTGGATACTCTCTCCCTCCTCTAACGGATAATCATCATCACTATTGTCAGACCCTCTATGGTCGCGCCAGCCTTCCAGATGGCCCCCAAGGATTGCCGTCTATTGACTGGTATTCAGGCCTTTGGGTTCATCCCCCTGCGCTGAAGAACTGTCGGTGTGTGGCTTCTGAGGCTAGGTCCTAAAAAAACACTGTGGCTTCTCTGCTTCCGTCTCTCTGGGGTAACCTGCTCCCAGGGCAGCCAGATGCCGTGTCATGGGGACACTCTCGTGGCCTTATGCGGAGGTCCGTGCAGTGACAAGCTGATGCCTCCTGTCAATAGCCACGCGAGTGGTCCACGTTGGAGGCAGACCTCCGGACAACCGCAGTCTTGGCCTCCATCCTGATTGCCATCTCACGGGAGACCCAGGCAGAACCACCCGGCCAAGTCAGGCCCCAGTTCCGGACCTGTAGAAACTGTGGGGCAACAAACGTTTGTTGTTTAAAGGTGTTAAGCTTTGGGGTGACTGTTATGCGGCAACAGGATACTAACTCACTTTCAGAGCTAAAGCACCGACTGCAGGCTGTTTTACATTTTGCTGAAACGGGAAGAAACTACCGGAGCCTGGGCTCAACCTACGGCTCCTCGGAGCAGACGCCGCTGGAGCTGGGCGCCACGGAGGAACTGAGATAAGGACCAGGCACAGCTGGGCCTTGAGGGGCGGCGGGGCGTGTGGTCTGCCTTTCCCGCTTCAGGGTCGCACTGCCACGACGACTGAGAAACCGCGACACCCTCGCTCCGCGGCAGCCTCGGCGCCTGCGCGGTGGGCTCCTCGCACTCCCAGGCGGCGCCGTGGAGCGCCGAGTCGTCGATCGCAAAGTCCCAGAGCCGCCTGCCTCCGCACGGGCCGTCCGCCGCCGCTCGCGGGGTGGGCTGCAGGGGGCGCCCTCCAGACAGGGCCGCAGTGCCCACGTCCTAGAGACCGGCCGGCAGCTCTGCCAACCTCGCGGGGCCTTCTCCCCGTTACCTCTCAGCACCGCCTTCACTCCCTTCACCCCTCAGCTCCGGTAGTCGCCGCTCCAGGGCCGCCGCCGCTTGAAGTAGTAGCTGTCCGGCCGCACCGTCGTCACCGTCGCTGCCTCTGGGTCCAGGACCCTGGGCCCTGCCGCCACCGCCATGAAGCTGCGAGTGCGGCTTCAGAAGCGGACGTGGCCGCTGGAGGTGCCAGAAGAGGAGCTGACGCTGGGGCAGCTGCGTGCGCACCTGAGCCAGACCCTGCTGCCCACCTGGGGGTACAGGTAGGCGGCTGCGGCGACGGGGCGTCTCGGGGCTCCGGGAAGCGTGGCGGTGGCGCAGGCCCCTCCGTCCCGGGAGGCGGGCGGAGAGCCGGCTTGGCGGGTCCGGCGGCCCTGGGGCTGTGTCACGCACAGGCCGGACGGTAAGCGGGCGCGGGGCCTTGGCTCGCGGAGAGCACGGCCCGGCGTCTTGGGGGCTCCTTTCCTCGCCGGGGTGAGCCGCGCTTCCATTTTTCCAGTAAAGGAATCCAGGGATAGGCCAGCACGCACAATTTCCCGCCCTTTATAATATAAAGTTGGAAATGATGGGTTTGGTTTGGGTTAAAGGTTTCCGGGCGCTCAGGAATGTGGAACTTCACCATCTCCAGCACCGGGGCATTTCAGTGGAAAAGTTTGGAAAGTACTAGAAGGAGGTAGCAATCGCCCTCCCCCCACCCCCGCCCCATTCCGTAAACTTGTAGCGCTGCTGGGCGGCCGCTGCAGTGATCTTAAGGCTTCACTGAGTGTTTACCAGCCGGGCTCCGCGGTGAGCGCCTGGACTTCCCCGCTGCCGTTTTGCAAAGTCCAGCGTGCCGGCGTGCTTCCAGTCATTTTATGTTGCTTTTTGCTAAAACCAAGGTAAACATTGGCCTTGTGATGACTCTGGAGACTTGCAATTGCGGGCAGTGACGTTGAGAAGTAAAGGATCCAAGTCTGTTATTTATGGGGCTGCCGATGAGGCTGCTTTGTTTCCGTTGAGGGTGTCTCCTGGGTACCGCCATCGGGGAGTAGAGGGACAAAAGTTAGGGTGGTCCTCTTCCGGTATGAGTAAGCTAGCAAAGTTGGAATTGGTGCGGAGAAGAGAAAAAGATGTTTGCCGGGGCTTTTTAGGTGAATTCTTAAAAAAACAAAACAAAACCCTAAAACTTAATTAAGTGGTTCCTTTTATGAGACTTTTACAAACTTGCATTTTATTTTTAGGAAATTCAGTAAAAGCGGGCCATAGTATGAACTTCTCACCCTGCCATTTATCAAGTTAAAAGTAAGCCTGATTTCCAAATTAAGACAAAAACAGGAAAGTGAGAAATTGACATAACCCCCTTTAAACATTATATTAAACGACAAGCCTATTATTTCTTGCTGTTAAACCTAAGAGTTTTGCATGCTGACTTCATTACCCCACCACAGGTTTTCAAAGTTAATTTCTCTTTTTTAAGGTATTTTCATCTATATGTGCACATATTTTATTATTATTTTTTAATTAGGTGGGACAGTCTTGAAAGGATGTGAAACCTGACTCCTTGGTTTATCCAAGAGCCCAAGTGAGTTTCCCTTTCAGGTTCGCTTTTGTAGTGAAGGCTGGTTACCTGGAAGGCATGCAAGCCTCAGCTCGTGAAAGTAAATTACATTTTTCTGAATGTATGTTCATTTTATCATAACTAGGCAGTTTCAAAATGTGTCCATATGACATTATTTATAAAGTGTCCTTGCTGAGCAAGTGGGTCTGGGGTTGCCGTAAAATATTTTTTAAAAGGCTCGAAGTTTCTAGGATGGAATTTCCTGCTTAAAAGGTGCCCCCCCAGGCCCCAGCTTCAGAAAACAACTGTTTTTTAAAGCCTCTCCTGGGAAACCTCTATTAGTTTAGAAATAGCTCTTCCCTTTCTCTATAGGGGACGGAAGCTCAACATTTTTGTTAAGCAGATGATTCTCTACCTTTTCTACAAGTAGATATTTGAATGAACACTGTGTTAAAAATAACAACCTTTTGCTTTGACACATGATCCATAAACACTTAGTTCATTTGAGGTGGTTTTCTATTTTTTTTTTCCGTCCGAAGTTGGGGTAGTTTTTCTGGGTAACTGGCAGTTTTCAACATTTATTATTGGAAAGCACTTGAAAACAGAAGCATAGTTACTTATTTTTTATAAGTAGGAGTAGTTTCTGAAACCTTAGCATCAGTAACTTCTCAACCAAAGAAAGACACTCTGAATTGGTAAGAAGAATTGAATTTACGTGAGAAAGAAAAAACATACTGACTTATTCCTGGCACTTTGAAAACACAGCATTGTGAGAAAGAATCAACAGCATGATTCTTCCAAGGACGTCCTTCAACAGCATGATTCTTCCAAGGACGTCCTTCTTTGACTTTTCAAGAAGTTGATGAAGTCAGCATTGCTGGGTGTAAATGTCTCATGAAATGTTCACTACGGTTGTTCATTGTTCCTCACCACGACATGGTGAAATGATGGTGGTCCTTTCCAGGTCAGGTACTCGGTGGTGCAGAAAGGGTGGGAGTTCCTTGCTCCAGGATAATTTGAGCTCTTAGCTTGTTTACCGGTGAGGTTTGGGATTTGTACTGTCTTCCAGGTAAAAGACATCGTTAGTGAGGAAGAAGCTTGTACTTACAGGAGGATGAATTGCATTCAGTTGTCTACATACACTCATCTAACTTTTTGTAACTTTTTGTGATTGTGAATATTCATTTAGGCTGTGGGTCTAGTATTTTGGAACCAACATAAACTGTCCTGTGGGCATTGAATGGGTAGACCTGATTTCAGTCTCATCTTTTCTTTTGATCCCTACCCAAGGACATGCTCAATCATTGATTTTAGAGAATGGGGAAGGGAGGGAGAGGGAGAGAAACATCAATTGCCTCTCATATGCACCCCAGCCAGGGTCTCATATGCATTCAACACCTGCAACCCAAGCATGTGCCCTGATGGGAATCAAACCTGCGACCTTTTGGTTTACGGGACAACGCTCCAACCAACTGAGCCACACTGGCCAGGGCGATTTCAGTCTCATCTTGAACTTCCCAGCTAATGTTGGCTGCATTTATTCCACAAATACTTTTATTTGCCAAGTGCTGCAATTACAGTTTTGAACAACACAGACAAAATACCTGGTCTTATGAAACTTAAATTCCAGTGTCGGGGTTTGGAAAGAGAGACAACCTATAAATAAATATATTTTCAAATAGTGCCGTTACAATAAAGAATAAAACACGAGAATGGAATAGAGGGATGGAGACTGGGTGGAAGGTGACATGTGCCTTGAGACCCGAGTGATGGAAGTCAGTCGCTGGAAGAGCTGGAAGAGCAGATGCAGGGGCCCAAAGGCTGCACTGGAGTTGATCTCTTTGGGGGACAGACAGAAAGCACGTGTGAACCGAGAACAGTCAGTGAGAGGAAGGACGAACCAGGTGCTGAGGTAGGAGAAGCAGGGCGGGGCCAGTTGCTGGGCTTAGAGGCCACGGTAAGGATTCTATTCCAAGTTCAAGGGGAAGCCATTGGAGGATTTTTGGCAGAGGAATGGTGTGATATTATTTATATTTTTAAAAGACTGTATTTCATTGAATCTCATTTGCCGTCACTCTTAAGATACATTATTTTATGTAATACTAAAGGAAAAAATGCTGTCTATTAAGCTGTGTTATGTTATGTTATGGATTTTGAAAAGCAGTCCTGTTTCAAAGATGTCAAAATATAAAAAAGTGTGTGTCTTAGAATTGATGAAAACATGGATTAATGATAGAGAATTGCTGTATCCTATGCCCCCAGCTAGAATTTTAGCCATTAGAAATCTGTAACCTAGGCATTCAGTGATAAGAATGAATAATTTGGTAGTTTTTCCAAAACTTTGGCTCCCTTCTTGTTTTTGTTTTGTTTTCATTGTTTAGTTTGTCTAGGATCATACCATGTACCTTATATATGTTTCAAATGTATTGTTGAGGATAATGGTAATAGGTAGCTCTTACCATCCTTATCCGTCTTTCTTGGCAGTTCCGATACCCGGTTTGCAATTACATTGAACAACAAAGATGCCCTCACTGGAGATGAAGAGACCTTGGCTTCATATGGGATTGTTTCTGGGGACTTGATATGTTTGGTTCTTGAAGATGCCATTCCAGCACCTAACTTGCCTTCATCCACAGATTCAGAGCATTCCTCACTGCAGAGTAACGCCCAGCCCTCTTTGGCTGCCCCCTGCAGTCAGTCCAGCACACAGGATGAAGAGCGGGGTGATTCGTTCCCAGGAGAGGCAGCCCAGTCTGATGCGTGGAGTGATGACAGCATGGTGGGTATCACTGTTAAGACAGGAAGGAGATGGGTAGTTGGTAGCTCATACTGAACCCCTTGGTTGAATTCTGTGCCAGTCAGAATCATTATCATCAGCAGATTGCAGATCATGTTCTTGCAGAAAACAGTTTTTTAAAGTGCTAAATGCTGGGGTCAGTTTTGGGCTGGCATTCTGAAGAACCCAGTTTTTACCTATTTATTTTGTTCAGACATTCTCTCTTTCAGATACATTAGCCCTTGGTGTCTGTGCTTGCCTTTCGTTAAGCTCATGTTCCCAGCTTTGCTTCTCTGGTCTCCACTCATTAAAGCTGTATACTTATGTGGCCCAGTTATTTCCAGATGATTTGCTGGACAGTTATGCCTGGATTTTAAAAATCGTCACCTTGGATTCTATGTGCCAACATGAATTTGAAAATGCGTGCACCAATATTCTCTTCTCAAATCAGCCACCCTTTGCTTGTCATTGGTACTACTGTTTTTCTGAGCTTAAAACCTTGGAGTGATTTTTTAAAAAGATTTTATTTATTTATTTTTAGAGAGAAGGGAAGTGAGAGAGAAAGAGAGGGAGAGAAACATCAGTGTGTGGTTGCTTCTCACGTGCTCCCTGCTGGAGACCTGGCCTGCAACCCAGGCACGTGCGCTGACTGGGAATTGAACTGGTGACCCTTTGGCTCGCAGGCCTGAGTTCAACCTACTGAGCTATACGGGCCAGGGCCCTTGGAATGATTTTTGACTCCTTATACCCAGCCCCTTACCAGGCCCAGCCAGTTTTTCATTTCCTTTCTGTCCCTTTTCCGTTTCCTTTGACCTTTCCTTTCCCTTTTCCTTTCATTTTCCTTTCCTTTTCCCTTCCTGCTTTCAGTTTTGCTCTTCGGTCTACTTTCTTGGTTCATCTCCTTCCTGCAGGTTTTTGATTATGTTGTTCCCTTGCTCTTTAGTCGCTCTGTGTCATAGATATATCTGTGCTCATATTTTTGAATTGAAAAAGACCCAGTATCTCTAGTTCAACCCTGTCATGTACAGAGGAGGAAAATGTCTCTCCTCCTCTACGAATTTCTAAGGCTTCTGGAGAAGTTGCTCGACAACCTTTGTAGGGTGAATTTCTGTTCTTTCCTCCTGTAAACTGTCTTTTCCTGTCAGACCAGCCTCCTTATCACTTTCCCTCTCCCAGCCAACACACTCCTGTGCTTGCCTGTGCACACGACGCACTGCCTGGTGGCCGCTTCATGCCTTGGCTCGTGCTCTGCACCCAGCCTGTGACCCACTGCCCCTCCCCCTCTCCTGCCTGTGTCTCCACCATCCTCCAGGGTCCCGCCAGCCACAACGGATTTCTTTAATTTCTCTGTTATCTTTATTGCCTTGTAAACACCTCATTTAGTATCCTGCCTTTTGATTTATAGGGCATAAGTAATCACTTTTATTACTTAATTTATTAATACCTATACATATAATTTTATTAATTATTTTGTGTGTGTGTATTTATCACTTCAACTTAATTTTTTTGTGGGCTTTAAACATTTATAAGTATTCATCATGCCTATCCTGTCACTAAATATATACATATACTAAAAAAATATTTTTTAGTAGGTTTGTAAATTGTGAAAATCATCAGTGTTCTATGTCCAGGTTTTAGTAATAGTATCCAGAAAGATGAAGCAAGTTAAAAAAAGCTTTTATAAATCTCAAAGTATTTTTATGATTTTTTAAAAGAATTTGTTATGTGTTTTCCGTTTCTGTTTCATGGAGGTAACCTAGGGAATAAGAATACTTAGCACAAATTTAAATTACATTTCTGAACCTTTCTTGCTGACAGACTCATTCAGAGATTCTGGTAGAAGGGCCCATTCCCATTATTTCTGTGTACTATTAAAATTGTCCAGTAAAATGGAACTTTCTATAGTATATATAATAGTTACTTTAGTAGTTTCCTTTTGGAAAATTTTGAGAAATTAATATTGCCTCAAGTTAGTAAATTCTAATAGTGTTTTATTTTGCACTGTAAGACTTGTGTAGGATGACTGTAAAATCTGAGTGTGGAAACTGAGCTTGAGTCTTATAAATAATGCTTTAAGTACGTGAAACAGCAGGGTCTGCTAAATAAGTGTAGAATGGAGCATTAGAAAAGGAAAGTGGATGGTAAAACTTGAAACAATAGGAAAAATTTACTCTTGTAGGTAAGTGGAAATTAATTTTCTTCATTGTATTTGGGAACTCATCTAGTACCTGTTGAGACTTCAGTGGGAAACCAGAGATGACATGGCATCGAACCCTAATATTGCTCTAAACTGCATTTTAGTCACTTATTCCAGTCATTTGTAAAAGATGCGGGACAGATGATCTGTTCAGAGAGGTGGTGCTGAACGTTTCTTTTTCACTTCTCCTGTGTGAAGAGTAAGATAAAGGTTCCTGCCATGTCAGAATGGCTCAGAGAACGTCAGCGGTTCTCACGGAGTGGGGGTAAGGTGTGATAAGCTCACCGGGGGCTCTGATGTGTTCCTCTTACGTCGTCATCAGTTCAGGGCAGCTCTTCGTAATGCTTTGTCCATGTACGTTCTCTCCCCGATAACTGTGGTGCGTGGCCAAGAGTTGGGCATGATAAGTAAGAAGCAAAGAGCCTGCATACGTTATAATTTAGTTAGGTGTTGACTAATTTCTTTCTTTTTTTTTTTAAGATTTTATTTATTTATTTTTAGGGAGGGAGGGGAGAGAGAGAGAGAGAGAGACATCGAGACATCGAGACATCAATGTATCAATGTGCGGTTGCTGGGGGTTATGGCCTGCAACCCAGGAATGTACCCTAGCTGGGAATCGAACCTGGGACACTTTGGTTCCCAGCCTGCGCTCGACTAATTTCTATTTGTTCAAAATATGAGGAGGCCTCCTTTTTTTAGGGAGTGTGAATTGTTGGCCTCTAGGTTTTAACAAGTGAATTTGTATCTTTTTTGTAAGCCACCAGGGCTCGGGTCCTCAGGGATTTTAGAACGCCTCGGGCTCCCCTACATTTTTCCACCCTTTGACTCATGCTATGTAATTTTAATTTCCTCTGCTCCTTCTGTAATGGAAATATGAACTTAAAAAGAAGAAACATGTGCTTTGCATTAAGAGTTGAGCACATGCCTGGGAAACAAACTTTCTGAGCAAAATTAATATAGGTAGTTTAGTCTTACTGAAGCAGCATATTGTGTCCAGAAGCCCTGAATTGGGAGTTTGGCGAGCTTGGTTCACTTGAAATTTGCATTAGCTGGTAACCTTGACTGCTATTTAATGAGTCACAGGGACAGCCAGCATACATAAAGAGGCAACATCATCTGTCTTGCCTATTTTATAGCATTTTTGCATGGTGCACGTGAGAAAACCCCGAAAACAAAAACATCATGAAATCGTAAGACCTTATCCTTCAGCATTTGTTCAACAAGCCTTTATTGAGAACCTGCTATGGCTTAGGTGCTACACTGGGGTTACGGAGAGAGGTGACACGCAGTCTGTCCTTCTAAGCTCGCAGTCATGGCAGGACATGGATGTGTAACTAGGAAATCGCAGCGCAGTGTGACGGAGTGCAGTAATAAGGGCGTTTCAGGCAGAGTGGCAGGCGGTCACCCCTGTTGAAGAGGTGAGGGCTGCTGGAGTGGGGAGGAAGGGGCCGGGGAGAGTGAACCTGATACAGAGGCAGGGATCGGGTGACGGAGGGCCTTGTATGCTAAGGTGTTCAGGAGTTCGGACTTTATTTTGTAGGCCTGCATTTCTCAGTGCGTCCTCTGTGAAAAACTTGTTTCGTGAGATCATAAGTAAGTGCTAACAGGATGCTGAGCGTCGAGGAAGGAGGATAGTGTTTCTTGGTTAAATGCTGTTACTGGGTTTCTCAGGGCTTCACGATGCCATCGATGTGTTTTGTGAGTGAGGAGGGGCAAGGAGGTGGCTGTAGCGTGTAGTGTTTTCCAAACTCACTTCGTCGTCAGCCTCTCTTTTCCTGAGAACATGGAGAGTCCCATTCCAAGGCACAGTTTAGGGAAATGCTGCTGTCTGCCTCAGGGAAGTTGTGGCAGGTTTTTGGTTGGGACAGAGGACCTACTTGGATTCTTAACTGTCAGAAAACTGACTGCAATAGGTGGAATGTGTTGGATGATAAAAAAGTGGCATCGGGGATATTGGGGAGAAATGAGCGTGAGTGCTATTGGAGTAGCAAGGGGCAGGTTTTAGAGATACCTAGGAGGCAGATTCAGGGGAACTTTCGGGTGTGATCAGGTGGGGGGGTGAGAGAAGTCTGGGAAGATTTCCAGGGTTTTGGCATATCGGCCAGAGGTAATGGAGATAAGGAATTTAGGATGGAGCAGGAGGCTGCAGGCTTGTTTATGTAGGAGGGCTCACTTCAAAGCACCCCATTTCTGAACCCAATAACGTGCTTTGGCAGTGAGCACCAATCTCTCAGTTTCCTCTAGGATACAAAATGTCATGTGTAAAAGTCTATTTGGCCCTGGCTGGCGTAGCTCAGTGGATTGAGCGTGGGCTGCGAACCAAAGTGTTGCAGGTTCGATTCCCAGTCAGGGCACATGCCTGGGTTGCAGGCCATGACCCCCAGCAACCGCACATTGATATTTCTCTCTCTCTCTCTCTCCCTCCCTTCCCTCTCTAAAAATAAATAAATAAAATCTTTAAAAAAAGTCTATTTAATGAATTCATTGTTGTGTTATCCTTTTCAGGCAGGGCCTAGTCAGAATGTTGAAGCTGAGTCCACTGAAGATGTTGTGGATATGGAGGAAGGCGCAGGCTTCTGCCCCTCAGAACCCATGCTCTGCAGTGAGTCGGTGGAAGGGCAAGTGCCCCACTCACTGGAGACCCTGTATCAGTCAGCGGGCTGCTCTGGTCCCAGCGATGCCTTGATAGTGTCCGTGCATCTTCTCATGCTGGAGTCGGGCTACATGCCTCAGGTAAGACTGCAAGCGAAGACAGGCCTCTCGCTAGGGCTTAAGTTCCATTGGGAAAGGGGGTGTGTCGGACATACCTCTAGAGTGTCGTGCAGTGTGGATTTGCTGTTAAACGTGGTTGGGTGTTAAACGTAACGTGCTGGACACAGCGATGGCGTAAAACAGGCAGTACATGTTCCCTTCCCTCTTTTCCTTCTTTTTTCTCCTTCATTTGTTTTATCAGTTTTTAATTAATGGTATAGAAGTGATGACAACTCTGGTTAAAAAAAAAGACTCAAGATTATGTCTGATAATATATCATTAAAATGTGGTCTGTGAGTTTGGATTGGGTGTGACTGCACAGGTAGCTCCCTAGGGTACTTTCTATGTTAGTGGCTCTATGAACTACCAGCAGCTTAATAAGGGTCAGTGAGGAAGAGCGACATTGTTCTCATGCTGTAGTTGCTTTCATTCATTCGCTTATTTATTCTTCATTCATTCTCCATTTCATAAGTGTTTGCCAATGTCAGGGGCAGGGCTTTGTCTCTTCTCTCAGGTTGCTTATAGTCCAAGAGGGAGAGAGAGACAAAGATACAAACCATTATACTGTATTGGTTAAAATGTAGGAGGGACGTATATATAGCCAGGATGCCAGAGATTCACAGAGAACGTTTAGAGTAGAGTTTCTTAAACTTGAGTGTGTGTAGAATACCTGGGAATCTTACTAAAATGCACATTCCAATTGAATGCGCCTAGGGTGGAGCCTGAGGCTCTGCATGCTCCCACACAGCAGCAGTGCCACAAGCGGCCCTGTTAGGAGTGACACAGAGTAATTCGGTGATGGTGAACGTCTGTGGCGTGCCACCTGCTGGGCCAGGAGTCAGGGTACAGGGACAGTCTTCTCCCTCGGGGGTCCATAAGTGTGGGAGCTGAAAGAAAAAGGAAATTATGGCGTATTGTGGTAACTAACATAATAGAAATATGAACACAATGTTGGGGGATAAACGAGAGAGGATTACAAACAGGATTTTTTTTGGGAAAAGGCTTCCCAAAGGAAGTGATACTTGAGCTCGAAAAGTGATATAACTTTGGTAAGCAGGAAGTGTCTTTGAAGAAAGAAATGAATCCTTATCTCTGATGTCATTTGATCTATTTGAACAAAAATGTTGATGGAGGATAATATATTGTAACATTTTTCTATAAACATTTCATTAATAGCAATATTAATGATTTGACAAGTTTTATTCAGGGGACTGTATGGAATGCTTATTTCTAGACAAGTTGGGGGCTTCCTGGATTTTTAATCTCTTTGATGGTAATACCTTTCTTCGTCGTTTCCCTTTCACTTCATTCCCCAGGGGACTGAAGCCAAGGCTTTGTCCATGCCGGAGAACTGGAAGTCGGGTGGCGTGTACAAGCTGCAGTACACGCACCCGCTCTGCGAGGGCGGCTCTGCTGCTCTCACCTGTGTGCCCATGGGAAACCTGGTCGTCATCAACGGTAATGGACGGCGCGGTCACCGTCGTTAGTGTTCCCCTCCAGACGTGTTACAGCCGCTGCGCTGATCGGCAGTTATGCTGTAGTTACGCGTCTGGAAGGTGGTAGAATACAGGGCTGATGGTTAGGTCGCAGCCTTCACTCTGGGGCAGCCCTACTCTTGCTGCTTGAACCTTGTAATTTTTTTTGCTCCAGCAGGAGTTGCGATAATAGGAGTGAGATGAGTCGGTTGCATACGGACTCTATGGAGAATATGTTTTTCTTTATGTCTGTGGATGGCTTTTTAATTTTTATTTATTTAACCAAGGCCTCGAACTGACAGATGGTAAGAGGTGAGATTGAGCTGGGCCCCTTTTTATTCAGTTTGGCACTTCTGAACAGTATGGAAACGCACAAAAACACTAGGGCTCTGAGCTCTTAGTGTGTGTATGCTGTATCCTCCCCGCCCCCAAGACAGTCACTCTGAATAGTTTCTCTCCTCGTTCTCTTCTATATGAAGAAATTTCACTGGGATGCAATACATCCCACTTCTGTATTGCATTTTACAAAATGCATTGCCGCCTGCAGGTCCGTACCGACTAGCAGTGGTCTTTGGAACAGTCTCATAACCACACGTTCTGGAGATCCATTTGAGTGACTTGAATCTTTCATTTTTGTTGCATTTTGATTTTTGAGGTTTATCCTTTTAAGGATAAGATGGGAATGACTGCATTTTTCATTTTCCAGTGTAGCTCATCTTTGTATAGCAGAGGCAGCAGGCACTTCGATACGCCTTAGCTCAGTGGGTTTTCAGCACGTTCGTGCTGAGATGGGAGCCAGCAGGAGGCTTAGTAGGACCGCGTCTGCTCTGACACGTCGAGCAGCGGCAGTGTGCTTGTCAGTTTCACGTGCTGGGGTCCTTTGTAAGATTTTGTTTGGAAATGTTTTTTCTGCCGAAATTTATTTTGAAAGCTACTGACATTGCCTTGATCTTTGAAAGGAAATATAGTTCTAGGTTTCCTATTATATAATTTCTATTATTTATTTTACTCACTGGATTCTTTAACATGTTATTTAAAAGTCTCACATTTTCAGCTTTCACAGCTTTGGTGGCATTCCACATTTGTCAGGACGTGACTGTCTGATGGCACAAAGACCTAGCAATGGCTTTTCAGCTGTTCATCTCAATTACAAATGTCACTTTTTGTTGGAAATTCTTTTTTTTCCCCAAGATTTTCATTATTTATTTTTAGGGAGAGGGGAAGGGAGGGAGAAAAAGAGGGAGAGAAACATCAATGTGTGGTTGCCTCTTGCACACTCCCCACCAGGGACCCAGCCCGCAACCCAGGCATGTACCCTGACTGGGAATCAAACTGGTGACCCTTTGGTTTGCAGGCTGGCACTCAGTCCACTGAGCCACACCACTTGGGGCTTAGTTGGGCATTCTTGTACACAGAAGTCAGCAGTTTCTGCCTTTATTTAATCATTCTGCCAGATCATATCATAACTTGCAATGTTGAAGTTACCAAATACTGAATGTGAGGTTGTAATTTTTCCCTCAATTTCTTAAGAAAGCTCTTTAACAACATATATGTAATAACCTCTGTTTACTACTAGTTTCAAGATACTTAAAAGAGAATAGCTGCTAAATGTCTTAGTTTCCGATGTTTCGTTTATTTACCATTCTTGGCACATCCGCTGCTTGCAGACTTGCATGGCAGACAGCCCTTCCAGGCTGGAGTGTTTGAAGAGGAGCAGTGTGCCCTGAAATCTCTCCTTCCCCAAAGACACCCTGCTCAGTGCGCATGTGCACGAGCACATCACTGGCTCTTTCACAGAACGAGATGAAGTGTGCCTGTGTGTGCGCGATTGGAGTCGAATCCTCTGGGGATGTGCAGAATATTGGTCTTTCGGGTCCAGAGAGAGAGATGATGCTGTGAAAACTAGCACGATTCATTTCATAAACAAGGAAGACTCATTGCCAAGGGTTAAATAACATAAATGGAGTTTTTAATGGCATTGGTAGAAATAATGATTTTACTGTGTTAAACTGTCTCCTATTAACCTTGCTGCATGTCTCCCGATTACTAATGAGCTACTGTTGGTGATACTTTTTATATAGCTATTATATAAATGTGCTTACTGTGGTTTTTAAAGGTGATGTTTTGGAGTGACTTAATTCACGTGATGGCAGGTTCACACTTTGGACTTGGCTCTGAGGGAAGGAAATAGGTGTAGAGCAGTTTGTTTTGTGTAATGTGTCCTTTGTACATTGGGGGCAAGGAAGTGCAATAAATGAAGGCATGGATGAAGTGACAAATTTTCGTCTTTCTTGTGCTTATTTACAGCTACACTAAAAATCAACGGTGAGATCAGAAGTGTGAAAAGATTGCAGCTGCTGCCAGAATCTTTTATTTGCAAAGAGGAAGTAGGTAATGTAACCATGATTTAACTTTTGGGATGAAGCTTTGAGAGGTTCATTTTTAAAAAGCTGAAAGGTAATATTAGAAAAACTAAAAGCTTCTGAATGAGCTCAAAGCAAATTCAAGACAGTATCACAGAGTTTCTGTTTCCTGTTTTTCTTAGGGCCTTGGAATGCTGGCTGGTACTTACATTGTCATTATGTAATCACACCAGCATGTAATTGGTTGCACACTATTGATGCTTCAGAATCCCTGAATTAGTTGTTGTGGATTTTTCCAGCACTGTGTTGAACCAGTCTGGGGAGGATCTGTGTTTTGTGGAAACCATACAGTGAAGCTCCATTATTAAAGATGTTTGCTTAAACATATATAAATTTGGTTGCTATTTGATGCAGATTGGAGCTTTACCAAAAGTTGGCATTCTAGGCATGGTTTTGCTTATGTTCTGTAAAATTATTAATAGATGCAAAGAAGACAAGTTTTCCTTTTTGTTTTTTCATTTAAGCCAAAGGACGAGAGGTAGGTGGGTGGCTGACGGCGAAGAGATGGGTGCAGAGGGAAGCGTCGTCTTTAAGTGCTTGTTTTGTGTCTTAGCAGATGTCACTCTGTTTACTTACATAAACTTACGTAGCCTCCTCGTAAACTTATGGGGGTGTTAAAGTCCAGATGGGGAGCGGTGCAGCATCGTGGGGAAAAGGCATTTAAGGCAGTGTCTTTTCAGGGAAGACCACCTAGATCTAGATCCTTGCTTTGAAGACCTAGAAACTTATTTCATTAGTTCCCAGGGGAGGTCAGGCCTTGAGAGACTGACTTATATGAACTGGAACTGATAGGAGAAGAAGACATCAGAATATAGTTGACCTTTGAAAGCACTAGGGTTAGGGGTGCTCTCCCATGCAGTCAAAAATCTGCATGTAACTCTTGACTCCCCCCAAACTCAACTGCATTTGGCCCTTGGCATCCGAGGGAGATTGGTTCCAAGACTCCCCTGTCGATACCAGAACCCATGGTGCTCAGGTCTCTTTTATAAAATGATGTAGAGCAGTGCATACAGTTGGCCCTCTGCTATCCACAGATTCCCAGCTGTGGGCAGAAAACAGTATTTTCTCTCTGCTGTTGGTTGAGTTCAAGGATGCAAAACTGGGAGATATGGAGGACTGAGTGTGTATTCGTTCACAAGAATATGTGTAAGAGTGGACCCATGCACTTCAAACCTGTGTTGTTCAGGGGTCAACTGCACATATTTATAATGGTCTCTGAACATTCACTGCCATACCAGACCAGTGTTTCTTAACCTTTTTGACCTTATGAATCCACCACTGAGCGTCTGTACACATTCCCCATGCCCCCCGTCCACCTCATTCTCTTCCATGAAAATTTAATACCATAGATATGCCGTGTACTTACTTGTATACCGTGGCCCTTTGGAGAGGCACACACCACTGTAATGACTAGGGTTTTATTTTTTGCCCTCGAATAACCAATTTTTGCCCTGTTGGAGGCTATGTTGCCCCTGGTGAGAATGCATGAACTGAACTCATGAATCTGCGAAGATGGTCTTACTGTTAGGACCAGAAATTCCTTGGCTACAGCACTGAATATTCATTTCTATACTGTGGGGAGTAGAACTACTTTACACTCTATAGTAGTAGAGGCTACGCCCATTTCATAATCAGGAAACAGGTCTAGAGGAGGTTATCACTTCAAGGTCACAGGGCTGATAAATGGTGGGATTAGGATTGCAATGGATGTGACTCTTAAGCCTGGCTTTAAAAACAACTTTTATAGGAATGTGGCTCAGATTTATATTCGTTATCTGGTTTCTGTAAAAAGGGAAATGAAAAGGAAGGCGAAAAGGAAATGAAAGGAAGGGAAAAAGTTTAAATACTGTTTTATTGCAAGTTTATGGCCTATATTAATTGAGTATTTTTAATGTAGCAGTTTTTATGTTGGGTAGTAATTTTTACTGTGTCTTATAGTACCTAGTATATACTATGTGTTGTTATTCATCCTTTTATTTATAAGTTTCTAATACTTTCATAGGTCAATGAAGGAAAAATTTTGTTTATAGAAAATCAATTTTCACACTTGAAAAAAGCCATTAAGCCAAATTGATTTTTAAAATATCTTGAAATTTGATTTCAGCTTGAGATTATAGTTCATGTAACACAGATTTAGAGTTTAGCTGCATATTTTTTCATATTCATTATCAGTTGAGTTGTAATGCGTGTTTTTTTTATTATAGATAGTTAGAAGGAATGGGGAGGGAGCGAGCATAAACTGATTGCCTACTGATGTACACTAGGCACTGTGGGTGGAGCTTCGAATTTTAACCACTTTTTGGTGGTGGTGTCTCCTTTAAACAGTTGAGCAAACAGGTGTGGATCAGAGGGTTCAAGGTTATGCACTTGGTAAACATATAGCAAAACCGAAGTGGGAACTTCAGGTGCAGTTTGACAGTGTACATGCTGTAATGTACGTGTGAATCACCTGGGGATTTTATTAAAATGCCAGTTCCCATTAAGTAGGTCTGTGGTGGGTCCCGAGATCCAGTATGTGGAAACGTTTCCCAGACGATGGCAATTCAGGTGATCCGGGGACCGCTTTGGGTGGCTGTTTAGTGGCTGACAAGGGTGCTTTGGAGCCATACTTAGGTTCGTGCCCTGCTCTGCCACTTACTGTGAGGCCTTGGATGGGCTTTCTTGATCTTGTCCTGTTTTTAAAGTGGGAGTAACAGTATTTAACCCTTAGGGAGAACTGCTGATTCTAAAGGATGCTTGAAAAACTGCTTGACGTGGTTCCTTATACATAATCATTGTGTGATAAATAATATTTTATTCTACTAGGATCTAAGCTCCCCAAGAGCAGCTCTCCGTTCTGTCCCCAGGGCCAGACGGACTGGCAGACACCCAGTAACTCTCGGCTGTGTGTGCACGTGTCACACCAGCGTTTCCCACCGAACTGCAGCCTAGGACTGTAGAGGCTGGGAGCAGCCCCGTTAATTTGATACTGTGGGAGTTTTAGCTTTAGGTCTGAGATTTAATTTTCAGAGTCACACACTAGATACTTCCCCTTCAACTGGAGATTTTGGATTATGTTTCTGTAAGCATTATTTATGGAAATCTATTTGCCACTTTGGTTTGGCTGAAGTAGAGGATACCATTTCAAGTTTTTCCACTTGGTTTTGAGTTTTTATTTTTTATTTTAAAAAATATTCTAGGGGGAAATGCAGCCAAGATGTACAAAGATCTCCAGAAACTTTCTCGCCTCTTCAAAGACCAGCTGGTGTACCCTCTTCTGGCTCTCACCCGGCAAGGTGAGCGGCGACGGCGAGGGTCGCAGGTCGAGTGGCTGGGACGGACGGTCAGTTCGTGTGCTGTGCTCCTGGCCCTGCCCTCCTTTCTCCTCCTGGTGCCGTTCTGCACACTTTAGGACGAGGCCTAAATGTTCCTCCCTTCCTTTCTGTGTTGTCACAGCACTTCGCACGTATCTTTACTGCGGTCCCTTGTTCAGTGTGTCATGACTGTGGAGGTGATTTCTCTCCACCTAAGTGTGTGCTTGAAAGGAGGGAGCACGTCGCATTCACTTCTGCATCCTCATGGCTTAGCACGGGTCTGGCCCATAGAACGTTTGAGAGATGCATAAGTAAATGATGTATAGCCTGTAAATTGTGTCTAAGTTTGTTTTTTTTAAACAATATTTATTGGGGCTCTATGCTGGGTACTTTGGATATTTCACATGTGTTCTTACCACATGCTAACAACTTTGAAGCAGGTTTTATTCCCATTTTATAGATGATGAAACTGTATAATTCAGTCAGGTTTATAATTCACTCAAGATCCTTGTTTTAGTCAGCTTTCTCTTACTTGTGCGGGAGCACACACTGCCCTAAGGCCTCAGTGGCTGACAGTGCACACATGCTCACTCAGGTGCGTGCTGTGCGTGGCTCACGTTGACGGAAGGGGCGGCGCTTACCCAGGGCGTGCTCTCCGGGTGGCCCAGCCACCTGCTGCTGCTGAAAGTTCTTGCTCAGCAGCGATGTGCCACGCCACTCACATTTCACTGGGCAAGGCCAGTCCAAGTGGCCAAGCCTGATGGTAGTGGGTGGGAAGTGTAATAGTGCGGTAGAAAATGATTGAGAACCGTAATCTACCACAGTCCTCTGGTTGGTGAATAATTTCAGATCTGTGTAAACAGATGTGTGGTTTTCATTTGCCGTCTCAAGTTGCATGGTGCCAAGGCTGTTATTACCATAGGCTTCTTTAATTGGTGGTGAGGGAAGAGAATAATGTGGATTTTAAAGCCCTTATTGGATTTTGGTTATCTTTGCCAGTGGAGAATAATATCACAAATATTCAAAGGAGCTGATAATGGAAAAATAATTTTCATTTGACTTTGGAATATAATTTTCTTTTCTCGGTATTGCTTCTGAATTTATCTACCCACGGCTTTGTAGCCTGCCCAACAGTAATTGCTAACACCCAGTGCTTATCATGTGCCAAACGTTGTTCTATGCACTTTGTGTGTGTTAACACAGCTAACTCTCCACGTAGTGAGGTGGGTAATACTGTTAACCGTTCTACAGGGAATTGAGTTAGATAGGGTTGAAGTAGCTTGTCCAACGGCACACAGCTGGTGAGTGGCAGCGCTGGGAGCCAGTTATAAAAACCAGTGAATTATCCATTTTCTGTAGTTGAGTAGAGAATTTTTTGTTGCACTGAATATTTATTGCTCGAAATAAGAGAGGCCATTGACTGTCTGCAAGTTGTCAGTTAGTTATTTGATGTGCATTGAAAGGCATTTGTCTTTCCACTCAAACATAAAGGGATCAAGGGGCTTTGAGTTAGTACGAGTAATCTAGTTCACCTGGGGCTAGAGGTTTGTTGTAGATGCCCGTGCTTGGGTACTTGAGACTGCCACCTCACTTGCCACTTCTCTACAAAGGAGCAAGTTGCCACCTGTGAGGTGGAAAGTGTGGGGAAAGCTGGATGCGCTTTACTCAGGGTACTTGTTCTTTTTTCCCTTTTAGCACTGAACCTCCCAGATGTATTTGGGTTGGTAGTCCTTCCGTTGGAGCTGAAGCTGCGGATCTTCCGACTCTTGGATGTTCGTTCTGTCCTGTCCTTGTCTGCAGTTTGTCGTGACCTCTTCATTGCGTCAAATGACCAACTCCTGTGGAGGTGTTTGTATCTGCGGGATTTTCGAGGTGATTTCCATGATGACATGTTAACAAGAAAGGGATCTTTTGTACTGAGGTCTTAATTCTTTTTTTTTTTAATCAAAGGGGAGGGAAGAAGACTTATGTATTTTGTTATTATTGTTCAATCCTCATCTGAAGACACGCTTATTGATTTTAGAGAGAGAGGAGAAGAGAGGGGCAGGAGAGAAATATTGATGTGAGAGAGAAACACTGATCAGTTGCCTCATATGTACCCTGACCAGGGGCCAGACCTGCAGCCTGCGTGTGTGCCCTGACTGAGACTCGAACCCGTGACATTTTGGTTGATGGGATGATGCTCCAACCAACTGAACCACTTGGCCAGGGCCCTTACCAGTGTATTTTTAAACTGTGCTTTGATTCAGGGTGGGTCATGAAATCAATTTAATGGGTCATTCATTGTACAACGGAAAAAGAAAAACCAGCATTTTATAAAATAGGAGTAAACTTACATTTCAGTTATGTAGATATATACTGTGTTATAATGTAAAATAATTGTGGTTCATATGCTATAAATGATAACGTACCACCTTAGGAACTGTAAATATCTATGGGTCGATTTCCTTTCCTTTTAACAAAAATAAGAGTATCATGCGGAGTCTTTTGGATTGTCAAAAAACTTGTTTTTTTCTTTTAAAACTTCAAAATGTCAGAAGTGCAAATGACCTAGTTTTTCTTTTCTTCCTTCTTGATTCCTAAGGTCCTCATTCTTTATTTGTGCCCCTGAATCCAAAGTTTAAAATGTTACTTTGTCCCTGGAGGCAGCAAATGTCATCTCAGAAATTTAAAAAGAAATCACAGTCAAAGTGAAAAGACAAAATGACCAACATATATGAAAGAACCAGTCAGGAAATAAAGCAGGCTATGATAAAAATACTTGTGAAAGGAGCAGAGACTTTTTACTTGTATATTCAAGTTCAGGTTTAAAATGTAATCAGTCTCCATCTCATTTCCAGACTGTGGTCCACAAGCTCATTTGTAAGCTGAGTGGTAGGATTTTATCATGAATTTCCCTGTAGATACAATGTTATGGGACTGGAGCTTTTACAAATTTTTCTTCCATGCCAGCGTAATAGCTTCTAGAGAAGATATCACTGTCTTTTATTCAAACTCTTTATTAGACTTAAAGGAGTTCTTCTTTTCCTCGTTTTACAGATTTTAAGTACATTGAAAATTAGGTCTGGTCATAATTCTGAGTCGAATCATTCAAAACATGGTTGGGAGAAAATCTAACTCAATTATGAAAGAAAACCCGTCAGCCTGACCTCCAGTAACGACCATGGGCTATAACACAGATACACAGAGGCCATCACCCAGTGGAGTGTAGTATGAGACCTGGGGCTGGGAGCAGCTGACACACCGAGGTGGCATTCGGGGGGACGATGCATGTGGGACAACGGTTAGTGCAGGGAGAGAGCAGCCAGGAAGCCCTCGTGTCCCCGTGGGAGTCACTGGGGCGAGCTACCGGGCAGCACAGAGCAGTGATGGCTCCCTCAGTACCAGGAGGGGGTGGAGTCAGGTTCAAGGCAGTACCAACAGTACTGTGTCTGTTAAACCAGTGATTCGTGTTTCTTTTTGTGCTTAATGAGGAACCTTAAATTTCCTTGGGACAGGCAAACCTGCTCTTAATGCTGGATGAATGAAGCATTTTAAACCCTTCTATTTTGTTTTTCCTTTGTAGATGGTACTGCCAGAGTTCGAGACACAGATTGGAAAGAAGTAAGTGTTTTTAAATGTTCATAGAGAAATACCTGCTATGAAATAGTGGATTAGTGCATTAAGGGTGTGTTTTCACTTTATTATGATGTAATGAAATCTGTTATTGCTAATTTTCAGTAAATGGAAATGTTTTCAACATTTATTTTAGATTCAGCCTCCCCTTTTTTTGTAATTACACAGGAAGAAAATCTTAACACAATGATTGCTTCACCTTTACTTAACATAAAACACTCTCCCTTTAGTTGCAAAAAACTTTAAGTGAACTGCTTCTGTGCTGGAGTAGTCTTCAGTAGTTTGGCAAGATAGAATACTACATTGTGAAAAGAACAAGTGATGTGATTTTATTTGCAGATGTCTGCTATAAAAGACATTGATAGGACTGAGGAAAAACTTGGGGATGAAGGACTAGAGAAAAATAAAGTTCAGTGGCAGGATTCAAATATGTACAAAATATTGGGTTGGCTGAAAAGTCTGTTTAGTTTTGTTTGTAAAATAAAGGACACACTTTTCATTTTCACCAATAGCTTTATAGATTTGGATATTTTGAGTATGTTGGCTATCTCCCGCTATCTAGTGGGTAGAGGCCAGGGGTGCTGCTAAACATCTTCCACTGCGTGAGACAGCCCCACAGCAAAGAATTACTTGGCCAAAATGTCAACAGTGCCAAGAAACTTTGCAAAACCGCTTTTGACACATTCCATCAGTCACAGCACCTTCTCTATACACTGCCCAAATTTTTTTGTTTCAGTTGTGTTTTTACCCTTCTTGAAATAATAAAGCATAATATGCTGAAAATTGTGTGTTGTTTCCATCTTCAATATTAAATTGGCTGCACAAAAATTTACCAATTTTGATAAGTCTCTGTAATAAATGCACACTGATATGACAGCTGTCAAAATACAATCTAACAAAATTGTTTCGAATGAGGCTAAAGACAACTAAGCACTACTAGAGTCATCATATGGGAAAGAAACTAAATGAACTTTTTGGCCAACCCAGTATGTCCCATCCTCTAAAACAGGGGTGTCACACTCATTTTCACGGGGGGCCACATCAGCCTCGAGGTTGCCTTCAAAGGGCCGGATGTAATTTCAACTCCTTAACTGTTAAGGAGTAGTTACATTTGTACAGTCCTAAAATTATGTCAGCCCTTTGAAGGCAACTGCAAGGCTGATATGGCCCCCAGTGAAAATGAGTTTGACACCCCTGCTCTAAAATAAGCATCTATTTTTCTGTTCTTGTTTAAATTGAGGTCCATTAGGGACGTAATTTAAGTGAAAAAGAGAATTCAGGGTACAGCCTTTCTCCCCAGTACCTTAACTTTATATGTTGTGGCATGATATTTTCAGCAAATATTTACATTTTCCACTTTTCAAGAAAGGCTGAGTTAAAATTGCGTGTTAGCTGGGGTGCTCTGGATTGCAGCCTTGGAAACACATGTCACTCAGTTGTCCCTCCTTTGGGTTGATTGTTGCTCCAAGGTGGCATGGTGGCTCGTGGCAGTGTGGTCAAAGAGCGGAGTTCATTCCATATTGTATCCAGAGCCGCTGCCCTCCTCACCCACACAGAAACTGGAAAAAGCTCTTTCTGTGCACTGGTTTCTTTGTTTGCCTGGCTAGTGTGGGGGAAGTGTGGGTCTGCGCAATGAAACCACGTTGGAACTTTGGGGAGATGTCCAGTCACTTACCAGAGCTTGTTCTTGGTTTTCTTCAGTTGTACAGGAAGAAGCACAAGCAGAGAAAAGAAGCTCAGAGACGGCGCGCAATGTTCCTGCTGCCGCCACCTCACCCTGATCCTTTCTACCCCAGCCCCTTGCCCCACAGGCCTTTCCCTCCCGGCCCCTTGCCCCCCAGGCCCTTCCCTCCTAGTTCTCTCCTCCCTCCAGGAATTATCGGTGGGGAATACGATGAAAGGCTAATGCTTCCCTATGTCGGAGATCCCATCAATTCACTCATTCCTGGGCCCGGGGAGGCACCCGGCCAGTTCCCCCCACTCAGACCCCGTTTTGACCCCATTGGCCCACTGCCAGGACCTAACCCCATCTTGCCGGGGCGCGGTGGCCCCAACGACAGATTTCCCTTAAGGCCCAGCAGGGGTCGGCCGACGGACAGCCGGCCACCATTCATGTGATGAATTGGTAACCCCACTTCCGGAGCTTGTTTGGTTTTGTTTTCTTAAAACTGCAGATGTCATCTTATTGGGGTGCAGACTTCTAGTGTTTTCTGTGGTAGCGAGAAATGTGGTCACAGAAGCCTTTCAACAGGTACAAGGAGGGACCCAAAAACACCCCAGAATTATCTTCTGGAGGGCGGGCCCCTTGTAGTGCATTCTTCCCCCACAAGGTGTGTGTTCTAGGAACCCGTCTGTATCAGGGTACTACCTGGTGTGAGAGGCTGCGTTGGGCCTCAGTAAATTTTTTTGAAGACTTTCATCACGTTTGCCCATTTCATGGTGGATGATTTAGGAGCACACCTGCCCACACTGCGCTGAGTGTTCAGCAGTTTTTGACCAAAAACAGCATGACCCCCTGCCCCACCCTCCCTATTCACCAGATCTCGCCCCTCGTGACTTTGTTTTTTTGTTTTCCCAAGTGAAAAAGGTCCTCAAAGGGAAATGTTTTGCCAGTGTGGGAGAGGTGAAACAAAAAACAGCAGAAGCACTAAAAGGCATCAAAATTGACGAGTTCAAAGATTGTTTTGAGCAGTGGAAAAAAAATCTCAATAGGTGTATTGATTGCGTGAAATGGAGAGTACTTTGAAGGTGACTGAAGTTTAAACACATGAGAATAAATTCACAATTTTTAATAAATATATTTCATTTTTTTGGTCCCCCTTGTATATTAAAGCTGCAGCGTACTGTGGCCCAAAGGTTACTTGGGAATGGTTGGCTACTGACTTCCCTCCCTGAATTCCCCTCTAGAATGAAGGCTGTCTATTGATAATGTTCTGTACCACATTTTCAAAAAATTTAAGTGTAAATGACGTGGCAGTCTTGACTTTTATTATGGAAAGGTATGCAGTAAATGTTCAGAACAGCTGTACAACATTGGACATTTCAAGATGATCAGAGAACCTTTTCAGTGTCATCAGATTATAGGAGATTTAAAACCTTTTTTCGTGGCACCTTTTCTTCAAAGGAAATCATTTGCAGAGGCCCAGTCTCTAAAACGAAAGAACTAGTTTGGTTGAGCTGGACTGTGGACACCCACCAGCTCATTCCACCTCCCTGGCCCTGCAGCTCTCTCCCAGGCGCTGGGCGGCGCGTCTGGGCGCTGGCAGCACTGCTGGACGCCCAGCGGGCAGCAGGGGCTCTTGTCCTGTATCTGGCTGCTTCTGGAGGTATGATCGTTTTCCCTTGTGTTGTGAACCCTCTGTGCCTAATTTGTCATCGTAAATAGAGGACCTCTTTTAACAACAAAGTGTTAAACTGCCTTGAATGCTGGGCAGGTACTTGTTCTTCAGAGACAGCCTCATATTTGAAGAACATTTATTTTTTAAGATTTAAAATATACAAAGTTCAAAGTTTATTTTCCCTACAAGAAGAAAAAGGCCAAACGGAACTGTCTCACCATACAAACAACTACAGAAACATGCTACAGTGACAAAATCTGAATCACAGCACAGGAATGAAACACTATTAGTATCTGCAGAAAATATTTTCGAATATTGCCAGTGTCTTCCTGCTTTTTAAAAAAAAATCTGTTTTGCATATAAGGAAATGGTTTGGAATGTTGTATGCTGTGAGGATGTTTTGCGTCCTACATACGTGTGAAGGTTTTTCCTTACACAACCCTCTTTCCATCACAGTGGAGAAAATTCATTCAGTGATACGGTTTTCCAGAGGCCATGTCACCCGTAGCAGCTTAACGCAGGAAGGGTTGGAGCTGTTGACATTTTCATGGTATTTGGTAATAACTTCTTAAAAATAGTGTCTGTTAGATGCTGTATTTGGCTTTAATTGGATCCGGGCTGGAAAAGTCACCCTGAAGCTTTGATGGGTCCAACTATATATCTCAGTTCTCCAACATTCCCTCTCCGTGCCTGCGTAACGCTAGGTTGCACTGTGTGTGTGTGTGTGTGTGTGCACGCGGTGAGAGTTGGGGGACCTAGTGATGAGCGGAAGCACCAAATACTAGAAAGCAATGAGTTTTCCAAATCCAGGGTTTTCAAATGGTCCTTGAGAGGCCCCGGAATGGTGCTGATGTCCTGCAGAGACACATGCATTTCCAACCTCACCTCGGACTTCCTGGCCTGTGTTACAGGTCTCAGTTTAGGGTGTGGGCAGGGTGCCAGACGCCTGAACATGCAGTCCCCTCACCATAGTTTATTCTCCAAGCAACTCTCGAGGCTTCACCTCTCGAATAGCTGAATTTATAGTAGAAGCTTGTAAAATCTATGCCGTTTTCATTCCACTGAGGCTGTTGAGCTTGACGTATTGCTGGTGTGTAATGAGAAGAAGTCATGGTTTGGCGATAGCCCGGTGTCTGATTTACCGACGTCACTTTGACACACCGTAATGGGAGCAAGATAGCTTGGAGCGCAGGGCGTGCCTTTTAGTCAGATGCTGGTCTGCGTCGTTGGCTTGTAGTCGTCACAGCTCCCTGTGACCCCCTTGTTTTCCCCTTTCATTTATTTTACTCACAGGAGATTGTTCCCCCTTCCCACCGCCTTTGTCCACAGGTGAAAGACGTGGTTCGGCCTGGCTGGAAACTGACTCATGGGAGGTATCCTCTCCACCTCAGGGTTTTATGATTCTTGATGTAAAAACAGTTGACTCCTGTCCCCTCTCTCTTGCCTGGCTCTAATTCCTGAGATCACTGCTTAGCCTAGTATCTCTGTACTTCTTCCTGCAACAGAGCTGGACACACCTCCCTTTGCCCCCTGCACTCAGGGCCCGGGGTCAAGGTTTGCCTTCCTCGTACCCTGGGCAGTGGCTGCCGAGTCTCAGAGCCTCAGGGAGGCGCCGGACGGGTCCCAGGTCTCCGCTGTGTCTGAGCATGGGGAATGCTCCTTCACCCAGTCCCCAGGTGACCCTAGAGGCTGCGGTTATTGGGAAGCTCTAGGTGGGTCACGTAAAATAAGGATTCAATCTTACGTGTCTCCTGGGATACCCCAGAAGGTTACAGCACTTAAATTTCTGCTTTTCCATAGCAAAACAGGTGAGATATTGAGAAGAAAAAAGGTTAACTTCTGTTGTAGACTCAGCGAAAGACTGGAAAGTGCATACTTGAAATACGCGAGTTTGGAAATGGAAGTTAAAAAGTGGGCGGAGCAATCAGGATAAACATAATGAAAGGTGTTTAAGATTTTAAAGGGTGTGCACACACGTTGTAGAAGGAATCTTTCAGATTGGCTTTCCCTTGAATGAAAGCCTCACGGATTCCCAGGAGCATTTCCCAGCCGTTCTCCTCTCCCCGGCCCGCTGCCCGAGAGCTGCGAGTTCCGGATCTCGGAGTCTGGGGTCTGTCTGCGGGGCTGCACGTCTGTCCGGAAACACAAGGGAGCTTCTGTGCCCTGTGTACTGCTTGGTCTTGACCTGATTCGACCGACTTTTGCCCAACCTTCCTGTTTGTCTCTCACCAGACCAAAAGTTCTGCTTTCTGTGAGGGCAGGGGTGTCAAACTCATTGTCACCAGGGGCCACATCGGCCTCACAGTTGCCTTCAAAGGGCCGAATGTAATTTGAGGACTGTGTAAATGTAACTCCTCCTTAACTGCTAAGCGAGAGCTTGGCACCGCTGCCGCCGGATAGAAACAAGGTGCCGGGTCAAATAAAACATGGTGGAGGGCCTTGTGTTTGCCACTTGTGTATTAAGAGTCTAAATATTAGAGTGACACTCTGAATTTAATCGGTGACTGCTCAGGAGTCAAAGGCAGCCTTGACCTTTGTCAGGCCAGTGGGTGACCAGCCAGCTTGCCGTCTGCGATAAAGACCCTTGGAGGCGTGGAGGTGCTCCGAGTCCCTGCGCTGCTCCTCCTCCGACACGAGTTCATTGCTCCCACCTGCCAGGCGGACCTCGCCAGCCTAAACTGGCTAACCCGCATCCTCGCCCCAGTCCTAAGTGCACAAAACAACGGGAGCCACCAACCTGCTTTTGACATTGAATAAAGCCCAGGAGCGTAGTCTGCGCTCCAGTGGGGGGAGGGGCAGTGCCCAAAGCCCACCGGGTGCCCGCGGAGTGGCCCAGAGGGGCTCTGCCGCTGGAAAGATCCCCTGGGGTCTGGGGTGCAGTGTGTGGTCAGGAAGGGACTCCGGGTCCTGGGGCTTCTCTGCGCAAACCTGGGTATCATCCTGGTCTGCTTGCCCAGCCTCTTCCGGCTGAGGCTGCCAGGGGCACCTGCCCACACCCGCACACGAGGCCCTGCAGGCAGCCCATCTCCATGGGGGCCGTGCTCCGGGTGTGTGTGTGTGTGGGGGGGTATCTCCTGGGCCCCGACTCTGCCTTCTCCCATTCCTTCTCAGACTCAGCTTAGCGTCTGAGACCTCTTTCTCCAGGGAAACAGACTGCCACAGTTTCTTCAGCTGCTTATCTCATTTTACTAGTCTGTGTTGATTAGCTTCTGTCCCTGGGCCAGTGGCATCCTCACGTTGATACTCAAGAGCAATAGAACAGCTTTTTTCCTCAATCTTAACATTTTGTTTCCAGTGTATTCCCACCTACACACGCCCCGACCCCCGCTGTGTGCCAAGTGGTGTGCTCCTTGCTTTCCTTACTCACCTGGCCCGTGCAAGGAGCACCTGCATGGTTTGCCTCCCCCTTGAACACTTCACAGCAGAGTCAGGTGAGAGCTTCCAGCAGGTGGGTCAGGGTCAGGTGCTCAGGGTTGGCTACTACTGTCTGTGTCACCGTGTGTGTGAAGGCCGTCGCCCCTGGAATGCTGAGAGGTAGAACCGAGTGGCCCCGAGCAGGGACTGAGGGTGGGAGGGGATGGCGGGCCGATGAAGAGAACGCTGGGCGTGAGAGGGTGAGCAGCGGGGTGTATTCCAGTGACCCTGGGAAGCCGATTGTACATGAGACTAAACCGCAGGGCCCTTTGATCCTGCTGCTGGGGGGCGGTCCGCGGGAAGCTCTCTCTGGCTGGCTGGTGGGGGTGTCTGTGGAGGCTGCATGTTTAAATCCCCACTCCCTGCGCTGCCCTTGACCACAAAACAAAAGGACCTTTGTCATGTGTCAGCCTTGCCAAGTCAGCTCGGAGGGAAAATGCTCGCCTTTCTTTGGGCCCAAATGGTGGGACACAGCAAAAAATACCCAACAAACGACCTTTTACAATCTCCCCAGAGTGACTCCCCATCACCCCTGCTTCTTGTCCTTTCCCATTTAAAAAATGTCAGTTATTAAACATTTGGAAGGAATGTGCTAACCCGCGTGAGAGAACAGTCTGTTCTTGGGCTCGACATTCACGCTCAGCCGCTGGGAAAATCGGTGCTGGCCGTAAACGCGGCTCCCTCGCGGGTCACCTGTAAGAATCGGCTGTAAGAATCACGGTCCCGTCGTGATAAAGGAGTTTGTGCTGCTGGATTTGCGCTGTCTGGGAGAGAGGAGGTTGAACATTGAGATGGTTTTAGGGACAACAGACAGAATAAAGGAAAATAGGGAAATTCAAGCCGCTTAGTCCTTGTTTAGGGAGCCACGGCTCACTGTCGGAAGGCGTGGCCCCGGCTGCGTGCGTGCACACGGGTGCAGCCCCCCGGCGGAGCGGCTTCGCCCTCCCCCGCCGTCTGGGCTCAGGGCGCATTCCCAACGCTCCGCGACTGACAGAGCTGGAGGCTGGGGTGTTGGGACTCCTTTGGTCTGAGAGGGGCTTGCGCACGGCCGCCGCCCATGCGTAGAGAAGCTGTCTAGCCCGTCATCCCTTTGTCGTGTTTCACACTCTACTTTATTACCGAAGGAGAGGTGGGCGAGACGGACTTCTTCCGAGCTGTCTCTGTTGGAGACTGATGACTGCGTTGGGCACTTGCTGCGTCCTTCAGCTCCTAAAGCGTGTGGGCTTTGTGGTGCTCCGCCCTGGCCTGCGAGTTTCCTCCCGCCCCTTCCTTCAGAATGCAGCTCTAGGCCAAGGTCACTCCCATTTCCTCCTCCCGCTCTCCCTTCCCTGGGCACAGTGAAGGGAAGACGTGCCTCAGTCGCGTGGGGGGCTGTAAAGAGGTGACATGGCTATGTTCTGGGATCCTGGGCTCTACGGGGACCAGGAGGTGGGGCCCGGCACCTACAATGTTCCTAGCACCAGGTGCGTGGTGATTCGGACGGCCCTGCTCCCCGTCTGGTCCTGGAGGCCGCGGTGCGGGGGAGGAGCCCTGGGAAGGGTGTCACCACGACGCCGTCCAGCTCTGCCGTCAACTTGTTTAGCTAAACAGGTTTGGGTTAAACACAGTTAAAGCTGCTGTCTTTACGCAGGAATTCCAAGACTTGAACACGTGATATGTTCTACCGATCTCAAAACAAGAAATATAAACAGTGTTTCCCCAGCATGCTTGGCCACGGGACCCCCTTGGTAACTGAGCAGCCTGCTGGCACCTTGCTGTGCCGTTTGTGAAATGCCAGCCTAGAAGTTGCTGTCCTTGCACTGTCTGATCCTGTGACCACCTGCTCATTCTCGCTGGTTCCTCGTGTGTCCTTAAGTAGCAAACAACATTCCTGGTGGGAATGCAGAGAGAATTCCGGTGGGGTAACAGAGTGGGCGGAGGACCCCCACCCCCACCCCCCACCTAACTCCTTCCCGGGGAAGTTGAGGGCCTCGTCGTCCTCTGGGAACTAGAAACGATCCCTAGAAGGACCTGTGGTCTGCGCTTGGCTGCCCACTCGGGATGTGAGCAGCATCCCCAGAGCTCCCCCTCTGCTTCTGTGGCGTTCTGGAAGGCCCCGCTTGCCACACAGGACCTGGTTTCTTTCTGTTGTCATCAAGATCCCACCGGTGGCCAGGCGTGATGGGGCCCTTCTTGCCTGCCTGGTCTGAGGAGTGGTGTCCGGATGAAATGGATGAACGGTGGGCAGGTGAGAGGTTCCCCCGGCTGAGCCTTCCTCCTTCTGTTTGCAAAACCCTGGCAGTAGGTTACTGCCTCCTGTACGGCTGAAGTCCGACCAGAGTGTCTTCGCTTGATGGGGAAGGGAGGGGGGCAGGGTCTAGAGGGGACCTTTGCCCAAAGGCAAGCAGAGGACGAACTGGAGATGTGGGAACAGCCGCACACAGACGTCTCATGAGCTTATCTGAGGCAGGGAAGCAAGCATGTGGGTGGACGGGACAACGTGGACGACGTGACGCCCGTTGTTAGGGCCCGTCTGGAGGACCCTGGAGGCTCTCAAAGGCCCACCGCTCAGCTGGACAAGCTGGAGTGCCATGGTGAAGGGAGATGGGAACACGTGTAGATACACTCAGCTCCTGGGTCAAAGGCGTTTAGAAAGTGTATTCTCGGACCCTCCATTCTGCTCCCATCAGGAACCGAGGCGGAGAAGGAAGATGAGGCGGGGGGGGGGGGGGAGAGTGTAACAGGGCACCCCCTGGCCCCAGGCTGGACCCCCCTAGTCAGAGAACAGGCTGGCGAAGGACTTCCTCAGGTTGCGGATGGTCTCGGCCTTGGCCTCGTCTTCACTCGGGGGCCCGCGCTGGGAAGCGTCGGACGTGCTGAGGCTGTTGGTCAGGGACTGGGATTTGCTGAAACAGAAAGGCAAGGGAGTTTGGGGGTGACAAGGGCTGGACTCCTGAGGAAATAGTCGTGGGGGGCTTGCCTGGACGCCGGTGGGGGAGCCCGGTCGCCACAAAGATGTTAACAACCAGAAACCAGGCCTCCCGACACTTACCCGATCCTGGGGACGTCGCCCGCACTACCTGACCTGCGCCAGGTTAAGTGCTAAACCAAGGCGGCTGGGAGGGTGGGCGCCATAGGGGCAGTCGGACCCCGCTCTCCCGCCTCTGTGTGCAAGCCCACTTCATAAACTGGGAGGTGCTGCCTCAGCACCAGCTTGCGGGCGCCCCTCCCTTGCTTTCTAGCACGGGGGAGGGGGGGCGCGTAGGAGGCCTGTGTTCTAGACTTCCCTCTGCCATCAGACCCCTCTGGCCGTGGGCAGGTACCTTGCTGCTTGTCAGTAGAAGGTGGGGTCGCCTGACCTGCCCTCAGGCTGCTTCTAGCCCTTTCTCTCCGGGACTCGATTCCCACCTCTTCCTTAAGCCCTTACTGCTGATTCCACCCCTTTTTGGGTTTCGCACGGTGCCTGCTGTTTGACCCGCCGTGTGTGAACTTCTGTCCCAGCCCAGTGCTGGGCGACGGGGCACAGGGGGGAGTGCAACTCAGAGGCCCACAGGCGGGTGGAGGGGACAGACGTAGGAAGGGATGATATGACTGTCTCCAAGTTGGAGAGAGCCACCCGTGGTCTTATCGTCACTACGAAAACTCAAAATCCTATTCAGAACAGGCCACCGTCTACCCCTTGCTCGCTCTGCACAGGGTCCTGTCCATGACTAAGCACAGCGAAGCCATTTGACCGATACCTGCTGACGGGAACCAAAAAATACTGCCTTGGGGCCATTCTGCAGGAGACTTCAGTGTTTCCAGCTCCATCACTACAGGGTCGGTGCCCAGACCTGGCTTACGTCCCAAAGCCCTCGCCTGGCCTGTGAGCAGCTGGGCTGCCACAGGTGCTCGCGGCACCGCACTAACTGTGCGTAACCTCACTTCAATCCTCATAACGGCCCCGTGGGGCAGGTACTGCTGTCCCCATTTTGCAAGTGAGGAAGCAAAGAGAGGTTAGGTAATTTCTCCGAGGTCACGCAGCTTTTCAGTGGTGGAGCTGGAATCCAGCCCAGGCGGTTTGTGGAAGTCTGTGCTTTCCCTCCCTCTGCCACGGTGCCTGCAGGGTCACTCCCAATGGCTGTCAAACCAGAAACACATTCACCCTTTGATCCAGCAATACCATGTCAGGTACTTTCTCCGCAGCTGACCCTGCACACGCAGGAAACAGCGTGTGCTTGAGGTTATCCTTTGCAGCCTTTTTCTTTTTATAAGAGCAAGCCAGATTTCTATTTATGCTGGACTATTTAGATAAATGATAGTACAACTGCATCGTGGACTACTATACAGCTCTGAAACAGACCATTTCGATGAACTGAGCTCCAGGAGATACTGTTAAAGCAAAAATCAAGGAGCAGAGTCCTGTGGATAGTGAATACCACCATTTGGGTCAAGAAGTGATGGGGGGAGAACTTCAGAACATGTCTTTGTATTTGTGGCAGGGGACACAGGAGGGACCCACCCACAGGAGCACCCTTCTGGGACAGGAGTCATGAGAGCATTGGGTGAGAATGAGGTGGGAGTGAGGGGTGTCAGTGCACAGCTTTGACCCAGTTGGTATCTTTCATATTGTTGAGTCATGTGACTGCATCACCCAGGAAAAAAACATGGTTGGCGGGATCCATGGCCTGGGTGTCCTGTATTGAATCCCAGCTCTAACAGTGGGAACCCTGGCAGCTTATTTAATCTCTCTTATTTAATACTGGGTGGGGCGAAAGTAGGTTTACAGGTGTCTGTGTGGAGAATAACCCAGTAATTAATAAATGACAACACGAGAATGGACTCTGTGTCTCCTGCACTCACAACTGTAAACCTGCCTCCGCTCCGCCCTGGGTCGTCTCCCTCTGTGAAGTGGGGGCAGCAGGTATTTCCTCTGGGCTTGTGGGAATAAAATAAAACCCCAACTAGGTGAAGTGGTGAAGTACTTGGCACACAGTAGGTCGATCGCAGATGCTGGTGTAACACTGTGATTATCAATATAGCGTTTGGATGGCTTACAGAAATGAGGGAACAGATCTCTCCTGTCCCCACAGTAACCCATCCTTTTGCAAGGGGACCTTGAAGGCCCTCCCACCAGGAGTCTTATTTCCCTGCCTCTTGAGGCTGGGCTTGGCCGTGAGGCTCGCCTCCACCAGAAGCATGGGACCGGATGGAACGGCATTGTGAAGCTTCAGAGGCCCTGAGGCGCTTCCACTTTTGCCTCCTGGAATGTAATTCTACCACGGGAGGGAGCCGGGCCCTGGAGAGAGCGAGGCCAGCTGCCAGCCAGCACCGACGGCCAGGTGGGGCCTGGGGCCGACTTGGACCCTCCGGCTCCAGCGAAGCTGCCACGTGACTGCCGCATGATGATCCCAGGAGGCAGGGTGGCTAGAGCTAGTAACTGGAAATGCAGGATTAAATCTGAATTTCAGATGGAAAACAAAGACTTTTTTTTTAGTGTAGGTATGGCCCACGCAGTATTTGAGGGCCTACTTATACTCAACATTCTAGTTTATCTGAAATTCACATCTAACTGGGCACCCGGATGTCGTCTGGCAGACAAGGCTACAGGAGACACCTGCAGGAGAACCTCCCAGCTGAGCCCAACCCAGGACAGACCGCTGAGTCGGAAATAACCATGGAAACGGTTGCTCCTTAAGCCTCTTGTTAGGCAGCAAGAGAGACCTTCAGGCCAGGCACATCTACCTGGGGGATCATGGCCAGGCCTGGTCTGTGCTCTCATCTTGCTGGCCCCTACCGGGTTCCATCCTCAAGGCCTCCTTTGCCTGTTTCAAGTCTGGGTGAGGCCTCAGCAGGTCTTACCCTTGTCTCCAGTCCCTGACTCTGAGACATCCCAGCACCGCCTGCACCTCAACCACACCCTCTACCCTTACCGACGCCAAAGCACTTACTTGAGCTGGGGGTGGGATGGTGCTGGCTTCTTGGGCTCCTCCCCCTGCTGAGAGGTACTGCGGCCTTGCACAGGGGGCCGCGGCTGTGCAGGGAGGGTGGCGCCTGGCCTGGAGCCCTGGTTTGGAGAGCCGCCACTGGGTGCCCGAGGCAGCTGTGGAGAACCTGGTGACCTCTGCTGCTGTGGGGATCCGGACTGGGGGCTCAGGGGCTGCTGGCCTTGCGGGGACAGCCTCTGCTGGGAGGGGCTTCCAGATCTTGGGGGCTGAGGAGACTGCGCTTGGCGAGGGCCCCCTACAGGGCAAAAAAATTATTACATTCAATTTTTCCTATAATAATTCTGTGCACAAGTGTTACTTCAAGGATGTTCATTACAGTGTTGTGTGTGTGTGTGTTTTTATAACAGTAAAACACGGAAAATAATACAAATGCCTAACTGATTAGGAACATTAAGATATGTCCATATAATGGAGTATGCTGTGGTCATTGCGCAGGATGTTACAGAATAATATTAAATTACATGGGCTATTGTTGATACATGCTAAATAAATGCTGCCAACGGAAACAAGCAACACACACGGCAGTGCACACAGTTTTATGCACCTTGTCACGTAGTGTGAAGCTATGTGACAAAGAAAGGCCGGGAGGCTCCGCACCAAGGCCAGTGTCTCAAACATGCCTCACGGGGAGATCTCGCCCAAATAAAGATTCTGCTACAGCAGGGCCAGGCTGCTGTTATGGGCTGAGCTCGGGTCCCTCCAAATCCAAATTTTGAAGTCCTAACCTCAATGTGACTGTTTTTGGAGACAGAGGCTTTGAAGGGGGTAATTATTGTTGAATGAGTCACAGCATGGGGCCCTAACCCAATAGCACTGGTGTCCTTCTGAGAGAGAGAGAGAGAGAGAGAGAGAGAGAGAGAGAGAGAGAGAGATGCCCAGGGCAGACACACGCACACGGAGGAAAGGCCATGTAAAGACACAGTGAGAAGGCAGCCATCTGCAAGCTGGAGAGAGAAGTGTCAGCCCTGCCAGCACCTTGACCTTGGACTTCCAGCCTTCCACCTGAGCAAGTACGTCTGTTGCTGAAGCCACTCCGCCTATGGGATTGTTGGGGCAGCCGAGCTGACTGACCGATGCAGGCAGCGTCTGCAATCTGGACTCTAAGCCAGGGGGTGCTGGGTGCGGACTACAAAACTGGTGGGATCGTGGAGGGTTTTAATTCTCCAGCTTTGCTCACTGGTGGTTTCCACACTGAGGATATATCCCTTTTGAAACAATGAAAAGAATGATCCCTTACTTCTGGAAAGCTCTCTGAATTTTTCTAAGCACTTTCAAAAGCAAGGTATTCTTTGCTTTCGACAGAGGCTGGTAGGGAAGATACCATTCTTTTGTATTTTTTAACAGAACACGCCTTTCTTTCAATTGCCTTTTTTTACTCAAAAATTTAGCTTTCTGAGCCTGTGCTTGTGGCTTCAACCCTTCACACCGATTTTCTGCTCCTCACTGAGGATGGCACGCTGGTGCTGCCTTGGGTGCAGTCAGCACGCAGGGGCCGCCGCCCGCCCGCCCACAGGTTTTCTGTTTTCGCCTCATCAGACCATGAGGTCTCACAGCAGGAACGCCACGGAGTCGGCCTGGGCGCATGCTGCACACAGGCTTTGGTGTTTTCCCAAAGTTTTCTTTAAAAAAAATGCTTATTGGTTTTAGAGAGAGAGGAAGGGAGGAGAGAGAGAGAGAAACGTCGATGTGAGAGAGAAACATCGATGTGAGAGAGAAACATCGATGTGAGAGAGAAAGAACCGTGGGCTGCCTCTCGTATGTGCTACACCTGGGGATTGAACCCACAACCTAGGTACATGCCCCGACTGGGAATCGAACCCCCAAGCTTTTGGTGTGTGGATGATGCTCCAAGCCCCTGCGCCACCTGGCCAGGGCAGCTTCCCCAGCCTTCCTGATATAAACATAAACAACTCTATTACTGGGGGTCTGGGACAGCCTAGTGTTGTTGTTAGAGGCTGTACGGCAGGACAGCCCCGATGGCGTGTCAAACACTGGGCCACTCTGAACATCTGTAGACACAAAAGTGTCTACACTTCGGTCGCCAAAGAGATACTATCCTTCTCATCCCACAGAGGCGGGGACTGAGTCCCTCACTGTGGGGTCATAATTGGAAGGAGTAGCCAACAAGACCTCCCAGAAAACATGACTTCCCCCTCTCCCTGCACGGAGCACAGTCACCTGCAAGCAAAGGGGCATCCTAAGCCTGGGGACGTCTCCACTGCCCACAAGCCACTTTGAGTGGCATTGGAAGGCTCCCTGCCGGCAAGGTGCGCTCCCCTCACCCTCCGGTTGAGGCCAGAGGGAGTGCTCCGCGGGCCCCCCTCACCCCCACCCCCGGCTCCCAGGAGAGCGGGCTGCCTGCCCTGTGCTCTCCTCATCATGTGTGGGGAGGTCACTCGAGGGAGGAGACTGAGAGTTATCTCCGTGGCCCTTTTATAATCACAACGTGGCTCCCACTCACTCGAGCCCCATTAGTCTCTACTGAGCACCAGCTGCGTCCCCAGCCTTGGGCGCGCTCACAGCGCTCTGAGGGTTGGGCATTACTAACCCTCCGTGTTCACAAAGAAACCGAGTCCCGGACACACTCTGACTTACACAAGGTGTCACTTCCAGGAAAGGGAAGAGCCAAGATTCAAAACTAGATCTTTTTAACTCCAAAGACCTCTCTGTCTTCCTTCCTCCCTCCCTCCCTCCCTTCCTTTTTTCTTTCTCTCTCTCTTTTTAAAGATAGGGATTTTTAAAAAAGATTTTATTTATTTTTTGGAGAGAAAGGGGAAGGGAGGGAGAAAGAGAGGGAGAGAAACATCGATGTGCAATCAGTTGCCTCTCACACGCCCCCAACTGGGGACCCTGCCGGTAACCCAGGCCTGTGTCCTGACTGGGAGAATCAAACAGGTGACCTTTCAGTTCACAGGCTGGTGCTCAGTCCCCTGAGCCACACCAGCCAGGGCATCTTTCTTCCGTTCTCCCTCCCTTTCTTCCTCTTCCTTGTCTGTCTGTCTGTCTGTCTGTCTGTCTCTCTTTGTTTGCCATAGCACACAGGGCTGGCCTGAGTCCTCACATCTTTCAGTGCATTGAGAAAAGCTGGCTCCCTCTGGTGCACGCAGCTCTGAGCAAGGTGCACGGGGAGGAAGGACATCATCTCAGCCGGTCCCCTTTGCAGTGGGCTCGGCCTGCGCGCCTGGTTGCCCTGACACCACACTGTCCCCAGGAGCCGAGGTCCTGACACTAGCCTTGCCATGAACTTGCTATGTGACTGTGGCTAAGTCACATCTCCCTGGGCTTCTGAGCCCTTCTTTGTAAAGGGAGGTCACTGGGCTAGCCGCCAAACATCCCTCCCGGTCTGGATGTTCCCGTGAGCCCGTCCGACGCTTTGTAAGTCGGACTGAATGGCAGCACCAGTTTAGCAACTGATCGCACGTGGCTTTGATTCATGCTTTTCTCATCCTCTCCCCCTTTCACGACTATGCGCCCCAGGAGACTGGGAGACCCAGTGACCTCAAAACTCAAACACCTACAGGGCCAGTCAGGTACAGAAATAAGTCAAGCAGGCGAGTGTCAGAGAAAGCATGTGATTTTAAAGCTTTTTCCCACTTTGGGTAAAAACAGAGTTCAGAGACCTACTTCTCTGAAGAGGTGCAGTTAACACTGTGTCCCCGCGGCAGTGACACTGGGGAGGCTGACGGTGTGGGGCGGGGTGGGGCGGGGTGGGGGGGAGTCCTCGGCCTGTCTGAGCAGCAGCTGTGACTACATGTCAGGGGAAAGGCTGCAACATTGGAATTCAAGCCCATTGTTTCCGGAACTCTTGCTTTGGCAAAGGAAGCTGCAAATCTACGTGTTTATGTCGAAGCTCCTGATTTTAAAATGTTGGTTTGCTTTTTTGCTAAACCCACTGCAGGTCAAAGAAAACATCTGTTTTCTACTTTTGTCCTAAGTCTCCCCCCCTTCACCCTCACTGATAATATCCTGGAAAATCTGGACACGCCGATTCATTTATTAACTATTTCTTGAGTCCCTATTATACCCCTGGGATGCATCATTAATTTCTTTCAGCTTCTTGGCAAAGCAAACATTTTACTATTTTTGTTCACGCACACACAAAATACATTAACTTAGATAAAATATTTGCACAGGATTGGTGCTAAACAACGATGAGGCTTATTAAAAGAAAATGTCACTTTTACCGAGCTGAAAATACACAGCGAGTTCAAAAACAAGCTAATAATGTGATCTTGTTATTTCGGGAACTCAATGAAAGCATTGTTTTTAAATTAGCCTTGTTATTTTTAATCTGCATGTTAATTCAATGGGCATTTTCTTTAATGATCTTAATTGGTTTTAAATGGGTTGTTTTTCAACTCGCTGAAAGTGTGTTTAGCCTCATGTCCCTTAAAAATAATATCTCTTTATCAGGCATGTCTCTGCCCTGGGCCCGGGAGGAAACCAGAACACAGTAGCCCTCTGTTTGGAAGGGCTCTGTTCAAGTGTGTTTTAAAAAGTAAGTCCCGGGCAGGGTGGGAGAGGACAGGCAGGGCCGAGGCACAGCCAGCAGCCTGGCAGGGCGATGAATGAGTCTCTTCTGCACATTTATAACTGAGAACCTTCCGCCAGCCTGCGGAGCAGTGGGGCTGCGTTCGTTGTGAGGATTGTTAATGATCGTGATGGTTCAAAACAACGTGTGTGCTAGAAACGGTTTGTCAGACGCAAGTTATTCATGGTAAAACTTAACGTAACTGGTTATTAATAGTCAACTGTCCGCGGTAGGAGCGACCCCTACCAAGCGCCACGTCCGCGCCGGACACCTTGCTGACTGCTTCGCCTGGGCTGCCGCAAGGGCAGCTCGCCGTCCACAAGGGAGGCAGCTGCGCCAGCCTCCTGCGCCACTGGGGAAACTGAGGCTCCGGGGAGGGATGTGACTTGCCTAAAGAAGGACTCTTCTCATCTGCCGAAGAAGAATCCTGGTGTGCATTTGCATACAGTTGTGTGAATGATGCGGTTTGGCTTTCTGCTTTTCCAAGACAAGAAAATCAGAGGCCAGAGGGAGGAACAGCGCGTTCTGTCTAAGACCTGCGGGGGAGACGCCCTGTCGCGGCCAAGGCCGCTCTCCCCCAGAAGCAGTGACTCTGTTGCTCTCATGAAAGCCACTCGGGGGCTAGGGGCGACAGTAATGCTTTCTTTGGGGTAGTAGGTTTCACGGCACCCCCGAGAGAGGGCTGCGGGCCGCCTGGCCTGGCTTCTCGAAGCAACACTGCCCTGAACCTCTCTGTGCGGGCACTAGGTCGTGATGAGTGCGCCCAGGGGCTCCGACTGCGCCAGGGAGGGACACGGGGCAGGCTCCTCCCCTTCTCTCCCGGGGTGGCCCACGAGTGGGAACCCCCCAGCACCTGACATCGGGGAGAGGGTCAGTCGGTGGTCTCGATCCCTCTTCATCGGGGCTTCCCTAGTTTTTCCATTCCCTAATAAGTGGTGTCGCGTGAGTAGTAAGGCTGCAAGACTTTTTCTGAGGGACCATTTCAGTCGACGAGGTTCCAGAGAACGTTCTTCTTTGCTTTCTCACTCGGGTTGGTTGGCTCATAAACCTGCAGTCAGGCACCCCCAGTGGCCAGGACACGGGCTTTCTGGAGGGTCTGAGGTGGCACACGAGTGAGCCCGCCCTGTTCTGGTCAGCCTTCCTCGGGCGAAGCCTCGACACCCACCTCGGGTAAAGGGGACACTGCTGACCTTTCCCCTGGAGGGTGACCGGGAGGCTAAACCCACGAGCAAACAGATGGGAAAGTCCCTACTGGGTGCCTAGCACACATTAGGTACTTAACAGATTTTCTTCTGTCTTTCCTGCCTTCTCTCCTGACTTTACAGGGGTGACACACCCCAGACTCACGCACTCTGCATGGACAGTGGGGCCACGGGTCCTGTGGGTGAAGGGTTAATCAAGGTGGGCTTTTCCAGCGTGCCTTCCGGAAGGCACGCATGGACCCCTCTGCCTTTCAACATCCTCGCTGGGTGCGGTCCCCGGGGAGGCTTGTCGGGGGTCCTACCTTGGGTGGGTGGGCGTGGCTGGCCCGGCCCCGGGGACTTAGCTGGTTTGGTCTGCGGAGCCTGGAGCAGGAGAAGCAAAAGGAAACCTGTTGTGATCACAGCCATTTACTTCCAGGGTGGGAGGGCAGGGATGGCAAAGATCTTGTCATCATCACTCAGGTCAGAGGTACCTACAGTGTGCCACGGTAGGTGTGCTGCACAAGGAATTTTTACACACGCGTACGCCCATGTGACCACCCCCAGGTCACGTGGGTGTACGGATCGTTTCCAGGGGAGAAGGCTGCCCTGCCCGCTCCCAGCCAGCACCCCTCCCAGCCAGCACCCCTCGCAGTAAAACCGCTATTCCCAGGTCTGTTACCACAGGTTCAAGTTTTTGTGGGAGAAGCAGGGAGCAGTTTGGACACTTGTTTTTCCAGAAAGCTGGGAGCCGGCAGATTCTTTGGAGAATGACCTGGTAATCCGTGGTGAGGACTGGGGGTGGGGGGGGGGTAGGGGGCTGAGTGGGAGCCTGTTAAGGTTGGCAGACGGGGCACGGAAGACACAATAGTCCCTATTGACCGGGGCCGGGATCACACCAACATGTGCGCACACACTCCCTGCTCCCGGCCCGGCCCGGTGCAGAGGGCACAGAGGGGACAGCTGACTTCTTGTGTTAACCCCCTCTGCCCCCAGAGGCCCACGCCCATTCCGGATGAGGTTTTCCCCCCAGGACGGAGGGACGAAGGGCCCCTCGGAGCTCCCAGACTGCCCGTCAGGAGCAGGGTCTGAAAGCTGTCCCCTCCGCCCGGCCCGCGTCCACACCCCACCCCTTCATCCCCAAGGGGTTCCTTCCTGGGCATGTCTCCTTTGCATGCAGGCGTCCCCCCTTTCCCAGGCAGCTTCCCATTTCTCCTGGCTACAAAGTCTCCTTTGTTTCCGAGGACCTTACCCAAGGCCTCAGGGGCGAGGGCACTGTGCCCCCTGGCATCAGGAATTGGCTCATTTTGGAGACGACGAGGTCGGCTATCAGCTGTCTGTCCTCTTCCACATGCTCTCCAATCAGGGGCATTGAGCTGTCCATCACCTGCGGGAGGGAAATGAAGGCTGGGGGCCACCCTTGCCGGGACAGCGGGCAGGAGAGCTGGTGCAGAGCGCAGAACAGAACTGACCACTAGATGGCGATGTTCTCCACGCAAACACCAGCCGGGCGCCTCCAGCTGGGACTGAGCCCTCTGGAGACATCCAGGTCCCCGCTGTTGCGTCTAGATCAACTCCCTGGATTCAGTTCAATTCAGCCTACGTTCTCTGGACCGCAGAGGCGGGCTGAGGGCCTTCTCTGACCTTTTCTGCTCTTTTCCTCGGGGAGCTGGTCTCTGCCCCCGCTACTCCCACCTTTGGCCCACTGCCCAAGGTCGTGGCTGGTTTCCTGCACTTCCCAAGGTCAAGGCTTGCCACAAAGCCAGAAGCCATGGTGGTGGTGGTGGTGGTGGTGGTGGTAGAGTTTGATTATCTCACACGCACACACGGACTTGGGGTGAATTGACCCAGGGTTCAGAGAGAAGAGAGGGGAGGAGAGGCCGCTTCCCCTGGGGCTCGGGCAGAACACAAGCCTGGAGGGAAACATTCCACAGGGAGTGGGCTGCTGTTTCTCAAAGGCGGCAAAGCACTTACACTGGGAGGGGCCTGAGGGATCCTATTTACCATGCTGCTATTTTTGCAGCTGGGAAAACCGGGGCCCAGAGGTGGGAAGGGACTCGCCCAGAGCCGCGTGGGCCAACCCTGCAGGTGACTCCGCAGGCGGAAGCAGCTGTGGCAGGTCCCCTCTTGAATCCTCCACCCCCCTGTCCAGCCCTCCTCACCCATGGCTCCTCGCCAAACTGACCGTCTCATTTCCTTTCCCCCGAGCTCCTCCAGACTCCCCGGTTCTCTCCCCCACCCGAGTCCCATGCACGCCATTCCCTCAGCTCCCTCTTCCTCTGGAGGATGCTCAGCCAGCCTTCAGGACACCTCTCGCTGGTGCTCCTCTGGGACGCCCTCCCTGACCCAGCCAGCTCTGACAGCCCCTCCCCCTGCACTCCGCCCTGTCCTCACTTCAGTCGCCCCACGGGGCGGGGGGGGCGGGGGGTGGGGAGGGGGAGGGTTTGCCTGCAGCACTACCATCTCCCGTTTACTTGTGTCTGCCCAAGCGGATGCGACCACGAGGCCCTGAAAGTGGGACGGGCCATGTGCTGTTACACAGGTGCGCCCCGGGGCCTCCCCGTGAGCGGAGGAGTGAACAGTCCCTGCGGCAGGTGCAGCCCCTAAGGACTGGGACACTCGTGAGTGCTGTATTTCACGGGGCGCTCGCCAGCCACGTGCCGGGCGCAGCCCTAGGCGCCGGTGTGCACGACCTCGCACAGACCTCAGACCGGCTCTTTGAGGCAGGCACGACTCTGACCCTCATCTCAACGGCGGCGGCAGGGACACGGAGGGCCGGAGATGCGGCCGGTTTGGGGACACACCGCCAGCAAACCGCGGCCCTCCCATCCCTCTCTGTGGTGAAACCTGGGTGCCAGGCTCCGGTTCTGCCACGGGCTTGTCGGGTGGTGCCGGGCAGGTCACCTTCCCTCTGTGGGCCCCTGTTGTGTCACCGCACACACTGCGGGGGGGGGGCAGCAGTGCAGACCCTTCCGGCTGGGACTTTTCGGGGTCCGTGAGTCCAAAGCACCCACTGTGGTCGGGAGGCTGGAAAAGCAGCTCACGGTTGTGAATGCGGAGCCTGACATGGTCCCGAAAACTGTCCTCAGGGTGAGCTCCTCAGGGTCCGAGCCGGGCCCTCGGCACCCCAGGTCCCAGTGCCTGGCACGGGGACAGCCTCCTGGTGGGCGTGGGCCAGGCTGAGCTGTCACTGTCACTGTGGATCCCACACAGGCCCGTCCCTCCTGCCCCCGACCCTGCCCACCTCCTCCTGCTCTGGTTTCTGTTTCCTGCAGTCCCCGTGGTGGAAAGCGGCCACCACGAGCAACCTGAGGTCAGAGCGTTTTGGAATCCCCACGGTGGACACAGCCAAAGGAAGTGGACACTCTGGTCTCCCCAGGGAAGCATTTTTTCCAGTGAGCAATGCCGTTCCCTGGACAGGTCATGGAGGACAAGTTCAAGGGTCTTTCCCCTGAGCATTCCACTGTGAGGATCTTCACAACACATGTCACACGAATGCTGTGTTCTCACCACAGAGGTGGCTGAAGAAAACAGTATTTTTGGATCTCTTCTGCTTTTTTTTTCCAGACGGGGAAAAATACCTTTTATCTTCCTGGTAGCAAATTACCCCCTCCCCCTGCCCTCCCATTTCCCTCGACCCCACCCTAACCCCCAAAGCAAGGGAAATAACTCTAACTTTTTTGAGAGAGAAAAAAAAAAACAATCTGAAGATACCATTTTTTTTCCCTTCTGGAACATTTTTGAAAAGTTGTTTTCTTGTTTTTTAAAGTCCAAACTCACAACGTTTGCTTTTTTTTTTTTTTTTTTTTTGAAAGTTCTTTTATCTCTGACCTGTTTGCAGGGAGCCTGGGCCTCCGAGGACAGATTTTGGTTTCCTAAGGTGAAAGCTGAGGAAACTCATGGGGGGCAGAGCCGGTGCTGGTGCGGGGGAGGGGGAAGGAGGGCAGAGTTGCCCGTCTGGGTGGGCGCTCCAGGAGGTGGTGGGCTGCCACCTGGGACCCCCCGGCCTGGCCGGGCCCTCAGGATCCGGCCTGATGGTGAGGGAGTGAATGAATGAACCACTGCGTGGGGGCCAAACCCGAGTTCCTATCTGGTGGTCCTGGGAGGAGATGCAGAGGCGGGCGGGCCAGGGGGGTCTCAAGAGATGCAGTGCCCCAGGCGGGAGGGCCCAGGGTGCACCCTTGGCCGGAAGCTCCCGGGGCACCTCGGGAAGGAGGGTGCCGCTCCTCTGGGGAGCAGCCTGGCCCTGGTGGGGGGTGAGCGTGCAGGCCGGTGGTTCTTCACCTTATGGCGTCTCCTCCAAGAAGGGCTGCTGGGGGCAGGCAGGTGTGGCGGAGGTCTGGACTCTGGACTCGAGGGGGAGCTGTTTTCCAGAGCAGGACTGAACTTGCGAACAGAGACGCAGCACACCCAGGGGGAGCTTCCTGGCCTTTCTGGGGAGGGTAGAGGGGCTGTGTCCACCCGGGGCGCCCTCCCTGTCACCTCCAAGGGCAACCACTCCCTGAGCAGGGGCGTGAGAACAGCAGCAGGGGTGTGAGAAAGACAGCCACACACCCATGGAGCCACCTGGTCCTGCCGCCCTGCGTGTCCCAGGGGAGTGGAGCAGACATGGGGGACTGGCGGGCCAGCAGGCTGCTGCGGCTGCCCCAGCCACGTGCTTCCCGGCAGGCAGCGGCCCAGCCCCCGGGAGGGGCAGCCGCAGGGCTCGCCCTCACGTGTCTTGGCCTGGTGTCAGCACCGCCGCCTGCCCAGCGGCTGTGGTTTGAGGAGAAGGTGCTTCTGGAGGGTGGGAGTGTGAGTGGGCTGGGAATTGGGGGACAGAAGGGAGAACCCTGAGGCCAGACAGGCATTTTCAGGGGAGAACAGTGGGGAGGCATGGGCTGCAGGGGGCAGGGGGGGGGCGCTGAGGAGCGGAGAGAGACACCGTGGGACCAGGAGAGACAGGAGGAGTCTGGAGGAGAGAGGGGGCTTGTGGGACTGGGGAGGTGCAGAGGGGAAGCTGGTGTGGGGAGCGGACGGCAGGGGCAGGCAGGGGATGGGTGGGGAGGGCCGGAGGAGGGGGCAGGCCTGAGAGCGACTGGGGCGCAGGGGGCTGTGGGAGAGATGCCAGGGCCCACGGTCCCTCGAGCTGCCCCTGGTCAGTTAATTTCTCTGCGTCCTTCCCTCCATTCACATCGCCACGAGCTGTGACCCCTTTCCTGACGGTCAGTGTGCCGCCAGCACAGGGTCACTGTCCTTCCCTGCCAGACTGCACGCCCCCAGCTGTGTCCTGCCCCCATAGTTACCCCCGGGGCTGCCCCCCCCCCCACCCCAGAGCCCCGAGGTGCCCGTTCGCTGAGCGAGCGGACGATGGGAACTCTGCATGGTGACTTTACACAGTCGGACCCCGAGAAAATCTGACAGGCCCAGTGCAGCACAGTCTCGCCAGCCCTTAGCCTGGCGTTCCCGTCTTACCCTCAGGCCCACAGGTCAGGAGATGCTGTCAACCCTCACGTGGGAGCTCTGAAGGCAGCTCGGACCCCTGGGCACAAACGCTTTAGATTCGCCTGAGGGTGGAGGTGGGGGTGGGTGTGAGGGTGGTGGGCGAGAAGCCAGTGGGGGCCGCATGTGCCCAGGCTGCGAGTCCCGCCACAGCTGGCCGTGCTGGGGACCACCCATAGGTTCCTCCCCTCCGGCTCGTCCGCCTGCCTGGGTGGGGGCGGGGCCAGGCCAGAGGACCTCCGCTTCCTCCCTCACCTCGATGATGTAATCTCTGCCGTCCTTGCTGTGGACGGCCTTGACCGCGCAGATGTCCAGGCCGCCGAACATTTCCGAGCAGCTGTCCACCCACAGCCTGTACCTGCAGGGACGGACGGGCAGTGAGTGTGGCCAGGACAGGAGGGAGGGGGCAGCGGGAGAGAGCAGCAGAGACAGAGATGGAGAGACCCACCGAGACGCACGGGGAACTGGCCGGGGGAAAGACTGCGGCGGATGCCCATTCCGAGGCGGAGACAGTGAGGAAGAACAGAGACGTGGCAAGACAGACAGACAGAAGAGACCGAGAGACAGAGAGGCAGGGGGAGAGACAGAGATGGGTGGTGAGACAGAGGGACGGACTGACAGAGAGACTAAAGAGGGAGCCAGGCATGAGAGGGGGGTGATGAGGGAGCAGGACCGGGAGCTGGGAGGGGGAGGGGTCCCACCCCAGCACCTTGCCTGGGCCCCAGGGGTGGGGCGCTTGCCCCGCCCCCATCCGGAGCCATCCCCGACACCCAGCCGCCCCTGCGGCTCTTTTCCCTTGGGAAAGGCCTCAGAAATCCGTCCCGGCCTCCCTCCCAGCCCCAGCGACCAGGCTAGACGAGAGCCTGCAGGGGGACAAAGAGCACATTCTGCCCTGAGCCGGGGCGGGCCTGCGAGGGAGCCCAGCAGGCTGCTCCGGGGCCAGGGGCCTGGCCCTCTGGACCCGCTGCTTTTGTTCCCTTTCCAGCCACTCGAGGGCTGCGAGGCCGGTTTGCTCTGCAGGGGAAGGAGCTCTGCGCCGGACTCTGCCCTGCAACAAGGGGGTGGTTGTGTCTGAGGCGGTTCCCCGGGCTTGCACTTGGCGTGCCCTGTGGTGGCTGGGCTGGGGAGGCACAGGGGCTGGCTCTGTCAGTGTTCTTGCTCCTCGCCCCACTCCGCGGGGTCACGGGGGCCACGCCTGCTCTGAGATCGGCTTGTGTCTCTGAGCCATCGGCCAGAATGAGGAGAGGTCATGGCCCAAGTGCTCTTAGAACAACTCGTTCATCTTCCAAAGCCCACTGAGGCCCAGAGAGGGAGAGCGGCTTGGCCAGGTCACACAGCAAGATGGTCATAGAGCTTGGACCGCCCCGATCTCCTGGCTCCTAGTTCAGTTCTTTCATTCACCTGTAGCCTGTGAGGTCGTAGAAGTAAAAGAAAGGATGGAAACTCATGCCTGTTAACTCCTGCTATGTGCCAGGCATTCTGTGGGGGCTGGCTCCTTGTCTTTCTGACCCCCGCACCAACTCTGTGAGGAAGGTTTGGAGGTTTAACCCATTTTACTGATGAGGAGACTGAGGCTCCGAGAGGTCACTGAGTGGCGGCGCAGGCTCCCAGACCCAGGTCCTGCCTGATCCCACCTCCGAGAGGCCACCCTCCCTCTCAGTCGGGATGTCACGACCTGCTCTCCCTCAGCTCGGGAGACCAGCCGCCTGGGCTCTTGCTGTCAATTCCCTCCACGATGCTGGGTGAGCCTTTCCCTCCTGCGGCCTCGGTTTCCTGGTCTGAGAAATGGGCAGGCCCGGGTCTTGCTGCAGCTTTCTGAGCCACCGTGATTGGTTCAGGGGTGGTCACGTGTGCCAAGTCAAGACTATTGATTGGTGAATAAGGCTTCGGCTGAAAGGATGGGGAACGAGGTTTCTTCCCACTGGACTTGAGCCATCAGGGTACAGGCCTGCAGCCACTGTGGGCCGCCAGGTGAGCGAGTGAGCTGGCCGGACTGAAGCCAGCAGAGAAGAAAGCCGAGCCGAAGCAGGTAGACTGAGTCCTACCTAGCCTGTGGCCTGGAGCCATGCCGCTGGAGTTTTCATCGCCACAAGCCGATAAGTCCCCTCTGGGGCTCAAACCAATCTGATCCGTGTGCTGACACTTGCAACCCACGGAGAGTTCTCAAAGGGGAGGAATGGATGTTGGCCTCTGCTGCGCTCACACAACCTGGGGTGCCATAGGCGCTCAGGTCCCCTCCACGGAGCAGATCTGCCTGGCCCCCGGGCCCGTGCGGGGCGCACCGCAGTTGCAGGCTTGCGGGCGGGATCTGCGGGCATGCAGGGAAGTGCGCGTGCTCGCGTGTGCGCATGCGCACCGCCGACCCCGAGAGCAGGCGACTGGCCCTTCTCCAGGCAACGGTGACTTGCAACAGTACACAGTCCTGAGGGGCCCTCTGCCAGAGCACGCTGCTGCCGCATTCACGATTCCCAGGAAATCGACTTCTCCCTCCTTACACCGAGACGGAACTGAGTCAGAGAGGACTGGACACCCCAATAGCCTTGGTTCCCTGACAAGGATGCTTCCATGCGGCTGTCAGCGCGGGGGTCGGGGTGGGGGGGACACTGGCAAGGACGCCCTGCTCTCTCCCTGCAGCAGCTGGGCAGGGCTGGAAACACCCTTGGATTTGGAGTCAGGAGATCAGGATTCTATTCTCAGCTCTGTCGTTGATCAGCTCTGTGACCCTGGACGAGTCGCTTTCCCCCTCTGGACTTTCTTCTTCCATCTGTAAAATGGGGTTCTTGTGGTACCTGCCCTGCAGGTGGTCATGGGCCATGAGGGAGACCGTGCCTAGGGGAGTGCCCTGTGGTTGGTAAGGCACTGGCCACAGGGCGGGGTGGCATTCCTTGCAAAGTCCTTGTTGTGGTCCTCACCCGCCTCCTACCACAGCTGCTGCTTCTCCCCGGGCCCCTGCTCGGTCCCTTACCTCTCCGTCATCGCCACCTGCTCCAGCATGGCAGAGCCTGTGTTGGCTTTCCAGTTTCCAGAGATGGAGGTTCTCCTGCATCAGAACAAATAACACAGTGAGGGCACTGGGGACACCTGTCACGGCTCTGCTTTCCTTCTTTGCTTTGGCTGCTAGGAGGCTCCGATTCAAATATCTGGCTCTCATTATGACGCCTATTCTTAGGTACACATCCTGTCCTCAGCTTTATTTTTCACGTCGACTGCCTTGTTTCTTGGATCTTAGGTATCTTTTTCAAAGCTACCTTGAAACTGAAAAATTAAGTTTAAAAACCATCGACACGAATGACGCCATCCCTCACGCCTTAGCGGTGTGAGCCCTGGGGACTCTGGCATGTTCTGACGGCCCAAAACATAGGGGAAACAACCCTCGGGGAGGAGCGGTCACTTTCCCATGGGGAAGAGCAGGAGGTCCCGGTTCTCCCCCTCCTCGCAGGTCCCTCGTCTTCTCTGCCAGGCAGCAGCCAGCCCGGCTTCGGGTGCTCTGCTGCCCAAGGCGCTTTCCTGTGTCGGGGCCTCCACACCCCTCTCCCCTTTGCCTGACCCAGGCTTTGTCTCCATCGTTCCCTCCCTAAGTCCCACTCCTCTTTCAGGTTGCCTCTGAAAGGCGACTTCCCGGCAGCCCACCTTCCCCATCAAGTGTAGACCCTCCCACACTCCCCCTACACCGATGTTCAGTCCCGCCACTGCCGCTGCCGTCTGCAATGACTGCTTCAGCGTCTCGTCGTCCCTGAGGGCAGGGGCCACGTCTGACTCGGCCCCGGCGTCCAGTGGGACCCGGCCGGTAGCAGGTGAGTGAGGGGCTGTGGGTGCACACCAGCCACCCCCGGTGGCCGGCACACACTCAGCAAAGACTGACCGAGTGTAAACAAAGCAGAAGAGGTAAGGCCGTTCGTTTCCCGGCCCAGGGCAGGCGTGAGACTGAGATGAAAGGGTGGCTGGGGAGAGGAACTGCTACAAACACATGTTCTCCTAAAAGAGAAGCGACGGCGTGTCTGAGGAGAGCGGAGAATAACGGATGGCGGATTAGGAGAGTCACGACTGCTGAGGGGCATGGATAAGCAGGGACACCGATACGCTTCCTGCCGGTTCAGCTTCATTCGTGTGAGCTCAGCGGAACTCCGTGCAGTTTGGCGAACACTCATGGGCCCCCCTGACATCCGGGGGAATGGTCTGAGGGTGCAGAGGGGACCCCTCCTCAGGCTGCTCTCAAACACCCAAGTCCAGGCATGGTGGCAGTATCTGTCCACGTAGGGAGAGGAGAGCTCGGGGGAAGCACAGAAGCCACCGGCGTCACTTACTGTGACCCCGGAAGGCCGCCGTCGAGATGCGTCTGCGGGGTGAGTGGGGACTGCCACAGCGGGGTCTCCCGGGCGAGCGAGGGTGCACAGTGGTGAGAGTCAGACAGAGGGCGTGTGACCCTCGGTCCAGCGGTTCGTGGCCGTGTCACTGCGGTCAGCATCTCTGACTCTTTACTGTCTCATTGGTAAGATGGGAACTAAAGTACCGTCCTTATAGCGTAATTATGTAGATGAAAGGGAATATTCCCATAAATCTCTTAGCGCAATGGGTGCTCCGACTCTTTCTCGGAGAGTGGAAACGAGAAGGGCAGGCACTGCCATGCCAGGAGCGGCAGGAGCGGCAGGAGCGGCAGGAGCGGCAGGAGCGGCAGGAGCGGCAGGAGCGGCAGGAGCGGGGCCAGACCGCTCTCCCTCCAAGAAGATAAGGAGGGTGAGAGCTGACGTTCACCGAGCGCTTTCTGTGTGCGAGACGCGGTCTCAGGGCTTCGGGAGCCCTGGCTTGTTTCAGCCTCACTGAGCCTAAGGAGACGGACATTATTTTATCATCATCCCCACTTAGTGGCAGAGGCCACCAGCCCGTATCTGCGAAACTCCATGCTCTTCACTCGGACTGTCCCGGGCACAGCCCGTCGCAGGCTTGGGGCGAAGGGCCGGTTGGCCCCGACGCGATGCAGCTGCCAGAATGTATGATGGACTGTAGACCGACAAAAGGAGCGGTCTATGTTGCAAATGTAGGACATTGACCTCCTCATTGAAGGGGGCGGGGCCGGGGGTAGAGAGGAGCCGGCGGAAGGAACGGCGGAAATGCGGGGAGACTGTGGCCGAACACAAAGGGAGCTGTGCGCGAGCCAGCACCGCGGTTGGTAGTGCGTTCCTCGTAGAGCCGAGGGTCCACGGTTCTGCAGCCGCCCACGCACACTGGGATTTTCACAAATGAGGCGGTGGATGGCGGCCGGCGGACGGCGGCAGCCAGGATCTTCCCCGTCGGCCGGGAAGTCCTGGGAAGCTAAAATGAACCATGTGGCTCGAGATGAAAGTCCGAGGCCTCACTATGATCTCGATTTAGCTTTAGACACAGACGATATTGTTAGACAGAAATAATTCCAGATACGCGTGTGTGCACGGGTTAAGGCGCCCACACACCTCTCGCAGGTCTGCGGGCTGAGCAGACCTATGAGGACACTCGGTCGGCGAGGAGCTCAGAGGCCCCAGGGCTGGGCAGCAAGTGGGCGGGAAGGCAGGGAGAGCGGTCAGGGGCGGAGAGGGTGTTCCACCCCAGGTCAGCTGCGAGCCCCCTCCCTCGGGCGCGGGCCAGCGCAGGGGCCAGGAGATGCTGTAACTAATGACAAATGGGAGCTGTCAGGGAAGAAAGGCTGGGCATAAAGAATGGAGCGATGAGGTAATCCTCAAGCAGAGAAACTGGGACAAGGTGTAGTCAATGTCAAGTGGGAACTTGAACAATGAGGAGAGGAGGACCATGGCATCGAGACGGACGGTGGAGGTTTTGGGGGTGCGCTGGACCGCAGCACGAAAACGTTCCCTAACTCTGAGAGGGCAGGGGGGAGGTGGCGTCTGCACCCGAGGGCATCCGAGAGTGGTGACGGGTCTGGGTGGCCCCTGGGTGGAAGAGAGTGACGGGCAGGACAGGGCAGAAGCTCTCCTCAAGGACTGGCTCCGCCCCTTTGGAGGAAGCTGGCCAACGGCCTGCACCCTCTCCTGCTTCCCCGGCGGTCACAGAGTGGACTTGTTACAACAGAGGCTGCACGGCCTGCCAAGCCCCAAGCTGCTCTCCAGCCCTTTACAGAAAAACCTGCTGGCCCCTGGTCCGGGCAATGCAGGGGGCGCAAAAGCAACCCTAGCTCATACCTCGATGGATGTGTAAGGCTGCGACAGACAAAACTTTATTTACAGAAACAGGTGGCAGCTGGACGTGGCCTGTGGGCTGCGGTTTGCTGACCCTGACCTAGAACACAAACTCCAGTGCACACAAGTGCCTGGAGATTTCCAGCCGTCCGCAGCCAGCCATTGCGGTTCTCTGGGATGGAGCCATCCTCACGGCCCGGGCTCCATCAGTGCTTGGCAAACAGGCACTGGCTGGCTCTCCGGGGCCTCATCATTTCAAGTGGGACCAACAACAACAACATTCCAAAGCGAGAGACAGAAGCCTTGGAGCAGATAAGAGGTCTCTAAAGACTGACCCTCCCAGCTCGCCGAGAACGCCCACGCATCCTCACGGCCGAGGCTCCGGTGCGGGTCACCCTGGGCCCGAGCCCCCCTGGGGTGGACGTGTCTGATGTTCTGTCTCTCCTTCCTTCCCCCTTCTCCACGGCACCTCTACTTCCCCTGGGGAACGCCCGGCCCAGGCCCCACGGCGTCTGGCGGCCCTCTGCACTAGAGTCGGGCTAATCAGACTGTGTCCATGAAATCACAGCCTTGACATGAGCCCTGGACGTGCTCAGGGCAGATCCACTTCCCACTCGGGTCGCCATGAGGACGGTCTATTGCTTCTGGCTGCCCTGGGTCCTCAGATTTCTGAAACTGGTAACTGAGTGATTTTGTCTGCTTGCTAGTTTGTTTCGAGCTTCTGAACGTCCGTGGCTTCCTAATAAATCCCCTTTATAAAGCTCGGTCAAGTGAGGCCCCTGTGGTCTCTGTTGCTGGCAGCCAGGGACATCCGACACAATCTCCTAACTGGTCTTATCGGTTCCAGAGAGAGCCCTTTGCAGCCCACGGCCCCAGAGCCACCTTTCTGTCAGTTCAGATCAAATTGTGTCACTTCTCTGCTGGGAACAGAACAGAGGAAAACCTGAAACCTTCAGCAAGGCCTTCAAGGCCTTCCCTGGTTTGTCCCCAAGTTTCTCTCTCGGTCTTGTCTCCTAGGACATGCGTGTTGCATGTACTTGACATTCCCCCCAATGTGCCACGTGACTTTCTTCCCCTGGGCAGACAGCCCTCGTTCGGGTGGACACGAGGGAACATCAGCCCTGCACTGCAGAGACCAGGGAAGCGGTCCGGGACAGAGACAGTGGGGAGACTGGTGCTGTGCTGACGGGGCTCTGCCTGGGGCTCTCCCTCCTCCCTCCCCTCCGCCCCGCCCCCAGCCCCACTGGGACTCACATGTAAGCCTTGTAGTTGGATCCGATTTTCTGGATGCGAATGTCGTACTTGGAGTCGATGAAGGCCTCGGTGGTGGCGTAGGTCTTGGCCATCGCCACCATGCTGGTGATGTCCTGGTAGTCGTGCTGGTTTTCTACTTTGATCTGTGTGGGAGCAGGAGAAGGCGAGTGCCACCCACCCGGTGGCCACCGAGCACCCACCCAGGGCCGGGATCCAGTGCTCCGTACACAGTGACCTGGAGAAGGTCCCCCACCCAGCAGGGGACACGAACCTAGGAAACAGGTCATTCCGCTGCCCGCCTGTAGAAGAGAAAGGGACCACTACTTGGGGAGTCACGGGAATCCTTATAGGAGAGGTGAGGGCTGAACATGGTTTGGAAGAAAAATTGGATTTTCAGATGGACTGCACAGCAGGGGACTCTCCGGAAAGGGCTGAGGAAGGGCAAAGCAGAGAAAGAAGGAGCCGCTTGAAGTGGGGGGACGGGCAATAGGTGCTGACCGGCCGATGGGGCAGGAAGGTGGGGGCCGGCTGGAGGGGGTCATTGGAGAGCAAACTATAGGGCAGAGAACAGTCCTCAGTAGCTCAGTAAGGGGCTCCCTGAAGGCTCTGGACAGCCCCTGAGAGAAGGAGAGGGCTTTACAGTAGAAAGAAGCCCAATTTGTGTTTCAGACAAAATCACAAAACAGTCGTACAGAAGGCTGAACAGAAGGGTGTGGCACGGGGTAGACACCCGTCAGAAAGAAGGGAGTGTGTGAGTGTGTGTGTGTGGTGTGTGTACGTGGAGGGTGTGTGCATGTGGGTTGTGTGTGTGTGAGTTGGTGGGAGAACAAAATCACTCAGTTATCCGTTTCAGAAATATGAGGATCCAGGGCAACCCCAGATGCATAGTTTGTGGTGAATGCACGCGGCGGGTTTGCACGTGTGTGATGTGTGTGATGTGTTGCATGGGTAGCGTGTCGGATGTGATGCTTGTGCATGCAGGCAGTGTGTGTGTGCCCGTGAGTGCACACGCACTGGGCAAGGCTAGCTCTGCTAGGCCAAAGGCCTGGGGGAGAAACTCACACTGTTTACAGGCCTAAGGCCAGGAACACCGAGAGGTGCCCCTGAGGTCAGGGAGAGGTCCCTGGAGAGACTCCAAGGCCAAGTGCAGGGGATGAGGCCAAGGCTCTGACGGCAATTTAAGACAGAGCACAGGCTGACTCTGAGTGGCTACAGACAGCTGGGTGGGCTGTCCCCTACCCTGTCACCCTCACCTGGACCACAGAAGGGGTCTGATGCTCGGCCAGAGGTGGGCCAGAGCCCAGACCCCCTGGAGGGGCCGGGTGGGTGCTGGCAGCCTGTGCGGGAGGCTGTCCTGTCTCCACAACCTCTCCTTCTAGCCCTTTCCTGCCTCCCTCCGAGGCTCAGCATCGCCCTGACAACTCCGTTTCTCCATGATGCTGCCCACTCACGGGTACCCGGCCTCCCGTACTTACAGGGCTTCCTCCCGGCCCCTCTGTGGGACCCAAAACAGGGCTGTGAGGCAGGCAGGGTGGGCATGAAAATGACCATTTAACAGGGAAACTGAGATTTCTGGCCTTGTCCAAGGCCACAGAGCAGCTAAACACAGAGCTGGGAATGCAGACAACGGGCTCCCAAGGCACAGCCGCTGTCTGAAGCATCTCAGCGTGTCTACAAGGCTGCTCTCCCCACCCTGCCCCCCCTCAGACCGCGGACAGCGATGGGGAGACAGGCTCAACAAACCTCTCTTCTTGGCTCTTGGGGAGGCCCTGCCTCTCAGCGGTGACCCCGAGTCCCGCTTTGCAGGGAACTTCAGGGTGACCAGGCAAGACTTCCCTGTTTCCCATTCCTTTCCAAGCCCACCAGCCTTTCTTTGTCCCAGTGCTGGTGACCTTGTGCCCGCTCCCACTCATGGCCCAACCTTCCCTTTGTCCTAGGATGTCTAGGGCTGATGGCTTGCTGTCCCTTCCTCCTCCAGAAATAGGACCCCCTCAGGTTTATCTGAGCAGCTGGTCTCTTTGTTCCAGCCTCCCTAACAGGTAGAAATGGCCAAGTCTCCAAGTCTGGTCAATGAAAATGTAGACACGATGTGAGCAAACTGGGGGTGGTGCCTTGAAGACAAAGGGAATCTTCCCTTTCCCTTTCCCTTCCGGTTCTTCTGCCTGGCTGGGGTGCAGACCGGGTGGTGGGGGCTGGAGATGCCCTCCTGGACCACAGGATGGAAGCCGCACGTTAAGGATGACTGAGTCACGAGACGGAAGGAACCTGGATTCCTAGCATCGCGGAGCCCCCAGTCAACCCTTCCACTACGTATGCTCAGCATCTTACATCAAAGACAAGCACACCTTAACTGGGCGTAAGCCATTGTTACTTTGATCTTTGGTAAAGCAGCCAAACTCTGTTTCTACCATGTATTTCTCGCCTCGGTTCTCAGCCGATTCCTCAACCTTTAGATCCACATGGGCACGGGTCCTCCATTCTCCTCCCGTGGTTCCTGCTTTTCAATACCCCAGTCCCTCACTGCTTCCTCTGTCCCGTCACCCTCATTTCCCACCCACTCCTGAACCCCCTTCTTCAGCTTTCACTCTCCACCCCCGCACTGAAACTGGTTTGGCAAATGCCACCTTTGACCTCCTCATCGGCGAATCTGATAGACCCCTTTGACCCTCGTCCTGCTCTGGTGCTCGGTGGCCTCTGAAACTGGCGAACTTCGTGGAATGCGATTTTCTTCTGGTTCTCTTCCTTTCGTTCCCGGCTGCTGCTTCACCGTCCAGATCGCCTCCACCTCCTCCGACAACCCCTTCAACAGTCACAGCATTTTATCCTCAGCCACCAGTTGGGATCCGGTAGAGAGAGTCAGAGCTAACAAAGTGCAAGGATGTTGGGGGTGGGGGGAGAACTTGCGGTGACGGCTTGTCTAATTCAGTGTTGTCACTGGTGGCTCGGAAAGGACCGGAACTTCCACGCCTGGGTTTCCCAGACAGCACAGCACACAAGGCAGGCTGTCTCAGAGGCGTCTGGTCGCCCACAGCATCCACTCTCTTCTTCCATAGTCTTGAAACGCGCTGCGCTGGGGGTGCAGGACTGCCTGGAATGAGCCGTACACCCCTCCATCACCCTGGCACCCGTGTGTGGCCACAGACCACATTTTGGCCAATAGGATGTGAACTGACATGGGGGCTGAACTTCTAGGTCTTTGCTTCCTCCTTCCCTCTTCCTGCTGCCTGGAGTGTGGGCTGTCTTTGACCTTGCTCCAGAAGAGCATTACTCCAGGAATGAATGAGCTGCAGGATCCAAGGAGCCTGGGTCCTTGGAACCAAGGAGTTTGCACACCAGCCCTGGGCAGCTTTGGGCCAGACCATTATGCGAGAGAGAAAGTCCTGCTTTGTTTCAGCCACCTTAGGCCTTTGTTACAGCTGCTGAACTCTGTCCCCCAAGTGCCAGAGGAGCCCTGAGTCAGTATTTGCTGAGGTGTGATGCATGCGTTCATGTGTCCGCAGTGCAGACAAAAAGAGAGCAGAGAGAGAAGGCAGAAGTGTCGAGGCTGATTTAATTAACTAGTCGATGAAGTAGTGGCCAGTCCATCCTCCCTCTGCAAACGCTTCTCTCCTCTTGTCACTTGGTGTCTGGGGTGGGGGTGCTCAGCCTGTCCTTTCCAGGAGTGAGCATGTAAGTCCGGACTCTCAGACTCTCAGACTCTGGGCTTTTCCAGAACCCCAGCAGAGGGCCTGGCCCAAGGTTCCCAGCAATTCTATGTTCTTTTTTTTTTTTACTTTTTGATATTTATTTATTTATTTTTAGAGAGGGCAGGGAGGGAGAGAGAGAGAGAGAGAGATAGAGAGAGACATCAATGTGCGGTTGCCGGGAGCCATGGCCTGCAACCCAGGCATGTGCCCTGACTGGGAATCGAACCTGTGATGCTTTGGTTCACAGCCTGTGCTCAATCCACTGAGTTATGCCAGCCAGGGCTAATTTTATGTTCTTTTCCTTGCAGAGGGCCTCCAAACTGTATAATGCCGGGCCCTGTAAAACCGACTGCATGCCTGCCCTCACCCATGTCTGTCTCCTGTTAGACTGCGAGCTTCTCCAGGACGGACAGCGTGTCTCCTTCCCAGTGGCGCATTCAGGATGCTCTAAACATGTTGGCTGGGTTGAGTTGAAGGAGATTGGCTACCGATCCGCTCATAGCTTGGGAAGGGGCAAGGGAATAAAAGGAAACATAAGGGAGCTTGGAAAAAGGCAAAGAAAACGTGTCGCAGGAAGACTGAGGTTTCTGAAAATGCTCGGAGTGAATTCTACCACGACCCCTTGAGAATCTGAGGAAGGCAGGGACTCCGGAGAAGGGGACTGGTGGCCTGAAGCCAGGTGGGTGGGTGGGTGCCGGAGGGGACTCTGGCAGGGTCCTCAGGCACAAAGGCTGGGGGTGGTGAGGGAAAGGGTGCTGGGGAGGAGCAGCCACAGGGGTGGTAGGATGGCTGCTGGCCTGGCGAGGGGTCTTGGCATCCGCTTTGATTACTAGCTGGAACCCCCTCCAAGGGGTCCCAGACACAAGCTGACAACAGAATGTCCTAAATAAACTGTGAGTCAAGGTTATGCATGTGTGCCCTGGTGTTGGGACCCCCGTGAAGTCCCAGTGAAGTCCTTGACTCCGAAGACTCACCCACACCCCTGCCTCCCTCTGCCCTTCTCTCCTCTCCTTTCCCCCTTATCTACCTTCACTCTCTCCCCTGTCCCCCCTCATCCTTCCCCTTGCCTTCTTCATGGCCTTCTCTCATCCCTTTCCTCCTACTTTTAAAAATATTTTTTAAAAAAGATTTTATTTATTTATTTTTAGAGAGGGAAGGGAGGGAGGAAGAGGGAGGGAGAGAGAGAGAGAGAGAGGGAGGGAGGGAGGGAGAGAAACATCAATGTGTGGTTGCTGGGGGCTGTGGCCTGCAACCCAGGCATGTACCCTGACTGGGAATCGAACCTGGGACACTTTGGTTCACAGCCTGAGCTCAATCCGCTGAGCTACGCCAGCCAGAGCTCCTTTCCTCCTACTTTTAATGTCATCCCTCTCCTTTCTGTCTCGTCTTCATTTTTCCGTCGTCACTCTTTCTTCTCTCTTCTTTCTCCTTCACCTCCTCCGCTCCCTCTCTCTGCC